TTTGAAGGCACAAAAGTCGACTCTCCACTTTCAAACCAGGAACCAGACATACCAGTGGTCCTTTTCAGCTGCTCCACGAACGCAGGAAATGTTCACCAAGGGGCGCAGAGCAGCATCCATTCCAGAAAAAGAGCTAAAATACGAGTGAGACTGCATGCCTGAGTACATGAGTACATGTATGAGTACATGCAGAAAATAGTCGATTTCAGCGTTTCTGCTCCAAACAGCAACTAGCTTCGACTAGAAACAAAGATTACACCAAAGGATCAAACAACAACCATTTTCTGCAGTTTTTTTGCAGATGGCTTCCTTGTGCTTGGGCCAGCACGCCAAAAATCACACCTCGGAGGAGTACAAAAATTACAACTCTCAGATGTCCTCGATTGCTGGCCATGTGTTTCATATGAGACGAGTCAATGATTTGGTGTGGCTTAGAATCATCTTTCGCTGTAGAAGAAATCTATTCGTATGTTTATTGGAGAAATAATTGTATTCACTGGTTATAAATAGGTTAAGACAAACTCACAGAATAAATACCATCGGTCCCTTGGTGTTCGTCCTAAAGAGGTTCGACTGGATATCATTCATACTCACCAAAAGATGTGTAAGATTTTATTATTATGGAGTGCCTTGTTTACCTCTCAGTACCTCCAACCATTGCCTTGCCCCTTTTATCCTCAGGATCAGTGTAGTTGTTGGAAGGAGGTGTCGGACTCAGCAATGTATTTGTTTACATTTTAATACATGTTTATTGTTCCTCTTTTGCTGTGTTGTTTTAGAAAATCGTGGACTAACAGTTTGAAGTCATTGAACTACTTCCAAAAGTTGTATCGACATCAACAGGATTACGATTTCAGTGCAATATGATGCAGGATGACCTTATCACGAAAACCCATGATTATAAACCATTATAAACACAGAATCAACAAAAACATCTGCGACACGCACCTGGTTACATTTCTCAAATAAATCTGATCGAGGGTGGGGAGATTTGAAATATCTGAAAGGCAAGACAATTTTATGACAGAGTCATGAAATTCTGCTAGAGCAACATGCACAGAATGACCTCCGTATAAAAAAATGTATCACCACTGTCCACCACTACGTACTACTCACATGTTTCCCCGCAGAAGAACATGCATTTTGCCATTTTCTGCAAGAAAAGGCTTGCACATCAATGCGTATAATACGGTATTGATCTCTTGATATGATGTGAAGGCCATCATTTAGTTTAAATTTACATATTGATATAGGGCATTCCATTGATTGGTGACAGAAAAAACAAAAGAAATTATAGCAATAAAAACTGCTTTATGGCAGTTTTCTAAAAAAGGTTATTGTGTTCTAGTCCATGGACCCCGTCTAAAAAGTAAGAAATTAACGAAATGTGATAGCCGAAAATTAAAATTTCACACAAAACCTCACAATAATCACACACAGAATGAAAAGCTACATGTAGAAGACCTTTTCCCCTCGTGATTAGGCCCTGGCGGATAATGCTCGAAAAGGTGGCAGATTCTGCTCGAAAAGCAGTGAAATTGGCAGAACCATACAAACCTTATGGCGTGCAGTTCCTCGAATTCTGCTCCATTTCTTTATGCACATACCAAACATGCATGAAACTTACCAGAAAAGTACCGAATTCTGCCAATTTTTCCTGGATACATGTACGACCTACGACTTGACTTGTTTGTTTGTATTTATTTTGATTCGCAAATTCAAACGGGCATAGAACCCAATAACATGAAAGCGAATATGAAAATTATAATGAGAATGAGAATTTAAATGCTCTTCAGCATAGAGTCAGCGGTACATCAGAGGGAGATCGGGTACAACAGAAAGAAAACAGAAAAAAAACAGAAGATTGCGCTTGTCTTCAGCATCTACAGCCTACAGGGCACAGGTATAGGGGATTACCTGCGTGCGAAACTGCTGAGCGTGATGGATGGCACGGATGTCGCTGGGGAGGGCATTCCATAATACAGCACCCTTGCAAGCAAAGCGCCCCCGCCCCGCAACTGAATGGGAAACTGGCACGCACAAGCCCATGGCAGATTGGAGCCGAGTAGGGCCGGGTGCAGCGGGGGTTAGCAGGGCTTGCAACTCTGGACTTGCCAGTGCATAACGACAGCGCCACACCAGGTATGCTAGCTTCTGATTGAAGACTTCTGCCACACGGAACACTGCCATGCGCTCCAGCAGGTCGCGGGCAGACGACCACGGAGGGCGGCCAAAGACAGCACGAGCCCCACTGTTCTGCAGGACCTGTAGACGGTCGAGGTACCTTCTTTGCAGTGAGCTAGAGTACGCGTTGGAAGCATACAGCAGGTCAGACATGATCAGCGATCTAAAGTAGGTCATGCGTGACTGGTGATTCAGGCAGCGGCGCATTCGCCAGAGTGCTCCGATCTTCTGCGACACGCGTGCAGAACATTTGGCAATGTGGGCGTGCCAGGACATGCCGGAATCGATTGTGGCGCCAAGATAACGAGCACTTAGCACACTAGGCAGTGAAGTGGCATGGCAGACGACCTGTAGATCAGCTGTGTGCTGACGGCCGGCAGGAATTGGCACTACTTGGCTCTTGCCAGCATTGAGGATCAGGCCTCGATCCTTCAGCCAGTCTGCAAGGATTGTAACCGAAGCAGATAAGACATCGGATACCTCCTGTGCTGTTCGCCGGCTGCACGCGAGCGCAATGTCGTCAGCGAATTGAACTGACTCGGACTGGCCAAGTACAGCGGGGACCTCGCGGGTGTAAAGGCTGAACAGAATGGGGCCCAGCACCGAACCTTGGGGGACACCACTCGTGCAAACTGATATAGAGCTAGTCCGCGACCCCAGACAGACACGTTGAGTGCGACCGGATAGGTAGCTGGCGAACCAGTCCAAGGCAGAACCGGACACCCCAACACTGTGGAGATCCTGCAATAGCTTGACATGTTGGACTTTATCGAAGGCTTTGGACATGTCTAACAGGCATACACCTGTGAATAGGCCCTGGTCCTTGGCTGTTAGGATGCGGTTTGACATAAGGACTAATGCGTCTTCGGTAGAGTGGCCACGCCTGAACGCAAACTGGGTTGTTGGTAACGATGCTGTTATGTCCAGGAAGGTGATGAGCTCCTTCTGAACCAACTTCTCTAGCAGCTTGGAGAGTATGGGTAGAAGGGATACAGGGCGGAAGTTAGTTGGCAGCGATGGATCACCAGATTTATGCAGTGGGATGACATTAGCTAGCTTGAACGCCGAAGGCACATGTCCGCACGACAGCGAGGCATTGAACAGGCTAGTGACAGACGGCGCCAAAACGTCACAGCAGAGTTTGAGGACTGCCCCTGGTACGCCATCGCTGCCTGTTGCCTTCGCGGGATTAACTTGCTGGAGTAGCCGTTCAACAGCACGGATACTGACATGTGAGAACTTGGGGAGGGAAGTGCGGGGTGGAGGCCCGAGGGGAGCAGACAAAGTTTGCGGTCGACAGTCATCAGTAACCACCTTGTGGAAGGCTGAGGCGATATCTTCGATCGTACAAGAGGGTTCTACATGGGGACGGTCTCTACAGGTGACTTTGTCAATGGTACGCCAAAGCTTCTTGGTGTTTCCTGCGTTTGCTGTACATTGTCCCTGGAAGTAAGCGTTTCGCTTCTGTCGGTATGCATTTCTAGCTTCCGCACGGGCGCGCTTGAATGCAGTGTGGAGCGCAGCGTTTGCCTTGTCTCCCCGCCACCGCCTATGCAGCCGATTCTTGCGCTGGGTGAGCTGGAAGAGGTGCCGATCCGACCAGGGTGGTAGCTGCTTCCGCTTGGCAGTAGAACACTGGAGAGGAGCATGCTTGTCGAGGATCGCCAAGAGTTTGTAGTGCCAAATTGACCACATGTCGTCAACTGTAGTGTTCGGGGGCCAGGTATCAAGGTGTGCTTGTGCTGCATCAAGGTCGTCTCGGAAATCAGGTATGTGGATTCTACGTACGTTGCGGAATGGCTTCCTCGAGTCACATGCTTGTCTGGGCACTTGAACGTGCAGGCCAAGAGGACCTGAACGGCATCATGGTCGCTGAGGGCAGACGGCACTACGGCGCAACTCCGGGCATCATCGCAACTTGTGAGGATCAAGTCGATGATCTTGCCATTGGGGCACTGGGGTGTGGTCCTACAGTCCATTCAGAAAAAAATGAACTTCTAGCTTTTGGCCATAAATGGGTCAAACGTTGAGTTTTTTTAGAATTTTTTTCTGTAATCCCATATGGAATCCTCTTCCAATTATGTTTCTGAAGTTTTTTTGTCCAAAAAGCAAGCCATAGCAAGAATAGGATTTCGGCCAGGTTTTGCCCCAAAAGCACTGAATTGGGAAAAACCATCAAAATCCAGGCCGTTTGACCCCGCCTGCAACAGTGCATTCTGCGGTTCGAACCCCAGTTCAGGCACCCTTTTTGGACCCTTTTTCAAATTTCAAAGTTCGCAGCACTGCACTGTGTACGATGAAATCACGAAAAATCGCCAAATACGGGAGCTCGCCAGAGCCAGGACCCATTTTTTTATGAATGGACTGTAGTATAGTGGCAGTTGTGACCAGGTTTCTGAGGCCATACTTCTGCCGAAATCCCTGGCCTCTGGCCTTGTTCTCAGCCAGGGAGTAGTACAATGACTCCCTGGTTCTCAGCTGACTGGCCATTGTGGACGGTGTTTGGGCACGACTCCGAGCTGGCATGTTCCAGTTTTGGTTCGGAGTAGAGTTCTTGGCCGGCACTCGCCACGCTGAGTCGCTGACGCCGGCATACCATACCAGTTCACACTGCACAGGACTTTGTAGACCAGACTACGAGTATCTATATTGTGGACTACGTCAGAACAGCTGTAGATATAAAAAATACTAATAAATAAAATAAATAAAAAAGTATTCTAGACCTGCACCGCGTACCGGCCCCTCGACCTCTTCAGCTTCTCGGTATTTTTTTGGGCAGTGATGACCGATATGAAGGGAATGCGCCTTGCCGGTTTTCATGGTTTTTCAGACAGCCAGTTTTCATCTGAGTGAGGTGTTTCCGTCTCAGCTCGTGTATGGCGGCCAGCCATGGCAGAGGGTGCTACTCGTAGCAGCACGGCCCCTCCTGACGAGGGAGATGCTGGCACTCAATTGACGTCGTCCCCCGCTAGTCAGGCTGAGGAGAGCGTGGAGACTGTGAAAGAAAATGCAGCCAAGTCAAGAGATGAGGACGATGTTTCCACTCTGGCTGTGGATTCTAGCCTTGATGGCCGTTTCTTGAAGTTTCCAGTGGAGGTGGGACGTGGCTCCTTCAAAACCGTGTATAAAGGACTAGACTCTGAGACTGGAGTGGCTGTTGCGTGGTGTGAACTATTGGTAAGCTGTTAGCGTTAGAGAAATAATTATTATGTTTGCACTCCTGATTTATTGTTGTACGATCAACAAGTAAGTTGTGTGAAATTTTCAGACACCTTCGCACTCGGGGAGGGTTGGAGTACAGTAATTCGGTTTTGTTGCACACTCAGGAAACGATGTCATGCTGTTCATCATGGGTAAGATTGGGGACATAATTATGTTGCTGCAAAATCGCTTTCAGCTGGTGACACTGTGGTCAAGTACTTGTACATTGTGACAGTCAGACTGGAGAGGTACATCTATGAGTAGTGCACACCAAAGCACTTACACCATTTTTGAAGTTTTTTTTGGGGGGGGGGGGGGGTAGTGTGCCCCTTGGTAAGTGACATGTTCTGGAGTGGTATGTGGTGTGTAGAACTGAAGTGGGTCTTAAAAGTCTGTTAGCTCACCTTTCACGGGTGTTTCGCAGTGGCCACTCGTCAAGATGGCAGCAAGTCTGAGAGTACACAAATTTCGACTCTGCCTATGTGCACGGCGGATGCGAATCTCACACCTGCAGATTCAGGCATGCAAAATCTACATAGAGCAAGTGTGCGGGAACGACCTTTTTCGAGAGAGAATGTGGCTCTTTTCATCCCAACATTTGGCTCGCCACGCTCTCCCTCCCAGCTTGTTGATACGAGTATCTGCTCCCGAGTAGAAGTCTCCATCATCACCATAGGCCAGGCAAAATTGCAACGTTGGAATACTTTGCTCTCTTGTTTTTTGGTCCTTTGAGGTGTTGATGTGGTTGTTGTGTACAACTCGAAGTGACAAACTTGAGACCCCCGCGCAAAAAACTAGGGCGCACCACAAAGTTTTGTTTGGCTGTTCAATGAGGACGTATGGAAGCAGGGATAAAAACTATCGTGGCTGCCGGAAAAACTCCTAGTAATGTAAGAAACGGGGGTGGGACTTAGGTTATTCCAAGGAGAATGTACGCACAAGCCATTCCACAACGAAGACGAAACTACGAGCTCAAAAACACTCCGACTTTCAAACAAACGGCGCAGGAAAGAAGACATGGACGCAGTGTTCCCGTGTGGTCTTCAAAACACCTAATTTTACTCCGATAGCAGCTGGTTCAGGGCAAATTCAGCGATAGCGTCGTGCCGTTCAGTTTCGCCCAAAACACTAGGAAATGTACGGTAGATCCAAAAGCGACGGGACGACTGGCCCCAGTTCATGCACTGCAAACACCCGTGCTTTACTCACAGTGATTGCTTATTGGAAAGCCAGTTGGCTCGCGTACTCAATACTGTCAGACGCTGAATTTCAGAAATTTCGTCGCGTTACTGCCAAGGATAGTACAAGTAATGACAATCATAATTGTACCCCCCCCCCCCCCGAATTGCGATGTCGCACGAAACCTGTCATTAAAAAGTAAGCTATTATGCTGTGAGAGCACGATCACATCTCCTCACTTTGAGAAAAATGCAGCTCAAAAGAAAGAAAGAAAAGCGCCAGCATTCCAGCTCACTACATTGTGTGCCAATGAGAACAGCTGCAAAAGATGAGGATCGAGCAGCCACGCGCTCTTATGGAAACTCCTGTGAACATGTTTAGGGCTGAAACAGTTTCTAGTGGTCAAGATGGTAAGCAGCAACTTTGGCCTCTTCATCATTAGTTTATTGTAAGTCTACACATTTTCACATTTTCGACACATTTTCGGCGTGTTTAAATCCCCCCCCCCCCCCCCCCAGGGCTAAAGCACTTTTCGGCTGCATTAGAATTTCAGCCTGTATTGCTGCTGTCTGTACACACTGTCGCACTGAACCTTGCAAAATAAAATTTCAGCCGCAACAAATTTTCGACCAAAAATGCCCAGGCCGAAAATAGCCGAAAATAGATACGGTAGTGTCTTGTATGAAAGCCTGTCTCATATACATGTAGAAGCCTGTCTTGAATAGAAGCCTGATATTCCAGATACACTGTCGGCACAAAGCCTGTTTTTAGTGTTGACATACATAGAAATACTTCGAAGTAGCTGTCTTGTAAGGTCTGTCTGGTGTAGAAGCCTGCAAAAATTCCCCCAAAAAGTCATATAAGCCGCGACCTTTATACACGACTTTACGGTATGCACCGAATTCCGTAATGTCGCATATTAAAGCCGGGCTTATTCCTGTAGAAGCCGATGTCAGGGCTAGGCTTCTATTCACATCATATATCAATAGGCGACAAGCCTCTGGGTCATCCTAATAAAGATATTATTATTATTATCAGGCTTCTGTTCCAACCGGGTATTTTCTATGTGTGTCGACATTAACCCTTTGTGGACGGACTGTACGAGTTTCGATCTAATAAGATCGAAACTTCGTAACTTCGTAACTCCATTGTTTCTTGAGCAAATTCCACAATCGAAGGGTCTACGTGGTAGCGGGAACTCCAAGCTGTCCAATGCAACAATCGCCGAAAAGTTACGATGTCGGACGCCAGAGATATCGCACGCCGTATTCTTACCTCGGCAAATTCAAATTTTTGATCAATCATTTCGCCATTTTGGGGGGAAATCCCTTTTCGTGTGCTCTTTGAGCGACTCAGCACATGATAATGACGTAGCCGGCTGAAGTTTGAATCGTCTCAAACAGATTTGAGCGTTCTGCGATGAAGGAGAGTGGAATGGCGTTGATGGGAGGATGGGGTGGAATTTGCTTGCATATCAGGCTTGGAGACGACTTTGCTGTGTTACCGCGCCTGATTTGTGGCGGCTGGATAATGGAGATTGGTACCCTGGCGTTGCTCTCGTCAAGAGCTTTCCAATGAGCCCTTGATTGTGAAAATCAAGTGAAGGACACCAAAGCCTTGACATGGTAAAGTTGAAAATTGTACTGACATTTTGTAATTCTGGTGCGTACTGTGCTAGTAATCCGTCCATAAAGGGTTAAACCAGGCTTATGTGTATTTTGAAAATCTGGCTTGTATTCAAAACAGGCTTCTATATGAAGAGAAAGGACCAAGGAACTACAAGTTACGCTATACTGTCCACTAACACCACCAGTTACTAAATAATCAGCTCATGCGATAACATTGCACGACACTGTTCCTTGGTCCGTGGTCCTTTCATGAACATGGCAGTAGAGCTATACGAAAGGGATGTGTCAGCCTGCTATTTGCTTTTGTGGAGCGTGCGTGGCAGAGATCATTGCGGGTACTGAACATAGCCTCATGAACATGCCCATGTGTTAGGTTCTCTATTTTTCATTCCAGCCGGTGGATATAATTATGATTGAGGGGGGGGGGGGGTTATTTCTATTTTTTGGATGATACACAACTCACCAGTAGGCGCATGGGGCTAGCATGAGGTAGAAGTTGTGCAGTGACTACTGAAATAATTATAGTCTGGACTGATGCCAGTAGTTTAAGCGTATTTTCCAGGGCTGTATGGTGAGATGCAAATGTGCTGGAATAGGAACAGGTCACGGTTGGCTGCTTAGTGTACTTTGTGTCAGCTATCCATCAGGATACCTTTCCTGGAGAAATGTATCTGGGTTTGTAGCCAAGTGCTTTACATGTCTTTGTGTATCGTGTTGTGCAGCCAAGGCGCTACAGCAAGGCCGGTATCACCCGCTTCAAGGAGGAGGCGCAGATGCTGAAGATGCTCCAGCATCCCAACATCCTCAAGTTCCATGACTTCTTCGAGTCTGGTGACAAAAAGACCAGAACAGTGGTGTTAGTTACAGAGTTGATGACATCGGGGACGCTGAAAACGTACGTACACCCTTTTTGTTGGCCTGTTTAAGGAAAACAATGCCACACTCTGTAAAAGTCAGCTGCTTTCAGGGTGTCAAACTTACATGTACGTACGTTCAGTATGTGGGAGACAATTGCCTTCGTACGCATTGTGTATTTGTGTCTGCTTTGGTACGGTGATGGGGTTGGGCAGTCTGGCCAATGATGACTGCATGTCTTTGCTTGCAGCCATTCGGCTTGTTTCTCATCAAGAGCTGCATGAGTATTGGCATTGACTTTGTCTTCCCTACATTCTGATGTGCATTAGGTATTTGAAACGCTTCAAAGGTGAAGGTGTCAGGCCAAAAGTACTTCGTAGCTGGTGTCTGCAGATCCTCAAGGGTCTGAACTTTCTCCACAGCCACACACCGCCGATCATTCATCGCGACTTGAAGTGCGACAACATCTTCATCACTGGGACGACGGGCCTTGTCAAGATAGGAGATCTAGGCATGGCAATTCTGCGCCACAAGTCGCACGCGGAGAGTGTTATTGGTGAGCTAATGTGTGTGTGTGTGTGCATGTGCATGTGTGCGTGCACCTATGCGTGTGTGTGTGTGCGCGCGCGTGTGTGTGCGCGCGCGTGTGTGTGCGCGCGCGTGTGTGTGCGCGCGCGTGTGTGTGCGTGCACGTCATTGGATGGTCCGTACTACTAAGAGTACATAACCCCCAACTTGGCCAAGAGTGTGCAACTCCAGCTACATGGTCTGCGACGGGCGCCAACGGCTGAACTTCACATCATCATGTGACTCGTACACATTATTTGCAACCTGTGCGTGACAGATACAGGCAAGAGTACATAAACCAGAGTGTGCAACTGTGCATATCAGATCTGAAACAGCGCAGTTCGTGCACTACGTCACCCTGATGAGGTCAGCCAAGCCGCGACTTGCGTACAGCTCAAATTTTCATGTTTCATAGCCCGGAAATCAGCCAAGTCTTGATTTTAGACGTCCTGTTTCAGGATTTCGGTGTTTTGTGGGACTGTGTTCGCTGCGTACATCCACCGACAAGTAAAGTCACCAGGCTATCCGTATCAAAAAACCGAAATCAGGACAAACTCAGTGACCTGCACCACCGCGACTGGTTACGCAACTTTTCACCGTACCTGTGGCTTACCATGTCGTCAGAAATGACGTACTGCACGAATTACGCTCTCACAGGAACCATCCCGAGTTGCACACTCTGGTTTGTTACTCTTGATACAGGGTTGTACACAGCCTTTGATCTCTGATCTACGGTAGCCTCTGCGATTTTTAGTTTACTGATGTGCGCCCGTAATCCACAGCCAATGTACATCCTGCTGGAAGTCCAGGGTACCAGAGTGGAGGGTTTTGGCTGTAGTGGAATGCCCCCCCCCCCCCCCCCGTCTCTCTCTCTCTCTTTCCGCTCACAATTGCTTGAATATTTTAGTTTTCCACCTGGTTGAGTTTGTGCAAAATTGTTGTTTTCTCCTCTTTTCAGGTACGCCCGAGTTCATGGCCCCCGAGATGTACGAGGAGCGCTATGATGAATCCGTTGATGTGTATGCATTTGGTATGTGTGTGGTGGAAATGGCTACGTTGGAGTATCCCTACATGGAGTGTCAGAACGCGGCGCAGATCTACCGCAAAGTCACCTCGGTGAGTACGCGCAAGCGAGCAAAGTTACCTTTCTTCATGTTGGGCTTCTCGAGTACCGAATTTGCCAGAGCATGTTGCTCACCCGGGTATTATGTTCACCCCCTCCCCCATGACCAGCCTTTTGGCCATTCAAGGTGTATTCGAAGTACTGTTGTGGCAAGCGAAATCCGACACTTGTCATAGGGGACAGCGCCACGAATGGACGTCAATGATGTAATGTGTTGTACAGTAAAATCTGGTGTAAGCGACCTCTGGTTTTAGCGAACACCTGCTTTTAACGACCGTTTTGCATGCACTGACAGTTCTACACAGAAGCTGCACTGGATACTGCGACCACCTGCCTTGCGCGACCTGCGACCAACTTTGTGTGCCCAGTGCCATATTGGACCTGCGCACAGCAACCAAAACTAGCCAAAAGTGCCGTCTTGGCTGGCGGGGAGCAGCAGAGACGTGGCCACGGGTGGTGGCTGCAGGGTGGGCACCATGGGTGCACAAGGTAAAGCTATCTCGCAGAAGAGGACTAGCAAGTCCATTCAGGCAGCGGTAAACAAAATTAATACATATGTTGCATCCAGTGCCCATTCATATTTGGGAGCACCTTTGAACTATTCAGTTCAACCTTGACTGTAATGACTCTACTAATGAATACGAGTTCTGTCATGAGACACGTAAAGTTGTATGTATCACATGTACTACGTATGCAGCGCCATTCAAGGTGTACATGTATTCGAAGTATAAATATCATTATGCAGCCTGGGCTTGAGAAAGTTTTTTAAAGATGCAATGATAAACTGCTTTGATAGTAAAAATAAAAGGACCAAGGAACTACAAGGTACGCTATAACAATAGTTGCAACTGGCTTATGTTGAGTCAATCTAGTAGAGAAGAAGGACAAAATGTTACGATTTAATTGGCTCGCCATCCGAGTCAATCTTGTACAGTCAGACGTCGCTTAACCGCACACATCCGTTTTCCACAAAAAAATCCGGATAGGCGAGGGAACCGACTAATTGAACACAAGTGCTGTATGTATGCATGGCATATGCTGTAAATCGGTACCCAACGATTTTCTCCCGGATGGCGAGGGATGCGGATGGCGAGAGGACCGGATGGCGAGAGGACCGGATGGCGAGGGATGCGGATGGCGAGAGGACCGGATGGCGAGAGGACCGGATAAGCGAGATCTGACTGTAGTACATGTAGTGCAGGGATGAATTTATCCTGTATTGCATCGCAATTTGCCATGCAAAATCGATCTACTGCTACTCAAAAGTCACCGTGACTCGCAGAAAACTGCGATACATACAGACTATCCATGCCTAGCCTGCGCTGTCAAGTAGCATGCATACAGTGCAGTGTATGTGGTGCAGGCACTCTCAATCTGCGTGCACATGTATGATTCAGTCGGTTTTTTTGCAAATGGGCTTTCAGGCATCACTCTCAAGAAGGACAATATGGTAAACACCCAACCTTCAAAGAACAATGCTAATCAAAATCAAAGACTGCTACACATTGTGATTTTGTATAGCAGAAACTGCTATGGAAAAATATGACCATAAATTCATCCATGTAGTGTGATCCATTGCACTACTTTTCGTTGTGCATGCATTTTCAAAATCGGAGTATAGCGTGCACCCGCGATTTGAGTCTGAGGCTGCGTTTACACAACGCTGGGGATGAAAACGCAGCCAAATTCTTTCAGATGCATGGTTCATTTACACGGTGCGCGGAGCAAAAAATAAAAGATTTACACCAAAGCGGAAGAAAACCAATGCACTGGCCAAGGTGGAAAAATTTGAAACCGAAAATGTTCTACCGGATAAATTTGAATGTGCGAACAGTCGAAGCCGTTCATCATAACCGTCACGTTTGTATCATTTTCATGCGTCCACACGGATTGCAAAGGATCCGACGATGTGTGTAATGTGAGGAGTGTTGTCGTATGGATTGTTTCAACTATTACTTGACTGTGATTGGTGCTTCCACGACAACACTTGACGCATGACAAACTTTGGCGGATTCTTCACTCCCGCGTAGACGCGCGAAAACGATACCCACGGAGACCAGCTCTGATCAGCTCTGATCGTGTAGACGCACAAAACGGAAAAAGAAATGCGGGATCGAAAACGGAAAACTGGCTGTGCGTTGTCGTGTAAGCGGAGCCTGAAATGGCTCTTCTGAAATGCGCACTACACTCTTGATATACAGTACTAGTATCTAAGGGGCCGCCCAAGGTTACCAATAGTATTTTCAATACGAAAAGTTTTTGTTTGGGGGTGGGTGGGTTTGAAGGAGTTTCGTTTTGAAAATAATTATTGAATGCAGATGGAGAATGCCCTGTTACTTCTGGTTGTCGAAAATTGACATCAATATGTTATTGGAATTCGTTTTGCCTGCAGAAAAGGTAGGTGGGCGGGTACTGAAAAAATACTAAAACTTTTCGTTTTGCAAAAACTATCGGTAACCCCGGGCGGCCCCTTACTTATGATTATGTGTGACTAGGGACCGGCGGATTATGCTCGAAAAGGTGGCAGATTCTGCTCGAAAAGCAGTGAAATTGGCAGAACCATACAAACCTTATGGCGGGCAATTCCTCGAATTCTGCTTCATTTCTTTATCCACACTAGTGACATACCAAACATGCATGAAACTTACCAGAAAAAGTACCGAATTCTGCCAATTTTTCTGCCGGCATAATCCGCCGGTGCCTATGTGTGACTGTGTGTTGCGAGTGCCTCGCTCTGCTGTACAGTAGAATGTGTATAGCAGCGAGGTAGATCTGAAGAGCGACTCTGAACCATGTTCTCATATGCTGCCTCGCTAGCAGAGTCCATTGCCTACTGGAAACTTAGTGTGTAGACAGCACAATGCAGAATCTGTACTATGTAATCGGGTATGTGCACATCGCCACCAAAGCTACTCCGCCCGATCGTGCAATGATGTGATGAAGCTCGTTTGCATGGTATTTTGTATTTTTGTATTGTATTTTATTATTTTACTTGGGCATTCCCAACAGACCCTAAGGTCTTCTTACAGGGTGCCCAAGATGAATGAAATTGTTAAGTTCCTGGCGAAATGAATTGGGGATCTGATTTGTGCGAAGGGATTCGGAAAGCGCATTAAAGCGGTCACCAAGGAATGAAATAGATCTGTATCCAGCTTGAGCTTGCACAATGGGTAACGAAAGGGAATAATTGACTTGGCCGCGGGTTACTCTATCTGTGTGAGCGCAGTCACGGCGAAGGGAGAACATGTCAGAGAGGAGTGAACTGCAGATATTGTGGATGCAACGGAACACGAAGAATATGGACTTAGTATGATATCTTTTGTCTAAGCTAATTATGTGGTATCGCTCAAGCAAGTATGATGTCCGCGTGAATGTGTCATGCTCAAATATGCATCTAAGTGCTCTCTTACTTATGCGTAGCAGCTGATCTCTCGCTTTGTCAGCGAGGCAGTGGATGCAGGCAGTGCTGGCGTACTCGAGCTTGCTCTGGACTACTGACAAGTAGAACTGCCTTCTGGCCTGGACAGCAAGGTTCCTCCTTCCACGTCGAAAAGCACCTAGTTTCTTTCCGATGTCTTCCCTGAGGGAGTCAACGTGGGCACTGAAACTTAAAGTTGAATCGAGAGTCAGTCCTAGATACTTAACTTCGTCAGACGGGGCAATAACAGTCGAACCACAGACAATGCTCAGGTTAGGTGGAGGATGTGAGCGTCTGCTGTGGATCAGTAGTACTTGGCTCTTGGTATACTATACCACATAGTATAATTATAATACAGTAGTAATGTTGCTACTGTGTGTATGCTTCTGCTGTGATTATGGTGTGTGGTTTGATTCTCCAGGGTGTCATGCCCCTGTGTCTGTCTAAAGTTGAAAATCCCTTGCTGCGCAAGATCATATCTGTCTGCTTGAAATCGGACAAGGCAGGACGGTGAGACTTGATTGAGAATGCATGTACATGTACATGGGTGTTGTTCTTGTTGTAAAGGTAGATCACACGTACAATCTCGTAAGCATACATTCCCTGTATGCATTTACTTATACACAGACATGGGGACGAGAGCTTTACAGGTTACAACAGAAATGAACGCCATTAGCAGGGCGGACCAACCAATATACTGTAAAACACGTTATTTTCGGTGTAACTTTAATTTCGGTTATTTCGGTGGGGAAATTAGGCACCTAAATTTAGATGACACCTAACAGGCACCAGAGTATGTACTGTATGTGAAGGGAACTCTGGTCGCCTAATTCTACATTACACCGGAAACCTGGCAGGTCCCTGGCGCCGAAATTTGAATGCACCTAAAATTACATGTTTTACAGTAACTATATGCACAGGAACACTAGGGCTGTGTCGGGTAGCATTTTCATCGGTATCAGGTTCGGGTAATTAATTTGTACAGGTATCACCAGTGACAATATTACATTGTACCCTTTTTGTGAGTTGAACCAGTCAGTTAGAATCAAAGGTATGGCCGAAAATCAAACGTCAAGATGCATATGTGCATGCACATGCATGTGCATTATACTCGCTCGGATATTTTGACGATTTTTCTCACCCGATTTCATGTAACCAGAGATCCACGGGTAACACTGGTACCCGACTACCTGTGCACAGCCTTAGTAAATGATGTTGAACCGACGCATACACTGCTGTACACAATATTTGTCAGTGCATGATGAAAATGTGCACAATCCAGCACATCGAGTCTTAACGTTGTACGTCGTACTGCACTTGACAGCCTTGATCTAATTCCGCCCCCTGCTGAAAACCCAGCTGGGAAGCGACCTGGCGTAGGGGGGGGGGGGGTTAACGGTACTTTACGGTACTTCAAAGTAATGAATTTGAACTCAGACATTTTTATTTCTTTAAACTGATGAATAGTTGATGCATTGGGGCTCCCCGCATACTGGTTTGTTGCAATTAGTTGTATTGACATCTGTATGGAAACCAAGTCATAGCAGATGCCCGCAATGGAATCCGTCTCCATGAGTTACAGAGTGTCGGCCACTGGAGCACGACAATTACTCATTTGGGAGGCCGGTTTTCATTGAGTAGCACATTAAAATTGTATTGTGCTTCAATGTTTACTCACGTTTTGGGTGTTTGGTTGTCTCCCATCACTGTTAAGTGAATCCACCAAACGTGCTGGCAATGCAATGCACTCACTTTCACCTCACTTCCGCCTCCATCTCGTGTACATGTGTGGGTGGGTGTTAATGCGTGGTGTGTGGGTGTGATGTGTGCATATTCTGCTGCCCAGGTCATCGATCAAGCAGCTACTGAACCACGAGTTCTTCAAGGAGGAGAACGCACTCTCCGTTATTCACCTGAAGGCGGAGAAAAGTAGCGAGACGCCGTCAGTGTTGGATATGCGCATGGAAGTCGTTGATCCTCGTGAGAAGGAAGAGTCCACTCTTGTCGAGTTCAAATTCAACCTAGCATCTGACAGTCCAGAAGAAGTTGCCAAGGATATGGTACGTTTTGTGTGGCCAGGCATTTAGGTTTATTATCGGCCTGATGGCTCCGTCCCTTTTGGGGCCCGCAAAGAGATGAAGCCTGGGGACTCTCCCCTCGTTACGGGCACTGAGACTTCTGAAATGGCCTACTGTAAGAGTTGAAAGTGTGATGAGTCTTAAGTTTAACGTTTTGCAAAAATTTCCGCTTAGCAGGCCCAAAGTTTAACGACCCTGCCATCACGCACCTGTCTTCTATTTCTTTTGTACAGAGGAGAGAAGGAATAACATACGTTCAACGTTTCTTTTTGAATTCTTTTTTGTTGAAATGTTAGACCTTGTGCCCGTTAGATATTCAACTCCTACAGTGTTTGTTGATCATCGAGGTCACTTCGAGGGAGATTTTAGATTTCTCCTCATCCCGAAACATTATCTCTCTTGGAGTGTGAAAAGGTTTCTCAAATCACTAAATTCCGTAACCCTGAATACAGTCCAAAGACCCACTGATCTGATTGCATTCCAGTTCTGTGCAAACGTTGCTACTCTTCCCGCAATCGGAAATTGATGAAACACGACGACACGCTCTAGCTCTGTCATGTCCTTGACCGCCGTCTGTTGAAGAAAACTCACAACAAAGGACATTGGATAGTGTTGAGAAATCTTCATTTCCTTTAGAGGAAGGAGTGGAGGTGGAGGTGGAGGCGGAGAGCTCGCGTGGCTGACTCGCGATGTCACTCTGTTCGAACACTTGCCGTCGTTGGCCGGAGAGCATCTGGTACAATGGCGACCGTTTTCGCGACAGGAGCGGTTTGTCAAGCAGATCTTGTTGCCGGAGCAAGTACAGCACTGGCGTCCTTTGTCGGGACGAATGTCCTTGTGTTCCTGTACTTTTACAGTTTTAGTTGTGCGCATCACTCAAGTTAGCGTAAACATTGCCAACAACGGCGGGCCAAACACCCCTTCAAAACTAATTGGCCCACAAAAAACTAGAGTAGTTGAGGAACATTGCATTCTGCTCTGCACGGCTAAAATAGCATAGTTGCACTTCTGCCATCAATGCAACATGAATAATAGAGCGTGGCTCACCATGATCGCACCCCTAATATTGACGAAGGACATGCGCGCGCGCGCACACACACACACACACACACACACACACACACACACACACACACACACACACACATTACAATAACCCTACTACTATCCGTATCAATCAGTGCTACACATGTCACACCAGACTTATCTCCTCACAGGTCACAGGGCGTTTCAGAATCAGAGCTTCAAAAATCGCAACCGTCCCCTGCAACGTTCTTGAAATTGCTGAACTTCTTGTTGAATTGAGACTACAGTCCATTCAGAAAAAGATGGACTTCTAGCTTTTGGCCATAAATGGGTCAAACGTCGAGTTTTTTTAGAATTTTTTTCTGCAATCCCCTATGGAATCCTCTTCCAATTATGTTTCTAAAGTCTATTTCTCCAAAAAGCAATTCGTAACAAGAATAGTATTTCGGCCAGGTTTTGCCCCAAGAGCACTGAATTGGGAAAGACCATCAAAATCCAGGCCATTTGATCCTGCCGGCAACAGTGCATTGTACGGTTCGAACCCCAGTTCAGGTACCCTTTTTGGACCCTTTTTCAAATTTCAAACTTCGCAGCACTGCACTGTGTACGATAAAATCTTGAAAATTCGCCAAATACGGGAGCTCGCCAGAGCCAGGGCCCATCTTTTTGTGAATGGACTGTAGTATTGATCTCCGCGGTAGAGTTGGAAGCGGTTGCCATTGAAGTTGCTGTGATTCGAATGGCCTCCCCGTGGGGCATTGTTGGGTCGGCCTCCTCGCGAAAGCGATCCAGTGGAAGCCTTGCCACCTCGTGAGGAAGCCAATTTGCTCCATCACCTGCGTCACCTTCCCAAACTGACTAATCATCTTCGCCATGATCCTAGATAACTGACCAGCAACATCGGGAGAGGTCAGGGAACTTGCAGACGAGTCTATGACTTGAGATGTTTCACAAAGGAGCAAATCGAAGGCAATCTACAAGAATCACGCACACCAAACAGATTACGTACAGGAACAAACAAAAAGCGAATTTCCATAATGCATGAGAAACTTACTTCAAGCAAGCTAGAATGCCATGGACTAAAGGGGAAATGAGCTATCTTAATCTACAAGAATCACGCACACCAAACAGATTACGTACAGGAACAAACAAAAAGCGAATTTCCATAATGCATGAGAAACTTACTTCAAGCAAGCTAGAATGCCATGGACTAAAGGGGAAATGAGCTATCTTACAAGTATACTGTATAGCAGGAAAATTTCGGACTAAGTGTATTTTCGTACGATTTCGTACATGGCCTCTTTTGTACTTAAATCAATTCTGTACTAAAATCTGTTCATGTGAAATTATGTACACTATACGTGCGTACTGCTTGCAAACACGTGCATTTAGCATGCAGCACTGTACGAAAATAAAATCCGTGCGAAAGGTCGAAATTCGGCTTTGTCCGAAAATTTCCTGTTATACAGTATAGGGCCCCTCATGCGCATAGAAGAACAAATTATTATAAAACACATATTCACTCCAAAAAAAGCTGTCAAATACTAGAAAACTTGGCAAAGCACATTGATGTGGAGCATTCTGAAAATAATAATAATAATCAATTTTTACACCATAGCTCAGTAGTTAGAGAATCGCTGGCTTCAAGCGAGAGTCCCTGGTTCGAGTCCTGGTGGTGATAGTCAATATTTTCTTCAGACTTTTCCCGTTTGTGTTTTTCCCTCAAACCAGAGAATAATCAATGTTTTCTTCTGACTTTTGCCATTTCCATTCTCTCAAGCTGATGGGACAAAGAGACAGGGACGAAAAACTGCCTTGCTGTAACTTTTTTGAGTTTTACGTACAAGCCATCTGGTGGCCACTTGTGCTTGAAACTCAAGGTTACTGTTTTGTGTGCCCTTCTCTGATTGTGTAGTAGCAGTGGTACTGTGTAAGTTTTTTTTGTGAGGTGTCACTGAGGACCAAGACTTAATTTTTTATATTAAAGGCAGCACGAAAAGAAGAAAAAGAAACTAAAAGCCGGCAAGCGCTATTGCGCCAAAAGGGAGCAAAATAAGAAAGAAAGGGATATGGGGGTTGGGTTGCGCTTTAAAAAAAAAAAATGATCACAAGTAGACCGAGAGACTCGAAAGAGAGTTACAGCGGCAGCTGACACTCAGCAGCAGCCAACGAGGCTGAGGACGCTGCAGCATCGCTTAACTGGCTGCTGGAACGACGATGGCCATGCAGGCTTGCGACAGGGAACCTGACCATGCTTAATGTCATCACTGATCGGACGTGATCCATTACAGTGTTTTAGGGCTCGTTTTTCTTCTTCCGATATCATGCTAACCAGCGGCTTCAGGAAGGCGGGGCAGCCTTTCCGGTGCCGCCTGTGGCGCTGAAAACCAGGGGCACAAACGATGCCCTCTCAACTTCCCTGACGCATTCTTCGTAGCAGCGACGCTTCTCGCCTTTATGTCGCGCGTACGTGGAGTGCAGCGACCGAGTCGAGTTTGAGGCAGCATGGGGGTTGAAAACCCGTACACCGGAGAAAGTGCGCTCAAACTGGCTGTCCCATGCTCCACTGGCCGCGATATCAAGGTGTGCACCATCGTCTTTTATCTTGGACTACAAATACATGTACCTCTGCTTGTTCAGTAGGGACATCAGGATAAGAAGTATTAAGAACCAACTGAGTTGAGTTATTTTGTTCCGATATCTTGTGCCACCTAGCAGAACACTGAGTTTGGGATCCACTTCGACCCAGTTTTTGTATGGGGGGGGGGGGGACGTGCGCGTTTGAAGTTGTTTCCTTCTCACAAGGGTGACGCATCCACTGGGGTGAAATTGTACTGAGCTCTGGGGATTGGGAGAGGTGTGTGTGTGGGGGGGGGGGGGGAGGGGGGGGGTATTGCTGATAAAGAAAAATCACACCCGGATGCGACATAAGTGGCCGGTCATACACTCATCCTACAAATGCTAACGAAGAGGGGTCCCACTGTATTCTTACATGAAATTACTACAACCCAGTTGTGATTGACGTCTCTTTCAAGCCCTATTGTTTTCCAACCCCGAATACGCCATTCATCCCTACTTTCCAGCTTGATTAAAGGCTATGTCTGCTCTGACCTTTTGTATCCTAGATTCACAACGGCGTTCTGCGCGAAGACCATTTCAAGATGGTATCAAAGAGCATTCGTCTAAAGATCCGCGAGGTGAAGGAGGCAAGGGAGCTGGACGAGGACCGGTCTGGAGAAGCCAGTGCTGGTATTCCTGCCACTCCAACACCGGAAAGCTCCAGCCAGGCTCCTCCCGTGTTCACTGCATCGAGCACCGGCAGTGCAACATCCACGCCGAACGGAGGAGCCGCACCGACCGACTCAGTACCAGCAGCGGGTGAAATCCAGTTCCAGGTAGGGTGTAGCAGGGGCTCTCGCGCTTCATGTTGATTTCACGAAGGGTTTACCTTCTACCGTCTTCCAGTGATTTCACAATGAAGCTTCTTTGTATACTTGCTATTAAAAAGCCTTGCTGATCTCTATCCGTGAGCAGGAAACACCCTGAAATAGAAGCCTAGTTGAAGGGGCTGTCCAGGGTTGTAGTGTTTTATTTTCAAAACGAAGAGTGTACTTTTTTTCAGCCCCAGCCACTCTTTCTGCATGTAAAACAAAATTCAACAAAATGTTGATTTCGATCTTCACTATCCAGTAGCATGTGCATTCACTAAAATATTTAAAATGAACTTCTAAACCCCATCCGTCCCCAAACGAAAAAAATCCTTTTGAAAAAAAACAATTGGTCATCTTGGGCCCCTTAGTTGCAACTAAACTTGGTGGAAGACGCACCATGCCCTCAAAAAGTACATGTAGTGTTGTGCATTTGTACACAAATGAGAGCTACAGTAGCCAGAGTGTGTGTTCTACAAAAGTGCCGGGCATAGAATGATAACACATTCCCTGCAGGTGTCACGCGCACAGTCCCGCGATAATGTATGCAACTATGCACAAACGCCATAGCTTTCAGAACGGTACACGGCTTCATGGTAGATGTTGAACCTTGACTTTCCTCCTCCATGGAGTCTGTATGATGTAGAGTTTATTTGTTTATTTATTTATTCACAATCACGTGGCACTAGCCAATGAAAAGGTGATGTGGGTGATAGCCAGCCATGGCGGTAATAATAGAGGGGAGAAAGAAAAATGAAGAATTGAGTTTGTTCCTGTGTGACAAGTGTTTTCGGTCATCTTCCTCTTCTTCTTTTTTCTATTTCCAGTGTGCTGTGGTAGTTGGAAACCATTTTGATGGTGCGCGTACCAATTCTGAAGTGAAGGGTCACTTACCTGACAAGGAAGACACTGTGCCTGTGCTTGAACATGCCCCTGTAACGGCTGCACCCGTCTTACCCGCAACCCCGTCTACTGTAGCTCCATCGTCGGTGACTGTGCCGGCTGCATCAGCTGCTGCGCTGCCAACATCAAGTGTCGTCAAGACGCAGGCTTACCCCACCAGCGCTGCTGTGACCACAGAGCCGTCGGCGACCGTGCAGGTTGCTCCTGGCGTGCCAACGTCTGCCTCCAATCATGTGTCCGTTGCCAGCTCTACATCGTCAACTACGCTGACAGATGGGAACGGGGTGCAAGCAGCTGCGTTCAAGCCAACATCTGGCTCCACCGCTCCTTCAAGCACAGTGAAACAGCCACTAAACTCGTCGGCTACATCTAACAATGCGAGTTCGTCTTCCGGGACTGGCAAACCTCGACAGAAAGGAACCAAGGCCAAGGTGGCCAAGGATGTGCGTCCTCCTCGCCTAGCCTGGGAGCGTGTAGAAGACGGCATTGTCTATTGTAGCCTGGTCAATCGCGGTCACACGGTCGAGTTTCACTTCAGTCTGGACGATGACGTACCTGAAGATGTGGCGCATAGCATGGTATGTGCTTGGGTGACGGGTTGCTTTGCTCTCTTGTGTGACACGGGCTGGTTTGTCCTTTCCTTTGATTGAAATTGAATGGTGTGTGTGCGTGCGTGCGTGTGTGTGTGTGTGTTCATAGTACACGGACCCATTGCTTTAGTGTTCGACTTGACTCATTCTCAGGCCAGTTGCTGACCATTTGTCTTTTTCAATGACACATGTCCTGAGAGCTATTCAGAAAGCATTTCATTTTCAGATGTCCACTGAAAAATCCATGTTCTCATGCCACCAAGCTTGTTCTTTCTCGTCTGTTCCACGTGTAGGTGACAAGCCAATTCATAGCACCCGGGTCTGAAACGAAACTCTCCAGCATGCTGCAAGATTTGGTGACGGAAGCGATAGCTGTCCTCTCCGGTCAGCCAGAAGGCACGACCTGTGTGCATCGTGTATGTTACCCTGTCCAGTGTATTGTCAATCCATTGTTATATTATGTGTTATGTCCCTCTCTGGTGTACTGGTTTTATCCTTGCCATTACTGTAGAGTACCATCAAGAGTGCATAAACAAGAGTATGCAACTGTGGTTATGGGTCAGTGCGCGGCACGCTGCCTTCATTACGTAACTTGCCTTCATCACGCTCTGAAAGCATGCACTCAAACCCAAAATTTCTCCTTCGAGTCCATTCGTTTTGCCCAAATCGTTCCAGTACCTACGGAATCTCTAAATTTTGGCGCGTGAACTCCAGTTCCGTACGAAAGTTCATTTCAAACCAGAGGGAAAGTGCGGTGTTTGTTTTCCGCAGTGCTCGGACTGCAGCTGAATGATGTAATAAAGGCAGCGCGCCGCGCATCTGGCCCATAAAAAAGAGATCACAGTTGCATACTCTTGTTTATGGACTCTTGGTACCATTGATCATGTTCGATCATGTTCCACCATGGCATGTGTAGTACAGTAGGATGTACAACGGCGCAATCAAGTGTGACACGCATGTGTTGTGTGCAGCGTCGAATGAGTCGGTTCAACACCGTATCTTGGCGTACATGCTGAGATCAGGTTGCTTGGTGGCTAGCTAGTAGGAATTTGTCCACCGCAGGTCCAGGCCACGTCTGACAATACGTGTACACCGCGCGTTGCATCATAACAATGACGTCAACTTGAAATTTGATAGTGGAGTAGTACACCCTTGGAGCCAGGGGATATGTGCTCTTGACAGTATGCACGCAAATGTACTGGATTTGTTCAGATCACTGTACACAATAGTGATACTGTTTCTCTTTACACTTAGATTCTGCAGTGTCTCCAATGCTGGACAACGTTTTCTATTGCCAGGGTTTGTGCTCATGTGTGTTCAAATTTGGTTGTGTGCGTGCGTGTGTGTGTGTGTCCACAGCCCCCGGATTTGCCTGGTACTGGTGAGTCGTCGGTGGGAGATGCTGACAGTCCAGCGCAGGTATTGACCATGGCGTCGGTGAACGCAAACGGCTCGGTTGCGGCTGGCGCCAGTGCTGGTATGATGACGACGGCGGCCGGCCAGCTGGCACCCATCGTCACCGCCTCCCTGCTCAATCAGCAGCTGTCGTCGGCCGTCACCGGCATGGGCCCGGTGCACGCTCAGAGCTTTCTGCACAATCGGGCAATGCACAGTACAGCAGGCGACCTGAACTCGTTTGCCAATGTCAATGATCGACTCATGGCGGCAGCACATCCCTTCGCCAATGCTGGTATGCCGCCGCTTGCCACAGAGACCTCGCTTTTCCAGGTAAGGACGTGTCACTATATCTCCACGGTGCTTTGTAAATTGTAAATTGTTAAAATTGTCGCTTCGCACATCACAATGTTTGTGAATTGCTCGTCTTAGTCAGACTATCGGAATCGCTGTTTTCTGTGTTCGAACTTTGGTGCAACCCTTCCTGCGCAATGTCTACTTGTTTCTGAAGCCCTTGTGGTCTCAGACTTTGTTGGAGCTCTCTTCCGCACGAAACAAATTCATCGCGCTCCGCACTATTCCGCCCCAGAGTGTGAATCGTTTTTCTGGAGTTCGTGCTGTCCCACATCGTTCGCGCGAGCATTTATCAAGCTCGGGTATAAGAATCCTGGTATCTCTCCTGAATTCGAAATGCTGAAGTTGACGATGGCATGAACAAAGTGTTCTCGAATTCCTAAAATGCGCTACGTGTGGTGCATGTTGCTGTGAAGGTAGCAGGTCTGAAAACACCGACGAAATCAGCGAAGAGCTTGCCAAGGAAAGAAGGTGCGGAACTGCTTACCCTATCACATTTGAAAGCCGTTACAGTGTACTTGAAAAATGCTAGTTTGCCGTCATCGCCTGCCACCTGGAGGCATGAATCGCTTGAAAATGAAGTTTCTTGACCTGCATTTGAAATTTTGAATGCGCTTCTTGTTCAGCGTCTTGTTGAGTGCTGAAGGGTCTGCCTCAAACTTTGGTGAAGACGCCGATCTAGCTGCAAGTGCAGCGAAGCGGGAGGCCACAAACTAAAGCTTGGTCCGTCGACAATGCTCTGCCTCAATTTCTAGCTGATTTCTTTGCCCTTCGAGTGGGCAAAATAAATTTGAAAAATAGCTCCGGGAAGCGACAATTTTAATGACGCGGAGGAAGTATTTGTTATGACATCTGTGGCTTGAAATTTGAAATCCTAATTTCTTTGGCCTGTTGTCACCTTGGAAATGTTGAAGTCTTCTTGCTTGCGGTTGTCTTGCGTCATTGTTGCCCTTCAACTAGTTTGACTCCTGTCCTTCAACTAACCTGACTCCTGTCCTGTGTGGATTTTCTTCTTTTCCACTTGCCTCTTCTCAGCTGAACCACGACTCCACGTTCACCTTCTCGATGGAGATGCTCAACGTGCTCATACACGACCCACAGTTTGTACTAATGAGCAATCGGTAAGTCGTCAATGACATTTTTGTTTTTGCCTTGGTCTGCTTTTCAAGGAGGACTGGTAGTCCAACAAAATCCTTCTTCTCAGTTGATAGGGACCTGTGAAAGGTAGAGATACAAATTTGTACTTGGAAGTAGAACTGGACCTACGCTCTGCACAGATGATGTGCATCCCGTGGGAAGTGGTGCGTTGCACACTGATCACCCTTGATGGCAAGACGGTTACTGAGTGTGCAACGGTCTGCAATCAAGGATACGCCTTTTGTGTTTCCGATTGTATGGCCCTTGTCACCGTTGAAAATGTTTTTAAAATATATCTCCATGAACTGAGATATAGCAACTCTGGCTGTAATACATGTACCGTAAAATCCCGCCAGAGCACCCCGTCTCTTCCATGCGCCCCTCCCTGACTTCTTGTCAGGGAAGTGAGAATCCTTGTATGACTCTGCGAAGTGTGATGCCGTACCGCACTGCAGACCCCTGCTCGACCCGGTTGGAAATGCACGCAACAGTTCACATCCTCTTGACCAGGGATCGCACAAACCCTGGATTTTGATGGGTCTGTACGACTTCCATCTCTTGACCTTTGGTCGGTGTACGAGACACACGCACAGTTTTCGTAGGGTGAGTACTTTTCATATAGTACCGAATGCGGCAAGTAGGACTCGCCCATCCGCCCCTCCTCACCTGGACCTACTCGAAGGGTGGCGGGATTTTACGGTAATAGTAAGGCCATGGTAAAAATTATCTTTGATTCTCAAGTACGCGCACCGATTTTTGGCGGTGCACCGACGATTTTTTTTATTTCTATGCATGCATATGCGCGCATGAAAACGGTCTATGCGAAAGGCATGAATCCGGGAGTAGTAAAATACCGGTATGTTTCTACTCCCTGGCCTGAATAGTAAAATAATTACATGAACCTGTGACGTACATATGTGTGACCCTATCTTTGGAAATAAAAAAATTGTGGGAAATAAAATAAAATAAATCGCTCGCTCGCACCGATTTTCACAGGCTCATGACCTGAGAATCAACTTTATTTTTTACCATAGCCTAATAGGGAAGTTTTATCACTTTTTCTTTTTCCTTTTGACACTAGCAATCCTGGGTTTGAGTCGTTAGAATCTCATGACAGTGTCACCTCATTGGGCCCATGTGAGAATGCTCAGTGTTGTCAGACAGGTGACGTGCACTGTTCCTAGCTAGACGATAGACACAAACTGTGACAAGTCATTTACCTGTATTCATCATAACCATGTTGTCTGTCGCTTCCTGTCGTGCGTATCCAGACATCGGTCGGAGGTGAAGGAGCTAAAGGATCGGCATCGGTGTGAGGTAGAGCGGTACTTACAGTACCTCAATCGGCGCTATGATGACGACACGATAACGTCGCGTCCACGCTCAGCTACTGCCCCACCCGGGGCATCTTTGCCTGCACAGCAGGCAGCCTTGTCTGCTCAACAGGCACCCGAGAGTCGAGCTTATATGATGAGCAATGGCTACGCTGCCAATGGCATGATTGACTCCACTAGTATGCATCTAGCAGGCAATAGCAACCATACTAATGCTAGTTCTAACGGAGGGCCTACTTCTGCGGTGGTCCTGCATGCTGCAACCAACGGCCATCCAAGAACTTCATCTGACAGCAAGATGACCGAGCAGACGTATGCTGCCGCGGTGGCTGCATCCACCACTACTGTCACTGCCACCGGTGTGCCCAGTCAGGCTCAGCTGCCAGCCCAGCAGCCTGGACAACAGCAGCAGCAATCCCAGTCATCTCAGCCGCAGAACTCTGTAACGTCACCCGACCAGGTCAGCACACTTACTCCTGCTCAGCAGCAGCTGCAGCAAGCTCAACTATTGACACAAGCACATGTCCAGCCTTACATGGCCCATGCCACAGCAGCTCAGCAAACAGCCATACTTCATGCGCATGCGCTTGGGTACGCAGGTGGTATTCCTCAACAGCTGCATCACATAGCACTGCAGCAACAGCAGCACCCACTAGCACCTGCAGCACAGCAGCACCCACTAGCACCTGCAGCACAGCAGCAGCAACCCTTTCATATGGCACCCGGAGTGCAGCCAGTGCAAATGATGCCATTGCAAGGGATGGCATATCAACCACAGCCCCAGCAGCAGCAGCAGCCACCCCAGACGCCACAAAGTCAACAGCAGCCCCAACAACAAGCAGCTGCTGGTACTCAGGTGGCAGTTGCTCCCGGACAGAACCCACAGGCAACTCAAGGTCAGAACCCACAGGCTGCTCCAGGCCAAGGTCCAAACTCTGTAGCTATAGCTCAGCAGCAGCAACAGCAACAGTCTGCTTCAGCCGGTCCACAGCAGCAGCAACAACAGTCTGCTTCAGCCAGTCAGCAGCAGCAGCAACAACAGGAGAACTCGGTCCAAATACTTCAGCAGCAGCCGCAAGCCTCCAGCCCGGCGCAGTTCCAGCAAGCTCCTGCTACTACTTCTACTGCAGGTGGTGGTTGTGCTACCGTTGCTGGTACTGCTCATGTTGCTGCTACTGCTACTACTACTACTGTAGCTTCATCTCAACAATTACCGGTAAGTGCAGCGCAATAGACCCTTGCTGGGTGCCTGTAAGGTGTAGAGCGATGCATAGACACGTCGAATAACTTTACTCAGTGCTCCAGATGCCATCGAGCTTTGTGACCGGGATCGCATCAGCATCCATGCACACCTATGTGTGCGCGTTTGCGTTTGTGTGCCACTGGGTGTGTGTGTGTGTGTGTGTGTGTGTGTGTGTGTGTGTGTGTGTGTGTGTGTGTGTGTGCGCGCGCGCGTGTGTGGCGAATAGTCAATGTACACCGGCGTTGATGTGCTGCATGTCCAGCAGCTGGTTTTTCTGAAGATTGCAATAGCTACATTGTACACTCTTAGACTTTCTTATGCTTCTTTACTTGTGATCCTTGAATATGTCCTGAGACATTGACCTTTGCATGCATATTTCTATTGGATCTTCATTCCAATCTTGACACTATAATATGAGAGTTTCTTTCTATTGGCGTTGAGCCAGCAAAGACCATTGCTCTTATCAAGCCCTTTGCCCCTGCTTTCACATGTTGACTACGAGAAATACATGCAATCTATGAGGACCGTTTTTAACCATTACCTATCCTTCTGATGTCCTGCTGTCCTAGCGATTTTGCATGTTGTTTGCTGCTGCTGAGAGCTATGCTAAAATGGTGAGGCTCACCACACTCGATCAGATCATCATCTAAGTTATTGTTGAGAATGTCTGCAACTCATACAGTGATGCTGGCCACAATCCAGACCTTGATCAAGCGCTCAAACTACTCACATAAGTAATTTATTCTTTATCATGTAATTCATATTTCTCCCACCATCATGCACACTTCTTGCAGCCCTGGCAGCTGCACTTCTCTTCTCATTCTTCCCCTGTCTGTTACGAAGCTCCTTGTCATTCCACGTTCTTTGTGTCCAAACGATATTCCTCCATGATCTTTGGTGTCCCCATTGCAGTGGTATGTGTGGTTGTCTAAGCTGTGTTACGTTCTACTACCACCATTTTTTATAGTTCTAGTACTCGTACTTACTGACATGATGTCTTTGAGAGTGGCTGGGCCAACACTTCCTATCTTGCCGAGTCTTGCCTGTGTGCATGTGTGTCTGCCACTGCCAGTCTCTCTCTCTCTCTCTCTCTCTCTCTCTCTCTCTCTCTCTCTCTCTCTCTCTCTCTCTCTCTCTCTCTCTCACACACACACACACACACACACACACACACACGCACACACACACACCTTTGACGCCCCATCTCCAGTGGAGATGATAGGCTACTGAGTTGGGCAGTACTTGATGTGACGCTTCAAATCGGCCGGGGGAGGAAGACGATGTTGATGGACCCGCCTGCGCCATTCCGGGCGATCTTGTGCGTGCCGATACCACTCGGACTCCGGAATATCCAGTGAGCGCAGATCACCGACAATCGTGTCTCGCCAACGCTTCTTTGGCCCATGCCGTGGTCACACACACACACTTGTACTTGTACTTGTTGCTCACTGCCAAAACTGGTCACGAGGGTCTCCCCGGGAGAGGGGAGAGAGACTCAAAAGGAATCTATTGAACCGCCCAACGGCCGACACCCCTGAAATCCTCAAAACTCTGGGTGGACTTGCGAATGATCCCACTTATGGGTTCACCACACCTCAGTAAGTGGGTGAGGACAAGGTGCAGAAAAAGGATTGACGGTATCAGGGTATCCGTCCCGAGATCCGGCTGCAGTTACCCCTGCCCCCAGTGTGACTGGCTAAATCAGAGTGGATCTGATATAAGTGTCACTAGCACCATTGATTACACAAGAGTTAATCTAGCCAGAAGCAGTCCATGGTTAACAGGTATGTATACTTCAAATAGAAAGTATATCAACCCTGAAACCAACGAAGGTGGCAGATACAACAATACACCTTCAAGCAGCCGAGGCCGTTGGCAATGTATACTGCCGAGGAGGTCATGTGTACCCACGTTACCATAACAACGTACGAAAGGCTACGGTATCATGACTGGAGCAACCCAAAACTGCTGAGTCTGCCTGTCCTGTACTGTGCCTGCCTGCATCCAGGGATACGCTGCACGTTTGTATTTCTCAAAATAGGCCAGAACGTAACAGGCCCCCTGAAGCGTTTTATTTAATTTATCTATTTGCTTGAAAGCACGCACTCAATTTGTAAAACAAGAAAGTAGGAGGAAATGACAAAAAAAAAACAGACCAACAAGACATTGACTGAATGGGGCTGCAATGAAAGACAGCGATGGCGATGGGGTGCTGCAGGCTCCGTCGACGAATGGTCTCGGCATCCTCGCCTACTTCGTGCATCAGAAAATCGGGAGACGAGAGCAGGGTATATTCTAGGACGAATTTCCAACCGGTTACGGTCCAATGAAGAGTCCGGCGGTCCCCCCGGAAATTTTTTTCAAACTACAACCCAAATATGGCACTCGACAGCAATTTAACAGATTTCTTGGTGCTGGAGTGTAGCAAAGATATAAGCAGCTCCATTCACCCACAGAAAAGTACGGGCGGTTGGAACTGATTTGTAACTTTTCAACCGGTCGCCAACAATTTCAACCGGTCGAAAACCGGTTGGGGCGGTTCTAGAAAATTCCCTGGAGAGAGAGAGAGAGAGAGAGAGACAGAGAGATAGAGACAGAGACAGAGAGAGAGAGAGAGAGAGAGAGAGAGAGAGAGAGAGAGAGAGAGAGACTGGCAAGACTCGGCAAGATAGGAAGTGTTGGCCCAGCCACTCTCAAAGACATGTGTGTGTGTGTGTGTGTGCGTGTGTGTGTGCGTGCGTGCGTGTGTGTGCATGTGGCCTGCATACCCTGAAGAATGGCTGGTGGAGGGGGGGGGGGGGGGACTACATAGTAGCTGTCCTGGTGTCTTGTGTTGTGCATGATCATGATGATTACTGCCTAATACTGGTAGCCATTATTGATTACACATGCACAGTGACCATGGTGACAGGCTGCAGTAGATCTACTCTGTGTATTTTCAATTTCCATCGTCCACCAACTGACATTGGCATAATTATAATTTTTGTTTCCATCACCACTCCAGCTACTGCCAGCTAGCTACACATGCACCACTGCATAACTGACCGTACTCTGTTCAGTAACTATTACTTCAGTTCCCGTATCAACAGGACAACTACTGACTGTTCTGTTGCCAAACTGAACTGTTTTGCGAGGGCACAGCTGGTCCATTGAAATGAAAATTACTTTGGCCATGGCTCCAACTATCGACTACCGGTACATGTACTACTAGTACATGTTCTGCACTGCATTCCATAATCGATACAACCGAGTCAGTCAGGCGGGTGAAGCTAGCTCAAGTCAAGAAGAAGCAGCTATTGCACGTGCGCTCCGCGCGAAGCTAGACCACGACTTCACACTAGCATTGGCGTTTCATGTCAAAATGGTCCAAGTAATTACCATGTTTACTACCGCTGTCCGCGTGCGGACTCTCCGTGTCCGTATACGCGTAGGCTCTACACCTACATCCCCGGCGTGGGCAACCAGCGGCATAGCAATGACTATGTCACATGCACAATGCTGGTGTTGTACAGTGGGCCGGGCTGCTCCGTCGATGTCTAGAACGGATGGGCGGCGAACAGAAGGGCTTCTCCCCATGCTTTATTTGACGAAAGTCCTGCATTTCCACCGAGCAAATAGCGAGGAATGTCGTATTCTTCTTTCTGCAGTTGATATTCCCGGCGTGTAGAAAGCGACGTTCATTATGGCTGATGAGGAGGCGACCGGCTACATGCGCTTCCAGGACTCTGGTACGGACTTGAACAAACACGCCCCTGGCTCGAAGTCAAAAGATGCCAGGAAAGGTGAAGTATCCATGGACATGGAAATGGACGATCTGCAGGTGTCGCTGGAGAAAGAGGAGGGCACGCTACGACGCAAGCAACGCAACATGGTCGACCATTCGCTAACAGTTTACAGTGATCCCAGCGCCGTCCGACCGACCAGTAGCATCGAGTGAGTTTTGCGGCCAGAGCTAGATAGAGTAACGTTATTGTTTTAATTTGGCTTCTTGTCATTCGCTTTGCGAGTCTGTATCCAGGGCTGAGTTTGGCTGAAACAGTTGTTGTAGATCTACGCTGTAGTGGTCGAGCTCATGAAAACAGCACAAGGGTGGTTCAGGGGCTCATTGATTTGGCCCGACTCGAGTGCTGGGATAGTTCCGGACGAGCAGTGCGCGTAGCACTGTACCTGTGCGTGACTCATCTCCTGCTGCTGCTCTATTTATAGGGGTGTAACTGCAACACCTGTTGAGCCCTATGGAATATGTTCAATAGCACATGTGTGTATTCGTCATTCACTGTCTGCAGTGCACGACGCCAACCCAGGGGCCAGCATGCATTCATGGGGCTGTGTTCCGACCTGCACTGGCCTTGACACTGCTCCTGGTATAAGAGCCAAAGCCAGAGACAGCACACGCATGTCCACCAGAGCGTAACATTTTCTTTTCTTTACATCACGTCCTGCCCTCTGCCACACATGTACACCCCCACCCCACCCCCTGTATTCCTGACATTGTATTCCATGGTGAGCAGAATGAGGCCACATGGGCACGGCGGCTGTTGTAAAAAGTAGCAAGGACTGCAGGTCGCCAGTTTCCGACGACCTGGATATACAAATTAATAGGCTAAATTGATTTTTTGCAACTTCAGAAATTGGCACACTTTTACAGTGGAGCTGCCGATTTCTTGCACAGTCGAACTTCACTTGTACAAATCCCAGTTACCAGGAACCTCCGGACCATGCCGGTTATCCAGAGCCTCACTTATCTCATCCCCAGTCACATGTACTTGGAGCCTCAGTCGTCCGGGAGTTGCATCCGGAACGGCCTCACATAGACCACAGTTTGAACAGGATCCTCAGCTACCCTCAGCTACCCTCAGTTACCCTGGTTGTCTGCAACCTCACTTATCCAGACCTTGATTATTTGTGGAGCCCCTGACTTATCCCGATCCTACAGTTACATGTATCCGGACCCTCACATGATTCTCTGCACTTGCTGTGGGTTCAAACTCAGGTTATCAACACGATTTCTTTCCTCTTTCTTTGTGTCAATATTATCTGCAACTAAAGTAATAATAATAATACCGTATTTTTCCGGTTGTAAGTCGACCTTGTATGACTAAAAATAGAAGTAGAAAGGGTGGGGGTCGACTTACAACCGGGATTCGACTTATAACCGGGAACTATCAGTATCTTACCAAAAATGACCTGCACTGCATGCACGAGTGCACCATGTGTACACATTTTGCCAGTTTATTGGCCTTTTTCAAGGATTGGGACATTATACCCTCCAATAGGGAATGTTTACATGATTTGTTGATGTGTCAGTAGCAAGGAGTGATTAAGTAGTGCTTCTTTTGGTGAAAACTTCAAAACGCAGAATTGAGACCTCCGGATACGGGGGTCGACTTATAACCGGGGTCAACTTACAACCGGTAAAATACGGTACTGACTTTTCCCGTTTGTCTCTTTCCCTCAAACCAGTTAAAATAATAATAATAATACCACAGCACGCGTAGTAATATAATTATGTGGGTATAATTATATGTTCCGCTTCTGTCCTATCTCCTATGATCTAATTCCTTTATCAAGATAATTATTAACACGGTGATGACCTGTGACGCCAGATCATGGATTGTTGGCCAGATTTCTCCATGTAGGCTTGTCCAGAGCGATGGCCCTCACATTCTCCAGCTGATTGCTGTACTTCAAGTCGATGTTCCTTCTCTGTAAGTTGCTTGTGATGCGCGTCGCAATGAATGTCCTTGGACGTCCACGCGCAGCCTTGGCATCTCCTGCAAAATAGCCCGTCAGCGCGATCCATGGCGGCACATCCCTGTCCATACGGAGAATATGGCCGGTTAGCTGCCATCTTCTCCTGTCCACGATGTCAGATAGTGGTTCCGTGTTGCACCTCTCATACAGCTCAGTATTTGATATCCTGGCTGGGTAGACTATGCCAATGAGCCCTCGGAGCTGCTTCCGGTGGAATACGTTAAGCGATTCTGCTTGTGCCGCCGTGAGCCCCCATGCGCCGCAGTACGAAAGAACGGGCAGAACCAGGGCATTATACAGTCGGATGCGCCTCTGCTCACTGACCTTCCCACGCCTCAGCCAGAGGCTATATATCCTGCCGTATGCACTCGAAGCGAGGTCTTTCCTCCGCTCCAAGTCCTCACTGTCGCCAATGAGGGACCCTAGCTGCTTGTTGGACCGCCAGGAGTCTGAAGTTGATGTCAGATGCAAGAATTCGGTCTTGGTCTTGTTTACTGTAAGGGACCAATCCCCGAGTTCTGCGCTAATGATAGGGAGGCTTCGCTTCAGCCACTCCTCACTGGTTGAGTACAACGTCACATCATCGGCGTAACCTGTTTCTCCGGGTATCTGACGGTCGGCGAAAGGGCGTTCGGGAAGGTTTGCTCTCACTTGGCGCAGTGCTGCAACTAAAGTAGAGAAGATGTATCTAAAGATGACAACCTCTCCTCCAAAAAAATGAATGGTTATGCGGCGTGGCTTGGATTCATGATCCAGAAAGAACGAGTAGTCCAGACACTTTATCCCAGTTGCAAAGCCAAAGGTCATGGTCTGGAAAGAGAGAGAGAGAGAGAGAGAGAGAGAGAGAGAGGGGTAGACGGGGAGAGAGAGAGAGAGAGAGAGAGAGAGAGAGAGAGAGAGGTAGACGGGGAGAGGGAGAGGGAGGGCGAGAGCTAGATACCTTCTAGCAAGGTTGACGCATCGCCTTAAAGCAATTGATCTGAAACCCTCCTCCGGTTTCAAATTTCAATTCTGTGTTTGCAGAGCGCTGCGCGCCAAGATGCTGAAGTTTGTGGACAGCATGGTGATGAGGTAAGAGATGATGTAGCCCAATGTCAGCCTACATACTCAGTGCATGCATTGCACAATGTAGTGATGGGAGCGTAGTGTAATTCAGGTACTGGTGGAGTGTGATCTTTGCAATCGGATGTGACACCCATGCTACAGCTACCAGTGTATTAGACATGTGCTGCACAATGCAATGGGCTGTTGGCATTATCTGCTCAGTTACCCACTTAGCATGCATTACTTTTCTTGGAGACAAATGGACTAAAAGTCGAGAAACTCTGAGAACAAGCTTCTGGCTCCTCGCAATCAATATCCGTCCACAAAGCTCTTTCACGAGCACTTTCTTTCACTGGTACTAGTGGAAGGCTTTTGAGAATGATATTTGCGAGGATCCTCATGAAGCTTGTTCTTTTCTTGAGCTTTAGCATTAATTGAGCACTGTATTCGACCCCCCCCCCCCATCACACGCACACACACACACACACACACACACACACACACTTACACACACACACACACACACACACACACACACATATACACACACACACACACAAGGCACATTGAGGGCGCATTCGAATTGTCACTCTTTGACTTTTCGAGGAGTTTCGTTTTTCTGAAGACTCGTTAGACTTTCCGGTTTTACAGTATGTGGAGATGGTCGATCTGATCGGACGTCATTATCGCCATGACAATTCCACTGACAAATTCCAAAATGATAGAAACTGTTCTGATGGACACTTCAACTGATCTCTTTAAAAAAAGTTGTTGGAACAGTTGATGAAGACAATTCAAACGCCCCCTGATTCTCGTTCTTTGACAAAATATGTCCTGCTTGCTACAAGAAAGGACCCTATGGAAATATCGGTGATGGTCACAACTCACGAGCCTTACTTTCTGTGATGGCTCTTAATTAAGATGATGTGAGCGCTCAGTGCTCTAATTCTCTACATGTTTTTATCCTTTGCTGTTGTCATGACTACCACAGAGGGATAAGTGTTCTTTTCGTGGTAATTGATATTATCCTACTCATTGTCAACTTGTCTATATATGGGGTCAAGAACTCTGACCAAGAACCCACAGTAAGTATAGTATCACTACCATGAGTCATGGCTGGTAGATATGGAATCTGTATTTCATAGCATGCCTCACTCCTGACCACTAAACATCATTGTGCAGCAAGATACCATTTAAAAAATGCTCGGCTGGGACTTGGCTGGTCGGCACCAGTAATTATCTTGTCTCAGCCCGGCATTGTTTGCAAGGCTCAGTATTCAGGGATCATCAGCACAGCTGTCAAAGTCCCTGCATTTTGGTCTTTTGCCTTCTGTATGGGAATAAATACACTCACATTTATCACGTATGAAGGAAGTTGAGACGACTACAGTATTTGTGATCATGTGATGAACAACTGTATGTTGCTTGCTGCTGCTGTTGCAGGGATATGCAGTTGCCGCAATGTTCTTTTCCTCATACTTCATGATAGAGCTCGGCTTGAGGATCTTTGCTCGAGGGTAAGAAGCTGGTTTCAATTAATGCTACGTCCATTGTTAAGCTGCTGCACATCCGTGTGATAATGGTGAAAGCGGCCAGCGCTTGCCTTGTTGCTAGTTTTAAAGGACTTGCATGTGTGCGCATTCTGAACGTGTATCCTCCGGGCATGTTCCGATGCATGCACAGCCGTGCTTGTCATGGCTGTCACAGCTGCCAGATGCTGCTGCTGTACCAGTATGTCTCTCAGTCGCACCGCAGCTACATTGTATGTGCAGTATTAGTCACTTCAATCTCTCATACACTAGTATCCCTTGTACTGTGTGTACTCGGTACTACTACTAGTATCCTCTGTACTGTGCCTTTGGTCCTGTCCAGGTCTTCCTTCTTCCGTTACTGGTATGAAATCCTGGATCTGGTGGTCATAGTCGTTTCGTTCATCATGACCGTGGTGGTGATTTCCAAGCCGAATATTGCCGACACTGCCAGGTACTTGCGTGATACTTGTAGAGTCACTGAGCTGAATGGCAATGTCATGCGGTCTTTCAATGTACTAAGTATGATGGTCTCATCAGCAGCCTGAGCTGGGAGTGTGGACTGGGAGTGTGGACTGGGAGTGTGGACTGGGAGTGTGGACTGGGAGTGTGGAGTGGGAGTGTGGAGAGTGGACCGGCCAGACCGGTTGCAATCAAGCCCAGTGAAACAACACGGCATATTTTAAACCGGCTGAAAGCATCAAACTGTCAAAGACTCTTGAGTGCACTAACTTGTCAAAGACTCTTGAGTGCACTAACTTGTCAAAGACTCTTGAGTGCACTAACTGCGAGAAAGTGCAGCCAGTTTTGCAGCGAGTGGTACAGAGATTGAGTAACAGCACTGTTATTCAGTTTGTATACAACCGTCTTGGTGATTACATGACGTATAATGTGTTCACACCGTATCTAGTTACGCCATAGCACGCCGTCACGTACTATGCATGACTATACCGTTGTATTGTGTGTGCATTTGGTGTGTAGAGTTGTGCTGGTCGGTCGACTTTTCCGCATTCTCCTCCTTGGACGCATCATCAACGAGCGATATCAAATGTCAAGAGTTTCACGCCATGTGGTAGGTGCCGTGTGTTTCTTGCGGATGGTATTTTGCTGTGTTATGCTACTTTCAAGGTTAAGGACAATTGTTTCCGCTGCGCGGAAGTTGTACAATTTACGGCAATATCTGAAGTTGCAGTGTCCAAGGCCATGGCAATAGCCATGAGAAACTGGCTACTGGAATCAGTGGTGTTCTGGGTGTATTTGGCTTTGCAGTTTGTACTGGTCCGCTTTACGAAGGGGGGGGGGGGTAAAAATGAGCATGTCTGTGTGCATGTTTTGAACACGTGGGAAATTCTGTGTCCATGCGCAGGTATCTCAAAACAAGCGTCGCTACATGAAGGACGGCTTTGACTTGGACCTGACCTACGTCACTGGTGAGCAAGCCTGTCCGCGTCGAGTACACACACCGACCATGTGACACGCTACATACGCAGACACACCACGCAGACACACCACTCACTGGCGATAACTCAGTTTTTTTAGTCTTTCGCCTTGGTTATATTTATTCCCATGGCTACTATGCAGAAAGTTGAAACAGGCTGTTCAAGTTGGAATTCTATTCATCCAGGACTGGGTGAAGTGGACGGGCCAATTCATTTCACCCTCGTTGCATTTGGATCAAATGTTTAAACAGCATGTATTTCCGGCTGTAGGCGTAGCTAACTCTGCTACGTCTTTCATGTATAATTGCTACTGAAGTATGTCGGGACCAAGTGTTCAACTTGTGTGTGTGTGCATGTGTGTGTGTGTGTGTGTGTGTGTGTGTCTGTGTGTGTCTGTGTGCGTGTGTGTGTGTGTGTCTGTGTGTCTGTGTGTGTGAGAGAGAGAGAGAGAGAGAGTGTGTGTGTGTGTGTGTGTGTGTGTGTGTGTGTGTGTGTGTGTGTGTGTGTGTGTGTGAACCGTGCACACGACTGTTCTTACTTGTGTGTTCTCCCAATGTAGAACGTGTCATCGCAATGGGTTTTCCGTCCAGCGGGAAGATGGGTCTGTACAGAAACAGTGCTGCGGTAAGCACACAAGCGCACGAGCAAGCAAGCATGCACAAACACACGTACATACATGCATGCACACCCACACACACCCATATACACACACACACACACACATACACACAGGCCCGCTGGAACCGGTCCGGTTGGTCAGGTGATCACCGGACCAACTCTGCGGCCACCAACACATGTTTATGGCTGAGGAGGGCATCATGTCCCCGTATGTCCCCGTATGTCCCCGCCATATCAAACACGACAGTATGGACGATCGTAGTACGACCGGACTAATTGAAAACTGCTTCCGGCGGTCCTGATACACACCCAGTGATTATTGGTCAGGTATACTCTAACTTACGATCCTCTGAGCGTGATGTTGTGAGCACATTCTCATGATTGCTGCAATTACTCTGATATTGCTATCATAACCCAGCATCATTGGGCCATTTAGCTATGACTCTGAGTTTATCTGGCTACACAATCACAACCAGATAGCAACATGCACTGTGTTTGGTGTTATAATTATATCTTCTCTCTGCATCTTCTGCACTGCACGATTGTGTGTGCATGTGTGTTTGTGTGTGTGTGTGTGTGTCTGTCTGTCTGTCCCGGTCTGTCTGTCTGTCTGTCTGTTCTGCCTGTCTGTCTGTGCGGAATCTGTGCGTGTGTGTGTCTTGTGTTTATCCTTTCATGTATGGGCGCAGGAAGTGGTGAGATTCTTTGAGACGAAGCATCCCGGTCACTATCGGGTGTACAACTTGTGCAGTAAGTCAGCTACATGTTGCGCGTGGCGTATATCCACATGCATATCCGCTCTGCGCACTACATACCCGGCTCATCTGTACAGTGGGTGTGTGCCTTGAAGGACGTAGGGGGTCATATGTTAAGGCCCAGTGGAATGTTCCTATTTGAAAAGAGAAAAGAGGCTGGGTTTCGATTTTTGTTCTTTGACCAATGTGGTCACAAGATGGTTGGTATTTCATGCTATCTGCATGCACTCACATGCACTCCCTAACTTTGATTATGATATGCAAATATTAGATACTATGATGCTAATCGGCCCCAGCAGCCTGTGTTGTGTAAATCCTATATCTAGTATCTAGGTTAACTGTTCTTTGGTAATACACCGACTTTTGAAGCACGGGCTTTCTGTAGTAGTGCCCGATATGCCTTACATACCACCACCCACCCCCACCCCCACCCCACCCAAGACCTAGCCATGGTAAGGACTGCACTTATATGATCTGAACGGTTTCATGCTAACCTCATTTGATACATCATCGGTTAGCTTACCAGCTACTAGTCGTACATGTGACCAGCAGTTTTGGCTAAGTCACGGCTGACCGTTTATGAGCTATTCAAGAACGAGAGCATTCTTGCATTGTCTGGCTAAATTCGTCCTCTCTACACGCTGCCTGTTGGTGTGTATGTGTGTGTGTGTGTGTGTGTGTATGTGTGTGTGCATGTGTGTGCATGTGTATGTGCCTGTGCGTGGATGCGTGTGCTTGCGCTTGTACTTCATTGTCGTCCGCACAGGTGAAAAGGGCTACGATGTGGGAATGTTCAGTGGCCAGGTCTATCGGGTCAAAATCGATGATCACAATGTACCACTTCTGCAGTAAGTGTGACCTGCTAGTTTTTTTATCAGTTCCATGGCTGCAATGCATGTGTGGATACCTCTCACCAGAGTGTAGTTTGATCACGTTTTGAATTGTGCCCTCTTGGACAACTGAGGGGAACGAACGGAGAGCTGAATTGGCATCCTCATCATCGGGTCGTGGCTTGGCGTGTTGGAGGACCCCAGAGGCTTCAAAAACCAATCCCAAACGGTCAGAAGGAAGATAACGGGCATGTGTAATTGAAATGCTGGTTAGTCCTCTTCATCGGCAGGCCTTGGATTACATTGCCTTTCCACTTACACATACCGCACCCCTAACATGGCACTGTGCTTCCAGGTGTATCAGTAAGTAACAGTTGGTAGTGACAGTAACACATCTGATGTCATCGTCATTATTGCCCCTATCGTGTCATCTGCAGTGAGCTGATTGAGTTCTGCGAGGACGTGCACAGGTGGATGGAAGCCCACCCCGACAACGTCATTGCTGTGCACTGCAAGGGAGGCAAAGGTCAGTGGTCGGCATGACAAATTAGTAAACTGAAACCTGTCTAAGATGATTGCTGGCCAGGGACCTTCAGAAGGTGGTCTCTGTTACTAGGTGTTCTCTGTTACTAGGTGGTCTCTGTTACTAGGTGGTCTCCTTATCCAGGGTCATGTGACTGGGAATAGCATCCCTTGATCGTAGTTTCAGTGGTCTTCTGGTACAGGTAGTCGGTCGCCTTACTAAGTATCCGGGCCAAGTGGTCGCCTTCACGTATGAGTTTACTCAGTGTACCTGACGCCGAGGTTATTTATCTTAAAATGGCCATGCCAAGTTGTTCGCCGTGAATTCGGAAAAAAAGATATTTCTGTAAGAATGTATGGATGGGCTGAGGAAGGTCACCATCAATGCTTCATGCACAGGCAAATTTGAAGAAATATAGAGTTTCCTACTAGGCTGATTTCCTGCTCAATTGATAAAAGTACCTTCCACCATTTGCTCACACATGTGGGAGCACTGGCATGAAGAGAGCTTCTCTCCTCCCAATTTTCCTTGTTAAGTTAAATCCATAATCTCGGTTGGTTTTTTTAACCTTCAACCCCTGCACACCTTCAACAGATTACCTCTGTGCTTGTTTTCTCGTGCAGGTCGTACGGGTACGGTGGTATGTTGCTGGCTGATGAGATCGGGAATGTACCAAGATGCCGATGTAAGTCAACGTGCTGCCTGGGAAATCATGTGCGCTTATCACAACAGCATGAAGTGCAGGGTGTAAAACACATTGCTCGGCTCAATTCGCCACTTTGTAGCTGGTCAGATCTAATCACCTCCCCTCCCACCGCTTTCGTAGCTGCATCTGCGCCTTTATCGTTGAGGGTGGCAGTGTTCCTGCACGGATGTGGATACTCCGTCTGACTGGGTCTCATGCGAACCGTGAAACTTGTTGTATGTTGCTCTCTGAAACTGAAAACAAGGCAACGAGAGTGTTGGCATGCTGTGACGCATGGTTAGCTTAGTCAATCCTGTGGGCTGTTTCACTTTGCATGGGCAGTGTAGCCAATCTGCGCTGGTTGGGCTTAGGCCGGACACGGTTTTGGTGTGCCAGGTAAGCTTTGGTGCTTACAATGCAACGAAAGATAGGGGAAAGCTGTCAATGGTGTATCTATGTATTGTGGCAGTGCTGGTTGGACCATCTGAATTCTTTAGTGACCGGTAGTTGCCAGACCAGTTCCGCAGAGAGTCACGCCATGCCATGCACTAGGTATGTGTAGCTAGTCACTGGGTCTCCGTCTGTGCCTTGGACTTGGTTCTTTCCTGGCTTGTTCTTGCAGTCTTGCCTGGCATACTTTGGTGAGCGACGGACTGACCTTTCCAAAGGACACAAGTACCAGGGAGTGCAGACACCGAGTCAGGTAAGTCGCAAAAGAACGCCAGTGGAACTTCATCAGATCCAAATGAGTGCTGGAAACAAGTGAAAATTGTCTTCAGTAGTGATTGCACAGGCATACCATAGACAATGATATGTTCTTGTACATCGTGTGACCATTTCTCATAGAATGGTTGAAAATGAAAAGACATTGTTCATACTTGGGCATCAGACAGCCATGCGTGCGTACACAAAACTGCTCAAAACTATAACAGGTGTGTGCTAAGCTGCTCTACACTGTCCATGCTATTTCAATGTGTTTGTGTTCAATGTACAAACATGTGTGTGTGTGTACAACTTGTATATCATGTGGCCTGTGTGTGCACGATGTATATGCCCGCTGTGTGTGTGCCTGTGTGTGTATGTGTGTGTATGTGTGTGTATGTGTGTGTGTATGTGTGTGTATGTGTTTGTGTGTGTGTGTGCCTGTGTGTGTACAGAGTCGCTGGGTAGGGTATTATGACGAGTATCTGCACAGGCTGAATCGAGTACTGCCCACTTCATATGAATATCGTGTAAAAACAATCAAGATTTATGGAATCAACGGTAAGACCTTCCTCCATCTTTCCTCCTGATCTCCCACTGGCCGCTGTTTGATTACCTTCAAGTACTGACATCAATGTTTGCATCTGGGTCCATTCCGATTCTTCTTTCTATCGTTCTTTCATTCACCCACTCATCCAGCCATCCATTCGTTCTTCTGCCCATACGTCCACCCAGACCACTGTGACCCATACATCCACCCGCACCACCCACACATCCACCCATGCATGCAGCCATCTACTACCAAGTATCTATCTGGCTCCCTCCTTCATGCTCCCATGCATGTACAGTATTCCCCTGTATACAGGTGTGCATTGCTGCATTGCTGTTCAGCTTGGTGTTCTCACTGTCCCTGCGTGCTTTCATGTCCTGTCAGGCATTGGGGCTGGTGATGGTCAAGATCTCTTCCTGCACATTATTGCTGATGGTACAACCACGGCAGACTTTGCCCTCTACAACCCGGCTGTTTCGTCAAAGGTATGCAGCCAGCAGAGCTAGTGCTGCTAGGTAGAAAGTGGGGGTCTTACGTCATCAAGGAAATCCCTCCACACTGTAGGCCATTGTGCAAGTTTTCACCAGGGAAATAATCTTTGAAGTATTAGGGCACCGACACACCATTGGTTAGTGGTAGAGCATCGCTGGCCATAAATGAGTGTCCCGGATTTGAGACAGTCGATTTTTCTTCAGACTGCTCCAGTTCAAGTTTGAACTCCCGCAACTCCCTCATCTTATGCTGGCAGTGACACTGAGTATGTGTGTACTGGTTCTTGTTCTTCATGCTGTTCTGATTTCTCATTCACCTGCTTTACCCACACCCAGTATTCACTGTACACCCATGCAGTGCAGGAGTGCTAATCAGTCCCAATGGTCTGTGTACTTGATGCTGGCCGGTGCCGGTGTGCACGTCTCTGTGTAACCTTTTCTGTAGGTGCTGGCTGATGCTGGTGGTGATGTGTTGACGGTTGATATCAAGCATGGCGCGGTACCACCGATTAAGGGCAACGTCAAATTCCGGTTCACTTGCTCAACGGTAAGATCATGCTAGTGGTTTGTACCCAAGCGGGTTGAGATATGTGTGCACTTGCATGTGCACAAACACACACACACACACACACACACACACACACACACACACACACACACATACATGTGTGTGTATATGTGTGTCTGTGTGTGCGCACACAAGAGTGTATGTGTGTGTGTGTGTGTGTGTGTGTGTGTGTGTGTGTATGTGTATGTGTGTATGTGTGTATGTGTGTGTGTGCATGTGTATGTGAGTGTGCACAAATGTGTCCCCTCACCGGCTATTGACTGCTTTACGACTGTCCAGGAGGGAAGCCTAATTCGACTAAATGTGAAAAGCACATCTTGATGGATGCACTATTGTTCTTCAATGCAATAACAACTCGACAAATGAAAAGTGGCATGCCAGCTTGTGTCGAACGGGGCACGTCATCAGCTCTTTGATCCATGTACAACGGATATATCTGCTATTGATCAAGTACTTCAAAGTACAATGGTGTTAGTTGGCAACTGAATTTCTTCGTTTTGTACTTACTCAGAAAGCTCCAGAGCTTATCTCTTGTATTCACCGTTGGGCCTAATCAAATTTTGTTTGTGCAGAAAATAAAGATGAAGGGCCTTTACGACAAGTCTCTGTTCTTCTTCTGGCTACACACTGGCTTTGTCAAGGACTTCAGGTAGGTTGGCTTGACTGAACATTAACTGTGATGAATTTTTATACTTATCCGCGGTAACCACGCAGCAGGCTCAGGCCTGGTAGAACTGTTTAAACTGGTCAGTTCATGGTCGGAGCAACGTTTTGGCCGGCAATGTGTTTCACTGGCTGAATGAAGACCATTCTTAGCTGCCGTTGTATCAATATACTTCAAAGTACTTTGAAGTGGAATGTACGCATGTGAAAGGCTGGAGCAGGACCAGCCGACACAAAATCTTCTTCTACCGGTCATGCTGTTGTTGTGCCGCAGTACCGATGGCAGTAACATTGACTTTACAAGCAGGACACTGGCAAACTGTGACTATTAGCTGCTTCACTGAACCGAGGTTCACACGACACACACCATGCGGTAGCTAGCACACCGTTCAAAGGCAGTATATTGTAACGTAGTTCTACTGTATTATTGTGCCTCATTGTAGTTGTCTTCTTCGGAATTGGATTCCAGCGAGCTTGCCTGCAATATGCTCTGCTTGTTTTCAGATTCCATTTGACTCGGGATGATATCGATAATCCGCACAAGCCGAAAACGCACGGCGTTTTCCGAGACAACTTTGCCGTCGACCTTATCTTTGAGGAAGTATGATCCGCTTCAGTCAGCCATGCAGAAAGACGGTGTTTGTACAGCAAGGTTTGAGTGCTAACATGAGTGGTGTGTTCTATAGCATGTGTGTCTGACGAATGCCACACCTTGTGCTGCGGTGACTAAGTAGGTGTTGGAGTGTATGGCACACATCATGCCCTGCACGATGCATGCGTCCAGCAGGCACGCCGAAACTGTGCAGGCACTCGGCTTCATTCCAAACAAGTGACAAACTCATTGCGCAGTGCATGTGCCGCTTTCGCTCTCAAGCCAAGGATCCGGGGCCCACGTGGCCTACGGAGGAGCTATTTGCACTAAAATAGTGACATCTGCACTTGACCAACAGTGGCGTGTTATTGAGCTACAAGTCAGCAGTCCCCCCCCCCCCCCCCCTACCCCTGGCCACTAGCCACTGTTCAATGCCTTCTTAGCACTGCTCTTCTCTTCCTGAACTGCATGCCAGATATCTTCATTCCTGTTTTCTGTGTGCCTTGTATCTCATCACTTTTAAAAATCTGTTTAATTTTGAACAAATTTCGACCCTAATTCTAGGAAGCATTCACGATCCGTTCGGTCTTGTTTATGATCAGAAAGATTTAAGACGGTCTATTCTTGTTGACTACTTTGCCATAATCAACGTTATTGATTTATCTTTCTTGACGCTTTGATCTCTTTCCGACTTCCTATTATATTGGGACGAAAGAGAGGTCCATTACCAGATGAACAATTATACCCATTATACAAGTATACAATTATTTGGTAGGAATTTGGTTCATTGTGAGATGAATTTATATCGAATATTTAGTTAAAATTACTAATGCTAGATTAGCTTTTAAAAAGCTTCCGACTGAAGAGAGAGAGAGAGAGAAAGAGAGAGAGAGAGAGAGAGAGAGAGAGAGAGAGAGAGAGAGAGAGAGAGAGGGAGGGAGGGAGGGAGGGAGGGAGGGAGGGAGGGAGGGAGGGAGGGAGGGAGGGAGGGAGGGAGGGAGGGAGGGAGGGAGGGAGGGAGGGAGGGAGGGAGAGAAATGCTGTGTACATGTATTGTTCATTGCAGTGTTGTACTTTTGTGCTATCTCGCTGATGATCGCGTTAAGTTTAGAATGATGGAATAGACGGGCTTTGTCTTGTTGGTGTCTTTTTCATAGTAATAGTGACTAAGTTTATGAAACATAAGCCCCTCGGGGAGGAGCACTAGACGATTGGTGCTAATCACAGTGACATATAGGTGTAGAGGTAATTACTAGTGCTAGCCCTTTAGTCACGTTTGGTTATGCATGGCCCTTGCCCTAGCTGTGTGCAGGAAATGGCAAGACGGGACTAGGTCTGGGGATGCTGGTTTTGTCATGGAGGGGGGGGGGAGGGGGCAGCTCTTATGGTGAACTGGTACATGAAGATCTATCATGGAATCGTATAAATCCAGGGTATTCTCACTTTGCCATGTTGTGCACAGCTATACCGACACTGCATTCTACCGCCCAGGAAATCTACCTGTTGCCTGCTGTTGACCAAGTGTTGTCGTGTTGACTAAAAAAATATTAATTAATTCACGTCTAGACTCCCCGGTGACTGGTGTAGATATCTACACTCACCTCGGGCTGACTGGTCTAACCCAGGCCAGGGTAAAGCGCTCTCCGCTCCACTCCCCAATCTTGATGATTTGCGCCAGGTAAGAACCATCCTGAGCCTAGCCTGAGGGCCTGTGAGGCCTCATATCAAGCGCTAGCGCGCAATGAAGGTGTGAACTTTGACCTCGGCATTCAGGCAGTCACCATCACCATGATCAGGACGTAGACAGCTATAACTGCTCAGGAGTCCTGACTTGCACTACAATACATTTTGCAAGGTGAGGAGTAACGGTCTGTACTGTAGCTTATAACCTCTTCCCGATCCCGGGCAAAACGAACGGTCGGTAGCTGCTGTAGAACTACACTACTACTACTACTACTACAGCCTGGTAAAGTACATGTAGTATACATTACATGTACATGTGTACTTGAGAACGGTTTTATTCACAACACCATAGTATTACTAGTACATGGCCAAAGCGAGAAGGCGGGAAGCTGTGGTCGTGCTCTGGCGCTGTACATCTCGCGTGTGCATTGTGCCTGCGGTCCTTTCGCGATAAAAGCGCCAACTGCAAGGACAACTCTAACTACTTACTTGCTGGTTACGTAAGTCTGAAGTTGTGCACGCAACTATTAGTTTGCGAAGAATTATACGAAGGACAGGTCACTGAACTCATCCAAAGGCTTCATTCTTCAGCTCATACTTGTCATAGTGTAGTGTCTTGTCTTCCGCGGAGCATGGAGACACGGAAAGTGGCTCTAACGAAGGAAGCCAGGAAAGGAGTCAGAAAGAAGCTTCCTGGAGGACTGGCGTAGGAAGCCTTAACAACTGGACACCTGAAGTGACTTCTGCACTGCTGCCTTGAGTGGTAAGGAACGCCGCCTGGCAAGCTGCACATTCGCTTGCGAGACGCTCGCAAAGTCAGCACAGCAATTGTGATTTGACAGTGCTTTGTGGTGTAGTGCGTGTTCTTTCTTGATAACAGGGTCGTGGTTGTTGCAAGGAGCCTCGGTCTGCCTGCTGAGACCGTGGGTTGCTCGCACACTGTATGTATTAGCTGAGCGGCTTGCTACGCTGAGAATAATTCAAGCACGGTGTGAGCAGTTTACCCGGAGCTTGAGGCGGAGGAGCCCCTTGGACTGGGTGTGTGTGTGGGGGGGGGGGGGGGTGTACTGTGCTGTACTGTGCTGAGTGTTGGGTGCCGTTGAAGCCCGACCTTGATGTACTGTGCTCTTTCCATCTGCGCTGCATCCGTTCCGTGATGGGTATGACCGTATCAGCCAGCGGAATGTCTGGGACGAACGACTGACCAGGGTTGATGTTCTGGAGCGGTGGAATCCGCGTCAGCCCCGTGACATCCCCAGCCTGCTGACATCGCGCCGCATGGAGTGGCTTGGGCATGTTGTGCGAATGCATGAGGAGCGTGCCCCGCGTCAACTACTGTTTGGCACCCTACATCCTGTCCGTCCAATGTGTGGCCCGAGGAAAAGGTGGCGCGATGCTGCGCGGAACCGGAAGGATCTGGCGGCGTTGGGCATCGACGAATGGTATGACTTGGCCCAGGATAGACGGGAATGGCGGGCCGCTTACAATGTTCTGCCCCCGCCCGAACCCGTTTGTGAGCCCCTGCGGATACCTTGTGCCGAGTGTGACCGTCTCTTCTCCAGGAGTGGTTTGCCTCGTCATAAATGCCTCAATGAGCGCCGCAAACCTGTATCAGAACAGAGAGGTAGCCGACAATGTTCTTCCTGCGAGCACTGGTTCCGCAGTGCCGGAGGTTTGGCGGTCCACAAGTGCCCCAACTCCCGGATGCTCCCCGCGATATCGTCTCGGGCTCCGTGCCGGGCGACGGTGTCTACCATTGCTGCTCAGGCGACTCCTCTGCCGCCGCGTGTGCGGCTCGCCCTCTCATGCTGCAAGGCCCACTGTGGGGCCTGTGGCCGGTGCTGCCGCTCTACTCGTAGATTCCAAATCCATAGCTGCCAAAGATGGCTCTCTCGTCGTGCCGATTGAACATTGTCCCTGATCTCTTGGCAGACTGCCGACTTTCTGCCGTCGCTCGTCGTTTCCATGTATTGTTGTCGGTCCCGCAAGGGGACACGTGACCGTAATGGCAGTGTTTACCAGGACCAGGTGTGTGTGTGTGTGTGTGTGTGTGTGCATGCATGTGTGTGTATGTGCACATGTGTGTATGTGCACGTGTGTATGTATGCGTATGTATGTGTGTGTGTGTGTGTGTGCATGTGTGTGCACTTGTGCGTTTGCGTCCATGCCCATGTGTTATGTGTGCAATTTCTTGTATTCTCTTGTAGACCAGTTGCTCTCCAGTCAAGCTGAAGAGGTACCTTCTAAGACCATGGAACCCGCACTGGTCGTTTTGTCACCAGTGAGCCTGTCATAATGCGTTGTCAAGAAATTATGACGTCACTGCTGGCAACCTGATGTGGTGACTTCCCAGTAAGCTTTGGCCCATCTCGTTTGACCAACCAGCAATAAGGAACCCTGACAAGTTGGCTAGAATGGTGAACCGGCTTGGGAAGCTTCAAGGTACATGTACATAGTGCTGTATTGCACTTCTATTATTATTTTTTAGTTCGAGACTCAAATGGTCAGATTCTCACTCAGAGAGCTTGGGGACACATACTACACATGACAACTGAAACATTTGTATTGAGAGGTTAGGCCGTCATCACACAACGTTCACTGACTCCCGTTTACGTCTACGGTAAAAAAAGTAAATTACCGTGTCCGTTCCCGACGGCCGCTAACACCCGCCGTAACGGTAAACCCTAGCAGCAGATGCAACGCCTATTATATAAAAGGTGGGGGTGAATGGATAAGTCTCATAACCACTGGCACAAGCACCGAGAAACCCCATTAGCCGCATCCATGTACCCCTTGTACCTGGCCATAAGTTCCCAGTTGACTGTGGGTAGTCTACGGTGAAAAATCCAAAACAGGTGGTTGTGTCATCAGACAGTCACACTTCTTGACGCATGTACACATTGTCACGGTTTTTGGAGAAATTTGAAAATTTAAACGCACGTACGACGTCGCTTGGAAAGAGACTGAGAGACATACGCATGTTCATCCAAAACTTTGAGTGGTATACCCCCCTCCTCCCTACCACCATACTTGTCAACCATACCGGTTTTCCCGGTATTATACCGGGGAACTACGGTCACTACCGGCATACGGGGATTTTTGACTTTGATCGAAATACTGGTATTGACACTGAACCATGAGTGTTCAAAACAGCGGGTTGTTTTGTCGTGTGACAAGGGCACATGCGGCCCTGCATTTCACAGAATCACACATGTAGGGGCGATCTGACAATAAACTGAGAAACTCAGGTTTTGGTCCCCGATGTTGCTGTGCGTAGACACTATCTGCACCACAAGTATTCTGTGCAAGGTATACTAAATTTTTGCAAGTAGCTTCTGCTGTTCCTGTTTGTATTATTTTTATTTTTTCACCTTGTCATGTCCCTTCTTCCCGGCTCTCTCATGACAGCCACCTTCACTTCCTTTCCCCAGGAGACTCCCTTTGATAGGCATCCATTTGCCTCTGGAGAATCCTTGAAAGTATAATAATTATCATCAATAAATGAGCAATGAGTTATAAATGAATAAAAAAAGAAACAAATTGCCAAAAATTACGGAAAAATACGCAAAAATAATCAAGGGGAAGAGTGTGCTGCTCCCTACATGGGAGCTCGCGGTTTTCCTGCCGACTTGAATTCTCACTTGACTGACTCACGACTGCCATCCAGAGCACACGAAGTCGCACCAACCTCTTCTTAAATAATCAAATCGACTAAAAAGAAAAATGGCCGAAATTGGCGAAAACCAGGAAAATAAGGGAAAGGAGTGTGAGTGTGGCTAAGGGATTTGCTTTGGCTGGGTTGGCAAGTATGTACCACGTCCATGTTTCCCGTTTCCTCTGCTCCCGTTTTCACTCCGTACATGGATCATCGTGACTACCGACCAAAAACTCCTTACGTGGACGTAGACGCAGTGCTTTGTACGTGAGTGTGATGCGGACAGCCTAAAATGTCCGATGCAAGTAAATGCCATACTCTTCTCTAGGCAGCTAGCTGTTTCGACCTTGTTTTAATTAAAAGTCTTATCAACGGAGCGGCTCAGAGTGACTAGCCGGACCGATCGCACTGAAGTCGAGTGAACAGCACAGGATTTTTAAACCGGCTCACAGCATCAAAGCCAAAGTGTTACGATAATATGCATGTATGTGGTGAACTTTGCACAACAGCAGATAACTTTGACACTAAGCAGAGTGAGTGTTCAACCAAGCCAAGGCTAGGGACGGTATCTACCATAGCATACCGTTGATCCACCCCCTCTCTAAATTCAGACCTTGAGTATAGAATTTCTACCTGTGAAGCGATACTTTACGGTACATAATTATTAGGGCTCAAACGGTCACGGTTTTACCCCTAACGGTTAACTGCTAAGCAAACGGTCGGTTTAACGGTTATAACCTATAAGCCATGGCAATCCTGCGGACTCTTTTTTAACCGTGTATTTGACTATTCATTAAAAAAATGTACCCTATTCAGTACACCGCACACATGTACATTCTCTTGCATGCTCATTCATACATACTCTCACACCAAGAGACCAGATATGACCGAGTTGACAGCCCAGAAATTGCGTACGCGTGCGACAGCCTGCGAAAGTGCATACTTTGCAACCTGATACTTGAAAAATTGACTGAAAAGTTACTGCGTAACCGTTATCTTTATCGGTTAACCGTTAATTCTTCGTAACCGGTCTGCAACCGGTTAATCGGACTAATCGTTTGAGCCCTAATAATTATGATGTACGAACTAGGATAGTGCCTCTTTGGCGGTGAAGCGGAGAAGGTGGCTGCTCTGAGTATTGGAGCTTTCACTCCGAGCTCGGTGACTGACTTGTTTTTAAAAGACTCATGACTGCTGTCTGGAGCACATAAGAAGTCAATTGAACCTTCGACTCGGCAAATCTGCAGGAAACTACCACTCCCTGCTCAATGCAATGTCATAGTGTTTCGGGGAATTCACCCCTGGCATGTCAGTTGGCAGGAAGGGTGAGCTCTAAAAATGAATGTTCGAAGCAGTCATCTTTTACTAGTAATGTACTGCTAAAGTACACTCATACCTCGTATATCCGGGACCGGGCACTCCGCAACTTTGAATCACATACATTTTGATGGGGAAAGGTCATAAATCTGGCATATTATGACATCACTATTTGAGTCTATTTCCTAGAAAGTGACAAAAGAGTAGTAATATTTCCACTGAAACTCGCCGAAAGGGTGCCCGGTAGACCGAATTGCTCGTAACCTCAGGATCTGGATAACCGAGGTATGAGTGTAGCAGTAAAGTCGCATGTGCAGTCCATTCAATTTCTTATCTCGCAAGCTTTGAAAACTCAACTTTGGAAGGTTATCAAAAGCTAGGAGTAAAATTAGTTGTGTGGTCCTGACAATACAAATTCGAAGTACCTTCAAGTATCTTCCATTAGTTCTTTCCGTTTTCTCAAAAAGTTCCCAGCGGAAAGTTTGTCATATAGTGGGGAACAACAATAGAATAGACGGCAACAAATACGTCATCAAGAGCAACAGGTAAACCAGCGCTCTATTTTCTGAAATTATATCGAGGATTGGCGTCGGTCGTTCAAATATTCAAGTTGATTTGAAATTTAATTTATAGTGGGAAAAGTTTTGAACCTGCGTAATACAGTTTGCCAGGCCCATCCTAAGGGGCCGTCCAAGGTTACCAATAATATTTTTAAAACGAAATGTTTTCGTTTGTGGGTGGGTGGGTTTGATGGAGTTTCGTTTTGAAAATAATCATCGAATGCTGATGGAGAATGCCCAGTTACTTCTGGGTGTCGAAAATTGACATCAATATTTTATTGGAATTCGTTTTACCTGCAGAAAAGGTGGGTGGGTGGGTGGGGGCTGAAAAATACTAAAACTTTTCGTTTTGTAAAAACAATCGGTAACCCCGGACGGCCCCTAAGGGGCCGTCCAAGGTTACCAATAATATTTTCAAAACGAAATGTTTTCGTTTGTGGGTGGGTGGGTTTGATGGAGTTTCGTTTTGAAAATAATTATTGAATGCTGATGGAGAATGCCCAGTTACTTCTGGATGTCGAAAATTGACATCAATATTTTATCGGAATTCGTTTTACCGGCAGAAAAGGTGGGTGGGTGGGTGGGGGCTGCAAAATACTAAAACTTTTCGTTTTGTAAAAACAATCGGTAACCCCGGACAGCCCCTAACTAACTACATATAGTCTGTAGTAGAACCTCTCTAGTGCTCGACCCACCATACCACCCGTACTCCGTCTACAGTCAGATGTGTAGTAAGTGCTGCTGCATACTGCCATGTGTTGTGCATAATAACTGTTTGCTGGGTTTTGACTTGTGCTTTCTGGGGCGGAAAAGGTGGTTCTTGACCTGCCCTGCACACGAACCCGTGCAATTTCTTTTCTCTGTTTTCTTCTTCTCTTTGACCATGTTTACTGGGGGGCATCCTTGCACTGCACCACTTTCACCCCGACTCGTCCCACTATGAACGATGACAAAGAAACCCTTGATGACACAGGCAGGCACGCAGGTTTCGATTCTCCTCGTGGTGAAACACCACCAGGCGAGCAGGTTCGTGGCACACCTATTTACGCTTCGGTTTCTCCTTATAAAAAGGGATACGAAAACAAAAAAACGTCCAAAATCCGGAGAACCCTAACAAAGCCAGGTAGAGTTGTCTACACAACAGCACATCTAGAAAGAAAAAAACAAAAGTGTGATAACTTGAGATATAGTCCGGTTAAAATTAGGATGAATATCGAGAAAGGAAAACTGAACATGCGACCAGCGCTGCAGAAGAAACTCAAAATCCCAAATAAAAAAAAGAATAAAGGAAAATGTGGAGCCATCAATCGCATTCCTCAGTAATGTTTCTTTTCCTCCCCTCGCGCTTGACCCACTTAGTCTCACGCTGTTTGGTTTCAACTGGAGGAGGCCGGTTATCCCAGATAACCTGTAGGCGAGCATTGCCCTTGTCCAGCTCATGTACAACGGCAGAAACTAAGTCACCGACATCCGGAGTCTTGCCAAGAAGATCGGCCAGCATCTCACTTGGGGCCTTGGAATTGCCATGACGAAGTATAGCATCTCGATAGCGGCAACCAGCATCCAGGCTGAATGGATTGGCAGCAAAAAGCTCGTTCCACAGCAGAGCGGCTGTGGCGAACGCCCACGGGTACGAATAGTAGGTAGCACCGTAGCTGGCCAGGTGGGACATGCGCAGGTGTGGCGCACAGTCCATCGGCACCGGGATAGACGCATGCTCTCGCTGGGCACGGTGATACCAGGTCTCTATCCATTCTGGGCACGACGGTGTCTGACTGTGCACCTCCAGGTCAAACCGAGCCACTGCAATCTGTGTCAGTGCAAAAACAACAGCCACCACAGCAGAAGCAGAGTAAGTGAGATTAGTAAATAGTAGCTCAGAGAGTACACCCTCAACATGATAATACACAGTGTACTAATAGTCCTTATGCACATTGTACAGATGTACGAAGTTCTGTACTAGGGCCGTAGGTGTGTACATACCCGGTTGGGTGTTCATTGTGTGCTATACATGCGCGTTTGACCCATTTAGCCTCACAATTCATGGCAAACGATCACTTTTCAAGCCTTCTTCACTTTGGGATTGAACTAACGACTAGCTAGATCTCTGCCGGAAAAAGATTTCGTATGAAATGCCTTCATGGCCCATTTCATAGTGGAAATAGCAATAAACACAATAGGGTCCTGCACATTCAACACCCAACCGGGTCTACGGGATTCTACAAGATTATACGGGATTTCGTGCATCTGTACAATGTGCATAAGGCCTATTGCATCAGGGAAATGGGCTGATTAGCATGTAGCACCTACTATATTGTACTAGCATAACGCAAAGCCAAGATTCAGCACCAGCAATGTGGCACTTATGCACATCAGAAGAAATGGCCTACGTGCGGATGCAGCCACCGAATACATAGGGCACACATTTCACTCTTGAGTTTGGCTCGCAAACTAAAATGCAAACTAGGATTTTCCATACTGAAGAGCAGTCTGTACAATAAGAACGGTCCAAAATGTTTAAAAGGTTTGGATTTAATTTCCATGTCTAAGACAATGTCTTCAAATTGTCTGTTGTTTTAAAAGAAGTGAACTTGATGTGTTTCGGGCAGACTGCCACAACTTAAATTCGCGCTGCTATTCACTTCACTTACAAAATATTTATTTTACGACGTTTTAAGACCATCGTCTGCGGGCACATTTGAGCTGTGATGGTCTGCCCGAAACGCATTTTGATATAAAAGTTCTGATACTAGTATGAGGTTGCAGGAGTTCCCACAAACATTGTGTGTGTGGCGCTTTCTTGCAGGTTTGCAGACTGGAAAGTTTCATGGACCCGTGTGCCCTGGGTAGCAGTCGGCAGAGTCGAGTCGGCGGGAAAAGTGTGAGCTCGAGTGTACAGTATACTACAGTATCAACTTTCATTGACTCAAAGGAGAATGTCCTTCCTAAGTTTATGTAACCGGAAGAAGTACACAGTAGAACGACCACAGCAGCAGCAGCAGCAGCCCTACACAGTACAGTAAAACGACTACAGCAACAGTATACTAGTACTACACCTTGGTTTTTCGGTGTTCTGCCTGTGTCACACGGCATGGAACCACCGATTGACCATTGACCATTGCATCCGACGACATGGCAGCACAAACCATCACAGAAGTTGCGATCAGTTCGTTTGAGTCTTTGTGACGGAGCTGCCGCCGCCGAACACTTCCGTCAGCGCAAGAAAACACTGCAGCCTCCGCTCGAGTCCGTAAATAGGTCAGGATGTGCATTTCAGAGCGATGGTGAATACAGTTTCTGTCTACTTCCAGCTGTCTGATGGCAAGGATTGTTTACCCCGGGGAGGTATAGAAAAGCTGAAAAAGCGCTTCGCGAGCTTGAATTTCAGTGCTTGCACAGTACAGCGCCTAGTGAAGGGCTATCACCAGCAAATCGCTGCCGAAGAAACTGCAGTTCATGTCGACATCTCCAGAAAGTGAGACCAATCCAGCGGACACACTTTGAAGCTCACAGAGGACAGGGCAAAGGATCTAATCAAAATAACACCAAGTCCTGAGGGAAACACTCGTGCAAAGGACTTTCAGGAAACTAGCCGAACAGCCTGGTGCACGGCGTTAGGACTTAGGTGCAATACGCACAGGCTCATCAGCAAGTACACCAAGCTCAAGAGGCGATTTGAAAAAAGGACACTGATATGGCGTTGCCTTTGTGTCTCAAACAAAGTCGCATTATTGAGACGAACGGAGATAACACTTACAGCCAACATGCAGGCAGTCTCACTCAGCTTCTGATCGGCAAGGTGACAGGCACGCACGGCCTTTGAGCGTGATTCGAGACGAGGAGAAGTGGAACAAGCTATGAAACGTGCAGCAGCTGTCCGGTCGAACATTTTGAGCTCTTCCTCCAGCGACGATAGTGGCGAGGAGGATGTGTAACTTGCTTGAATTTTCGACTGAGTTGCTTACTGACATGTAAATAATCATGTACACCATGCTTTGTGATCGTGGCTTGCTTCAAATATTCGTATTTCCTTCCTGAGACAAGTGTGAAGATAAGCGCCAATTGTAACTGGCCGGACCAAGTAAATGCATCATTTGGCATCAGGTGGCACCTGGTTGTCCATGATATTTCCCATGCATCACTTTCAAACAAATTTTGAATTTTCCAAGCATCATGTTCACAGACCCCCTCAACCTCACTACAGTTTGAGATACTGCATGCAGGCTCAGGGTGGCACGACATCAACAGCATTACTGTAAGACATGTATATATAACGAGGAAGCAAATCTAACGTTTTAACGGATGACATTTCTTCGTTATAATAAGATCCGTTGAGGCCGTACTGCTTCATATAATGCTGTGTGTGGATATGGCAGAATACTGCAAGATCGTTAACATATCTTCTCGTTAACCTATGAATTTCGGACAATCGTTAAATTCGCGACTCGTTATAATAACATGTCTTACAGTACCTGTTCTTGTAGCTCCAGAGCCTGGAACAGCTGCTCCCTGGCCTGCAGCTGTTGAGCGAGCTGTGAGCACTGTGCTGAATCACCGTTGTCAGCCAGCATAGCTAGAACTGCTTCGTGCCCGCAGAAGAACTCCATGAGTTCAGAGGGAACCTGCACGACAAGACAGAGCAGCAAGAACACAAACAGAAAACCCATATGAATCACCAGTGGGTTAATTAACCCTTTACCATCCGTGCGTACTAGAGATCGATGGACATGCATACACTAAAACATTCGTAACTCGATCGGTTCTTGTCGGATGGTGTACTAGCTGTGCTAGTACTTGTTAGCAACAATCCGAACTAGCGCACACACTGCACTGCATTGCTTTGTACTGCATTCAAGACTGACGTCATGCGCTTTGTTTTGCTGCGTAATCACAAATGGCACCAGCCCATTTTTGCGGAAAAGAAAAACAAATCTTGCTTGCCCTGTTGTGCTCTTCCAGACAACGGATCGTGCTTCAGCAGTGTTTCTTTTCCTTTCGTAGCTTTGCTGCCAGCCCGAGTGTCACCTCGACACTGTATTTCTTCAGTATGTCTGACCTTACTGTCGACACTGTCAAGGCAATGCCTTGCCAAGCCCTCCGCGGCGAGCCTTCTCAGCGCGGCTTGAATCCGAAAAGAAACTTAGTAAAAGTATTTTACAGGACCGTTTGCTGGCACAACTAGCCCTTGGTAGTGAGGTCTGCTCCGGCCAGGAGAACCAGCAACATGACAGTGCGGACACGGCTCGCGAGCCCAGAAGCCCGACGTGCACCAATGCCTCCTCCGCCAGCTCAGGCGACGCGGGCTCAACGGATCTCTGCGCTCCCGTACGGGACGAGGTGTAGTCGGCTTTGTCGGCCGCCATCTTATTATTATCGGAGAGCATTGCGCCGCTCCTCACCCAAGGCCAAGGCAATGCGGCAGCTGCCGCCACTACGCCAGGCCAAGCTCCTGTAACCCACCCGATCAGCCACCTGCACCAGCTGTGCCCAAGGCTGTGCAAGAACGTATCTTGCGAGGGGAGTTCGTAGATTTTTCAAGTTTGTTGCCTGAAATTCTTGCACACTTCCGGCCCAACACTGTGATTCCGGCTGGTGCACAGCCCGAATGGCGATAGCCAGCTAAATATCGTTGAGTCGGATGACGCGAAGCAGGTGCGTCGCAAGGTTCACGATAATTACACATGTAGCTACCCGGCTCGAGGCATGGACCACATACATGTCTGTTATCACGGCTGCTGCCCTACACCGCACTGCTGAACTGATTGCGTACCAGCAGTTGATCCTGACTGCTAACTGCCAGTTCTTCCCAAGCGCGTGGCTAGAGTACGACCGCCAGCTGCGGATGCTCGTGGCCCAGTAACCAGGCACGAAGAGGTTGGACACCATCGACGTGAACCTATGGCAGATAGCTGTCACAGGCCATGCACACCCAAAATGCGCTCAATGTAAGACGGTCCATCCAGGAGCGGTTTGTGTCCTTTTCGTCCCGAAGCCAGCAGCATTTACCTCCAGTGGTCGCAACCATACCAGCGACGGCCAAGAAATCTGCCGCAACTTCAATGGAGGTCGCTGTTCTTCGTCGTCGTGCCGCTTCTCCCACACCTGCAGCCAGTGTGGCAAGGACCACCCATGCATCATGTGCAACCAGCAGCAGCGCGGAGCCAATCGGCCACCCCGCCGCTCCTAGCAGAATGGCTACTGAATCGCTTGACTCGGTACGTAGCTTCTTTCCTATACACTCTGCAGACACCACACTGCTAGCTGACCACTCTGCCCGCCTGTTACGTAACCACTCAGATCAATCATGTGTTGCGTATGTTCTCCATGGCCTGCGCCGTGGCTTTACTCTTGGATCTGCCGGCCAACACGACATTTGGTTTTCTCTAATAATCTACCATTGGCTTTCACTCACTCGGCATTTATATCCGAGCAATTAGCTGCTTCCTGCGCCCGCAGCGAGACCACAGGCCCATTTCCGTCACCTCCATTTCAGTTCATGCGCCGCTCTGGTATTGGTGCCATCCCCAAAAAGAACGGCAAGCCGCGAATGATCCACCATCTGTCTAGTCCGGAAGGCACCGGCGCGAACGACAGCATTCCTGCCGAGCCGCTCTCTCTGCACTACGCGAGCATTGACAACGCGATCAACATCATCATGTCATGCCCACAGCCTGTGTATTTGTCCAAGCTCGATGTACGCAGTGCATTTCGGCAGATCCCAGTCCGCCGTCAGGACTTCGCTGGGAAGGCTCCTACTACTACGAGCGCTTTCTGCCTTCCGGCCTCCGCTCCAGCCCAGCCGTCTTTGACTCAGTAGCCACAGCAGTCAACTGGATCATGCAGCACGAGTTTGCTATAGATCACCGGTTTCACTACCTCGATGACTTTCTCGATATCTCCACTGGTTTGGCTGCAGCCAACCAGCAACTCACCATCCCCCTCCGGGCGTTCACGTATCTCGGCACTCCTCTTTGCTCCATCCCAGCTCGAAGGGCCATCACCATCATTGACCTTCCTTGGTATTGTCCTAGACTGCGAGCGCCACGAAGCTCGGCTACCAGAGGACAAGCTGTCCGAGATCCGTGCGCCACTCATGGCTACTATCAGCGAGCGCAGCATCGGCCAGCGTCAACTCGAGTCCCTCCTGGGGAAGCTCACTTTTGCTGCCCGAGTCATCGTTCCTGGACACACATTCATGCGTGAACTATGATCAGCGTGCCCTGAACTGTATCTGTGTATGCGAGTGCGGTGCATAAAGCCCACCTTGAGAATGGGTTTGCCGGCCCCTTAGTAGATGCGTGGCTTCTGAAGAGGGCGTTGAAGGGCATCCAGCGATGCCATGGTACGGCTGCACTCACCCCTCGCCTTCCTATAACTATGCCAATCCTACGACACCTGACGGATGCACGCCGGAAAAGTAGTATCCTGAATGGCCATGACAAGCTGCTCTACCAAGCCGCCATGCTGCTTCTTTGGATTTCTTCGGTGCGCTGAATTCACTAATGGCATCACACGGGGCTGTACTAGCTCCCCTGGTGACGGACGCCTGCAACTCTTTCTGCTTTCATCCAAGACGGACCCATTCGGTAAAGGCGTTACTAGTGACATTGGCCCGTCTGTACCGCCGTACTGCCCGGTCCGTGCCATTGTTAGCTACCCATCTGTCACTCGTCGCGAGGGACCGGAGCAACTCTTGTTCGTATTCTCGAACAGACAGCAGCTGACCAGGCAGTCATTCACAGTAACAGTATGGTCTCTTGTCGCTGCGGCTGGTGTACCATCCCAGTCGAACTACTCCGGGCATTCGGTCCACATTGGTGCAGCCACCACCGCTGCTATGGCTAGTGCTCCCGACTCCTTCTTCCGAGTGGCAGGTCAGTGGAAAGAGCGATGCGTGTCTACGCTACATCCAGACTACAACAAGCGCATAGCGCCAGCTATCGTCCCGGCTTGCTGCCATGCCATGGATGCCATGATCCCCAACTCGGGTGAGTAATGAGCTACTGAACTCTAGCTGCGCAATGCTTGCCTGTGCTGACATTAATTGACCCTTGCTGTGCGTCAATAGTGCTTAGCTAACGGAGTGCTGGTTTCATGGGTCCACTCTCACAACTGGTGTTATCTAGCTATTTGCTGCGGCTCTGCCTTGCGCTATATTACATCCATTTAGCATTGCAGCTCTACGTTGAGCTAACAGCAGCTCTACTTTGAGCTAACAGCAGCTCTACTTTGAGCTAACAGCAGCTCTACCTTGAGCTAACAGCAGCTCTACTTTGAGCTAACAGCAGCTCTACTTTGAGCTAACAGCAGCTCTACTTTGAGCTAATCGCAGCTCTACTTTGAGCTAACAGCAGCTCTACTTTGAGCTAACCGCAGCTCTACTTTGAGCTAACCGCAGCTCTACTTTGAGCTAACAGCAGCTCTGCTCTGAGCTAACAGCAGCTCTGCTCTGAGCTAACAGCAGCTCTGCTCTGAGCTAACAGCAGCTCTGCTCTGAGCTAACACCAGCTCTACTTTGAGCTTCAAACCAGTTGTTTCGAAACCAGCACTCCTCAATCCAAAGATGCCTCTTTGTTGACTTGTTTGTGTGAGAGATGGGGCTAAATGTAAATAACTAAGTATCTAGGAAGAAGCCGAAGAGCTCAGCTTTCCATTGCATCATTCGGTGAAGAGCTGCGATGTCGCATTCCAAAGATATTCCGCTCGACATTTCGGCCACGGCAAGAGTCGAATTTCTTTCCGAGTGACTGACCTTGAGCGGGGAATTTCCCCTCTCCGGACATACTGAGTCACTATTGCATGCTTTGAGTGTGTGGGCAGCATGAAAATTTGGATTGTTTACGATGAAGTAGCGAGAAATGGCTGGCGAGGAGAGAATTTCCTCGTATATCAAGCGATGGGGTGTATTTGAAGCTCCCTGGCGCTGGATATGTGATCCTGGTAGTGTCCTGTTTGAGCTCAATGGACGCAGCGCGTGGAGAGCTTTCCAGAATGCCCAAGTTTGTGAAAATTGTTTGATTAGAACCGAAGATATTCTCAGAATAAGGTGAAAATTATTGCATTTGGGACTGCTGGGGAATTTTGGTCGGATGGTAAAGGGTTAAGGGATACGTGACCATGAGCCTAATATACTGTACGGGTATGACACAAGTCGAATGCTCATTCCTCATGCGGGCTCAGGAATTTGTAAGAACTCTGCACAAAACATTGTTTACACAAGTACATGTCTCTTTCCTTCATACGGCTGCTCTGAGTGTGATTCGTCTCATACATGTACTCATTTCATTGCAAACTGCTTCAGGTGTCTACCGTTTGGCAGCCCTCCAAACAAGGAAGTAGTAAAAAGCTTCCCAGGTGGACACTAGCACCCTTGTAGTACCATTCATTTCAACATAACAATTGACATGCCACCAGCCATTTGATAATAAACATATAATTATTGGGTACCGGTACAACTAAATGCAGACAATGCTCTGGTGTTTAAAAGTGAAGCTATGCTTACCTCAGCAAAGTCATTGGAACACCTGGTACCGGCGGTATGCTGGTACTCTGGCTGTCCCAACATGCTGTGTAAGCCGTGACCAAACTCGTGGAAGAACGTGCGGATCGTGGAGATCTTGAGCGGCATGCTGGGGCTGCTATTGATGCTCAGCACTGACTGCGGAAGCTGCGCTGGGTGCGATGGCCTATTGAATCCGCAGCGAATAGTATAATGGCTATCGCCGCCTTCCTTGTTGACACGGGCGAAGAAGTCGCAGTAGAGGTGTCCAACCAATGACCAATCGCCAGTGTTTGTGTGGTATTGTTCAATGGCCAGCTTCACAACACTGTTGTGCCAGACTTCGCCTTGATCAACAGCCACTGGCTGCATGCGTAGGCCAAACGTTCGCTGCAGCAGCTGATCAAGACCACGCATGACGCTGCCAACAGTGAATGTCAACCTGCTGTCGTCAATGTCCTCTCCAGTTGCCTGCACATCACGAACACGCACAAATCCACCAAACAGACAAAAGTACTTCAACCAACGCATGAAGATGTGCAAAGGAAATTTACCAAACATTATCCTGATCCCTGCGTTAGCCAATCTGCCGCCAGGCTGCTTCCGGTCGCCAAACTGGCCAAGGATGACCAGCAGCTGTTGCTGACAGTGTTGGTTGATACTCATGTCAACCCCGCGCTGACTATACTAGTGCAGGGTAGTTTCCTATCGTTTTAAAATCTTCGCAAGCCTTTCTTCACTGCCTGAGCTTGGCCAACAAAGTGAGGGTACATGCGCTAGCCCACGCTTGCGTCCACATGGCTCCAGCGAGTCGTGGACATTCCAAGAGTTTGAATCCATTCTACTTCTTAGGCCTGTGCCATGAAGTCGCACATCATAACTTTGACCATGGAGTTCAACATCCTAACGGGTTAAAAATTCAATGATGCCAGAGCACATAGATACTACAGGTACCTATCACAAGCACAACTGAGCTACTAACAGCCTGGGAGAATAGGATAAGCAGGTTGTCAAAAGCTATGTGCGTGAACTCTTTGTGCCAACGCACACCTGACCATCTGAAGCGTAGGCTATGTAGACGCGTGACGCCACACGCAGCACACATGCAACACATAATTATAGTGAAACCTCTCTTTTAGCAGCACCCCATAGTGCATGAGAAAGCCTGATCTTTCTAGACTACATGTAACTCAAATGCATGTGTCACACATTGTTTGGTGTCCACTGACTGTGCTTACATGTACATGTAGCCTGTAAAGACAGGTGCTAGCTTACACCATACCAGTACAGAGGTACTCTAACTAGTCTAAGCATGTCCTAAAGACAGGTGCTAGCTTACACCAAACCACTACAGAGGTACTCTAAGTCTAAGCATGTCCTAAAGACAGGTGCTAGCTTACACCATACCACTATAGGTACTCTATGCATGTCCAACAATGCGGCTGACATCCTAACAAGAAGTACACAGCGCTGCCAATGAAAGCCGATCGCGTGATTCAAGTTTGCGCACTGCGCCACTTCACATCCCATTGTTCGCAGGTCTAGAGCTACACACAGCGCCTGGCGTGGCATTCACTACACACAGCGCCTGGCGTGGCATTCACTACACACAGCGCCTGGCGTGGCATTCACTACACACAGCGCCTGGCATGGCATTCACTACACACAGCGCCTGGCGTGGCATTCACTCGCTTGACCGGATTTCAATGAGCAATACTGTACTTCACACCTGCCCGTACTAGTGGTATATCTTGAACTGGCTTATAGCAAGTCACACGCGGCAGGTGATAGTCAACACTACTGCTACACCAGTAGAGCTACAACACACCTGCCTATCACAGTCTCATACATACCGTATTTGCCGGAATATAGTGTAGGTGTGCACTTTAGATGCGCTATTTCACGCCCAAATCGCATATGCGCACTATGCTCCGAATATGAGAATGCATGCATTTCAAAAAGTAGTGCAATGTATCAAACTGTTGGGAAGTTTGCCACCTCTGAGTCTCTGGCACTACAAATGAAAGATGGGTACGAGTCCCAATAGGTAGCACGTGTCTCAAGTCTAGGCTGCGGATTATACTCAGGATATACCTTGAATTGCCAAATTATTGGCCAAAAAAGAGGGTGTGCATTATGCTCAGATGCGCGTTATACTCCAGCAAATACGGCACATAGCCATGTGAATGTACACATCTACTACATGTGCACCCCCCACCACCACCACCAACACACCCACATACAGACAGACACACACACTGTTGACAGCGGCATGGCCAAGGCATGAGACTCACCTCTGCCCCTTTGCAGCACAGAATACGCGGCATCTCACCCTCCAAGTAGTGGATATCCGTGAAGACCAAAGGACGTGCGGGCTTTGCAGAGTTGGGCAGTGTATATCTGCCTTCGCCATCCAGTTGATTTCGTACATATTGGAGTACTTCAATCTCTTTCTCGGCACGACAGCGCACCTCGTCCGATAGCTTCTTCAGGAACTCCAGTGCTCTGTCGACCGTGCCAGCCGAAGAGAAGCGCAAGGCACGCTCAGCAAAGCTTGAATACCCAATAGTGTTAGCTAGAACATGCCGGCAACGCAGAAGCTCATACGTAAGCTCGGCGCGCTTTGGAGATTGTTGATAATAGATCTGAACACACAGCAAAAGAGACCAACTCATTCACAACCACTGTGATGGCATGTTTGAGTGCACCTGGAGTTCTGCTAAGATTCACAGCAACCCAGGTTTCTCGTTCAGAATAACTTTTACGCAAGATCATACCTCTTCTAGGTGAACTCTACTGCGATCCACCAGGCAGACAAGTAGGTGCGCTAGGACACAGCGAATCTAGCCGCAGCATCAGTTTCCTAGCAATGCACGTACACACCGACACAAAGACAATACATGCCCCCACCCCTACCCAACACCACACAGTCACACACACACACACATTCAGATATTTCCTGCACTTACTTCGTAGGACCTTGAGCGTACTTTAGGATGGAAGTGATCATTCTGATAGAAAACGACACAGTTGCCATCCTGTGTCGTGGGGACACTGCTAAATGAACTACAGAAGAAAGAAAGAAGAAAACATTCCAAGCACTCTAGTCAGTAGTCTCCAGTACATAGGATATTGTATCCACATAACACCACAATAATGTCTTCGGCATCTCTCCTCAAACAACCATGCCTGCATCAGGGCAGGCATCGACTAGAAGGCTATGTCTTACAGGGTAAACGAATAACAAGTTGTTATCAAAAAGCAGGGAGACGGAGATGGAGATTTTCAACTGTACCTCAACACCTGTGGCAGCACCCTGGGCCTCAATACGACCGGCTCGTGGAATGTAGACAGGATCTGCAATTTCAAGACTTGTAGCTGCTGGTCAAGCGACACACACCGCTCTCGTCCTTCCTCGTTAAGATGCACACCACTGATCTACACACAACACAACATTAGCGGCAGTAATTATTCGAATATTTTCGGATGGAAGTTATATACACAGGACATTCTAAAGCAACCCCCCCCCCCCTCTTCACTCACATCCTGCAGTTCCTGGTCAGATCCTGTCAGGGTACCGGGTGCAATAAGGGACTATAAGTATTGGAACAAGGCTACATCATGACATGAGAAATCTTGTTAACCATGTTCAACAGCTCATGCACAATACAATCATACAGAACAATGCCAATTGAAAGACAGATGATAACATCTTGGAGGAGGTGTTTTACAGCTCTCCGACTGCTCATCTCCTCGTCCAAGGGACTGAGATCAAGGTATCGGCTCACCTCAAAATCATTCATCAATAGCTGAGCCGTGCGTTGCACCTGCTCCGGCATTGCTTCGAACTCAGTCTGAGCAGTTATAACATTGGCCAGGTACGAGTGCAGGTTCTGGTTCACGTTCAGCTCCTCCGTGAGGCGCAGCAGATGCAATGAGCAGCGGCTCGCCTCTTCGCGAAACTGCGCATCGGGATGTGTGTACTGGACATACGCAGCCTGAAAAATACACAATACAACTGGTCAGATTCACATACCACTTCACAAGATATATGTTCGTTTCCATTGAAAACCACCACTGTAAATAAGTAGCTCATGACGCGATCCTCTCAGATTATAAATTTAATTTAGAGTAAATTGGAGCCCCGGCTATATAGATGTACATCAACATCATAGCAATCTCCTGTGCGATGATGCCATAGCAACCCCTATCACTACAGTTGTGCTCACTGAAATCCGACCCAAAGTGCAAACCCTTGACCAGTTCCGACTACATCACTGTTCTTGTTCATGTGTGCTTCCAGCCGCATTCGTACCGCTTCCAGGGCCGTGCAAGTTGAGTTCGTCAAATATGCACTTAAGGTCGAATTTCACTGAGCACAACTGCACACGTACTTGCAATTAAATTATATCCTACATCTCTGTATACAATTATTTCTGGCTACCGGAAAAATCTACCGGTAGGTCAAGCTTTGTGAATTCAGTACGCTCATACTCAAGGAACGTACGGGCCACATGTCTAGGCTGGAACGTTCTCATTTGACATGAATGCAGGCATTCTTGTTTTTATTCTTTCATCTGCGCTGTCTCCAAAATGGCTGGTATTTCTTGATAAAGTACATCCACATGTTTTCACATTCTATCATACACAGGTAAGACACGAAGATTCAATCTCCACAGGCTGCTCAACATTCTTACCAAATCAGCTATTTTGCAAATGGCATTCGAAAGACGATCAAATGATTCTACAAGCTTTACACCCTTTAGGCTCGGGACTTCACGAAGGATACCGCGAACCTCGTCAAGGCACGATTCCGTCAACACAGCAAAACCACCGGGGGTGGCCAGCTCCGTCCTTCCAAAAAGGCCAGATTTCTTATTGCTCTCAAGAGAAGTTCTGCTCTCAAATGCATCCTTCCAAAGAGATGGCGATGAGGTTGTGGCACACCACCTGCGACTGGCAGCAATCGTTGGCAGAGATGATAAAACCACCTTTCGCCTAGGTAGGCGAGAGCAGACACGAAACATAGCTACTCAAGGTATCAATTCCATCACAAATTGTTGCCACATTCAGTGATTCACACAAATTTCAAAACTGTAATAAATCAAATCAACAATGCAATGAAACACGCTTTGACGTAGCATGGTATACCAGACTACACACCAGGTAAAGGGAGTACTAGTACTGTAGTAGCATGATTGTATTTTACTACATGTACTCCCTGCTACACACTACGAGCGTACACAGACTAGTCTGTTTTTTTTTTAACTTGGTAAACCGGCCTCTTGTACGGGCAGAATTAAGTAACACAATGATACAATAAAAACAAGTACCAGTAGTTACATACATGGACCATACGAGAAAAAGCAATGATGACGAGGCATAAACAAGTGTCTAGTGCTGTATGGCAGCTTCCGAGACAGCGAGTCGAGCGGATGACTCAGCCACCTCCGGGTGCGAATACAGCCGTCGTGCACCACGCAGGCAAGCCACGCCTGCAGTGGCAGGGAGTCGTAAAATACCACGGTATTTTACGACTCCCTGGTCAGTGGTGTACTGAGTCTGGGAGCTGGCTGAAGATTGGGGAGAAAGACTCTTTTTCTTCTTCTTTGTGTCGTGCTGGTCTGTTGGTCTAGGGGTATGATTCTCGCTTAGGGTGCGAGAGGTCCCGGGTTCAAATCCCGGACAGACCCAATTTTTTTTGTTTTTCCCCTTGTGCATTTGATCCCAGCGCTGGATCTTTTGCGCCAAGGCGACTTCAGCACGGATGTCTCAAACAGCATCGTTTTCTTCTTCTGTATTAAATTTTCAAACTGCTCTTTCTACGTGATCGCTGTTTGATGTCTTTGAAAGCCATGTCTCGTCTACACTCCTGCGTCAAGGGCACGTCCCGAATCGCGGCCTGCCAGCTCCGATCCAATGCAGACAAGGAGAGAAACTATGAGATTTGTCAGAGGTTGGTTCGCGAAGCTGTGGTGAAAGGTGCCAAGGTATTATACTTTATAGTAAATCTGGGCCTTTGTCAGCCCCTATTTAAAAACGGTGTACTCCTGCTGTGACCTGTACGAAATTCGGTAGATTTAGGAGAATGTGTTCCCTTGTTGAGAATATCACGGGGTGTGCAAGCAAGGACGTACATGTTGTCGCTACCACACTGTGCTCCCACATGCATCAACTTGTAAAAAATCAAAATTACTTCGAAGTAGTTTTGTTATCACATGGCTATACACTCTGGGTATACACATGACTGAATAGGAGCATTGGGTATGGATAGAAAATTATAATTCGAAGCAGCCCACACCATTTCAATGGAATGAAAATAGTCAAAAATCTTCTTTTTTTACCTTCTAAATTGATGTTGCTGCAGACTGTGTTTCTGCCGGAAGGGTTCGACTATATCGGTGAAAGTGGCAAGCAATCGGTGTCGATGGCCGAGCCTTTGGATGGCCCGCTCATGAGCAGATACAAGGCGCTCGCAAAGGAGCTGGGTGTGTGGCTATCCCTGGGTGGATTCCATGAACAGGTGAGTATAGCCTGGCCGGGTGAGCGGTGGTCTGTATTTGGGAGTCGGGCTATCCTCGTCACGGATGTGTACTGTGCAGCTATCTGTCAGTACATGCGGGATGCATGGCTTTCTACATACTACAAGTATACATTGGGGTAGTGCTGTGATGAATGTTATTCATTATTAGTGGACATGGCTGGTAGTTACTACTAGTACTCAAAGTAATACTCACTGGCGTCCCTTTCACATGCCAGCCGTTGAACCGTCTGATACTGAGGCCGTGAGGTAAAGCGTATACATTGCACTGGTGACCGGGATTTGCACTTGTGCTTCTGTAGCACTTACACTTTTGTCCTGTCCATTCATTCTCTTTATGGGAGCAGGGCCCGGAAGAAGACCGCAGCCGTCTCTTCAACGCACATGTGCTGCTTGATGACGCCGGCAGCATCCGTAGTGTCTATCACAAGACGCATTTGTTTGCGTGCCAGCTGGCAACCAGCAAGGTCTCGCTGAAGGAGAGCAATTGGTGCGTGCCGGGAAAGGAGATCTGTCCACCGGTACCGTCACCGTCGGGTTCCATTGGACTCATGATTGTATCCTAACAGCTAGTGCAGATACGTGTAGTGATTGTATTGTGCAGCAGTACATGTAGCTAGCATACTTGTGTGTACGCCCTGTTCTCAAGCCACACTGGGCCGGTGTGTGCAGCGGGTTGGAAGTTCACTACCGGTACGTTGTCCACCTTTGTGGAAGCGTCTCGCTTCTGGCACGGTAATGGCTGGGGCCAGTAGGCAATATCGTGAAGTTGAAAGCGTGGCGTATTATTTCTCCTGGTTGTCGTGATCTGATCGATCGATGTGTGTATCGCCCTCTTAGCTGTTTAAATTCACATGCGATGTTCACAGTGCATGCAGGACGTAGGACTATAAATGCAGGTAATACTCTGTGGCAATGTTCACAGTGCATGGCGCATGATGTATTACTAGATGATGCAGGTAATACTCTGTGGCCATTGTTGTTGCCTTGACAAACAGCGTGCGAGCAGTGCTACGATTTGCGGTTTCCGGAGATTTCCAGCATCCTGCGCAGGGACGGTGCCGAGGTACTGACGTACCCATCCGCCTTCACCGTACCCACGGGACAAGCACACTGGGAAGTGAGTACATTTTAAAGACCACTGCCGTAGTCGACATTCACAGTCTATCCTGCTGTGCTGCGCAACCATGCCAGGGTGCAAAGGGAAGCGTACAAGTGTACAGTTGCGTTCCTGACGTTTCACACTCGACTACAATCGCCACTCCTCATGTTGTGCTATGTCACGCTGAATGTTAGCCAGCTCTCACCTGTACCTGGTGTTGTTGTTAATTAACATTGGTGCCCGTGTTGCGATGCCATCTCTAGATCATGTTGCGGGCTCTCACCTGTACTTGTTGCTGTTAACATTGGTGCCCGTGTTGTGATGCCGTCTCTAGATCATGTTGCGGGCACGGGCCGTGGAAAGCCAGTGCTACGTGGTGGCGGCGGCGCAAGTTGGACGACACAATGACAAGCGCGAATCTTACGGCCACTCAATGGTAAGAGAGCTCAGACGCCGGGTTTGCAGGGGCATAGTCTACACTACATTGTAGGGATGGACTATCTTACTATCTTTGAATCTTTATAATAATAGAATGGGTGATCACCATACTCTAGATATGACATGTATGGTATACGTTAACCGTAGTACCGTATTCCTATTTCGGTCAGTCAGCGGTGCATGTAATGCTCTGGTGACCGTGGTAATGTGGGGGAATGCCATTGTCATTCCCAGTTATAGTTATCCACACCATGTCTCTCACGAGCTTACCGTGCCGGCAGGGCACGGTCAAGGCAAGGGTAGTGCTGGACTAATTGTCCTCTGCCGCGAAGCAGCATTCGGACCTTGGTAGCAGAACTGCCCGCCCTTTGTTGCAGACTGGCATATCTAGTAACTACTTCGAAGTACAATCATGTACTGAAGACTTCAGTGTACAATCATGTACTGAAGACTTCAGTGTACAATCATGTACTGAAGACTTCAGTGTACAATCATGTACTGAAGACTTCAGTGTACAATCATGTACTGAAGACTTCAGTGTACAATCATGTACTGAAGACTTCAGTGTACAATCATGTACTGAAGACTTCAGTGTACAATCATGTACTGAAGACTTCAGTGTACAATGCAAACTTCATGGCAGGCATATTAGGCAATATATGTTTGCTTATCCTGCACCGTAGTCCAAAGTGTCAGAGCCGAGAATAATCTGAAAAGTACTTTGAGAAGTACTAACTGTTAGTTGTGATAAAGTTGTACACACACCTACTCAAGTGGTTAATGAATGTTACCAAAACCGTTGCGAAAACTCTCCCCACATGTAGTTACTGTAGTGGCTGCTACTAGTGCCAAGAGAGGATGCATCACTGTGCATGGAGGATGCATCACTGTACACGGAGGATGCATCACTGTGCATGGAGGATGCAGTACTGTGCATGTGCCGAAATGTTGACTTGTGCCACTGCACTGTGCATGTGCCGACATGTTGACTTGTGCCACTGCACTGTGCAGATTGTGGATCCCTGGGGCAGAGTACTGGCGCAGTGCACGGACGAGGAAGAGTGTGTCATCGTGGCCGATGTGGAGGAGAAGGAACTCGAGCGCGTACGCTCGTCCATGCCCGTCCTAGAACACCGTCGACTAGATCTGTACACGGATGTACAGCGACACTCCAGTGAATCCTGATACTGCCGCCGCTGACACGACTGAAACTGGCAGTTTTGCTTATCATGGAGAACTGGAATCGAGCAGAACATTTCACTTCAACAGCACATTCTCCGAACGATAAAACAAATGTCTAGGATGTGCGCCAACGACAAGCCTGGTTGGTGTATCTGGCAATCGCTGATTTCGGCTTATCACTGAGCATTGCCAGCAGGGACCTGAGCGAAGGTCTGCAGAAGCTTACACTTGACTCGTCTTCTCCTTTCGACTATCATCAGTGTTCACCCACTGCACTAGCATCAGTATAGAGTGAAGTACTGGTATACGTATATCTTGCAACACACTCTGCCTCATGCAGCAGGCACTAATCACGCTGCCAACAGTACAACAACAGTACAGCAGGCCTGTCACTGTTGACTTTGACCTTGACCAACCTATACTAGTAGCCTGCAAGCTAGAACTGGATTGCTGATCTATATCCATGCAATGGTGTATACTATACACACAGGCGGTCTGGCATGTACGAGAACCTAGACGCGGCAACGGCAAACTATGGCTGTAGTCATTTCACAGTACCGGAAGCAGAGTCCCACGACCCAAACGTAGGGCATAGGACTGCACAAAGCACGCTAGTATTAATTTTGTTCTTATTCTATACAGACCTATTCTCCTGCAGTGTTGTACCTGCTGTTACTAATAGATTTAGATTGTATGATATCCATCCACAATTGGGCTCACAAATATTTAAAATTCATTTGCAAATTGATTAATTGTCATGACAGACTTAACTGATGAACTGTTGGTAATTGACTCAAAATTCGATCAAAGCTTGCAGTAGCCATATACTTCAAGATTTGAAGTGGACAAAGTAGTGACGACACACTCGTAGTTATTTGCGCGGGTCCCAGCACTAGCCTTGACGGCAAGACTGATGACACCCGGAGATCACCACATTTGGGAAACCCAGCGGGATTTGTGGCAGACAGTCCACTCATCATGATCTGCTGCCTCTACAGCACGTAAGCCTCGGCAGCTCGGCGATCAGCCAGTGCAACCGGAGTCAGCTTCAGCATTACAACTCCCCCGGCCGGATTCACGTAGGTGGAATAGGAGCCGGAGAAAGATCCCATGTCTTGATGTTCGTACAGATCTCGGACTGTCACATTGCCACTCGCTGGTAGTCCAACCTGTTCAGGTTTTCAGCAAAGATGGAGGAGACATGGAAAGAACGACAGAAGGAGACTTACATGTGCAATGTCATGGGAACGAACCATGTGTATGTGTGTGTTGGGTGGGGGGTGACGTTATCGGCCCTAGCCCTACGCAGCTTGCTTATCATCTCGCTTAACCTTGTCCCACAGACACTTCCATGAACTGTTCTTGCCGATAGTATACTAGACCATGGCTTACCAACGTGTTGCCCTAGACGCATTGCTACCAATCTACGCACATAGCAACACTGATAGACTACATGTACCCCACCAATGCATTACTCGTCCAGCCAGGCCTGTGTTTTGCCACTATGCCCACGTGCATAGACGGCTGGTTATTAGCTCATTACTACAGTACACTTATGTTATACACATCTATCTGTTACATATACTAGTACTTGGTCTTTCAGAAGACAGAAGTGTCCAATCTGGTGTGCATTTAGCCATTTACCAGTGCGGTGGTATCGGGATCCAGGCCGAGAGCATGTTGCGTTGCATGTGTACATGTACAGTGCTGCTCAATCAGGGGTTCGGAAATCCGGTCGCGCGAGTCAAGTTCGCTCCCTGCGCAATTTCACATCCCAGTGTTCACAGGTCCAGGGCTGCACGGCGCTCGGCGCGTGTTTGATTTTTCACGGTCGGGTTTCATTGCACAGCACCGTGTGCAGTAAAACTCACCAGATCCGGATGCCCCTGATCCGGGCGCGTCTGTCTACCGGGCACCTTTCTCACCCATCTAGAGTCACAACATCGCCTTTTCATCGAAAAGTGGCCCCAAAAAAACTATTGATTGTTTGCTTGCATGCCAGTAAGTATGCACTTTCTGATTTACGGGCAGGGCATGGCTCGGTCCCAGCCTGCCCGAATCTAGGGAGTTTTACTGCACATGCTGCACTGCATCCTTACTCCAGCTGCTTACCTGCTTGAACTGGACTGTTATCTTGGAATGCATACCGCCAGTACTGCGGTTCCACAGGATCACCGCTACCGACTTGTCATGCAGTGGCTTGCACCAGACTTCATGATTGTTGTACTGATGAACGCGGTATCCCTGCACGCCCAGCGGGTCTTGATTGACAGCCAGGATCTCGGTGTTCTGCAGGATGGTCTTAGCCTCGTCGGAGATGGCGCGCAGGTCGTTGGACATGAACAGCGGCGATGCCATTAGACACCAGAATGCAAACTGAGCCTTGCTCTGCTCAAAGCTCAGCGAGAAGTCGCCAATGATCAACATGTCCGGATCGTTCCAGTTTCCTGGACCGGCTACTTTTCCAAACAGCTCATAGTTGGACGCATTTCCGTAAAAGTCGATGATTGTGTAGACGCTCTGCCAGGAGTCGCCGATGTCGTGGTAATTCCTCCACATGTTGCAATGCTCAGCTATGAACGTGTAGTTGACGTCCATGTGCCGGGCACGCTCGTAGTCTGGCCAGCTGCACGAGTAGAGGATCGGGCGGCCGGTCTTGTTCAGCGCGTCGCCGATAGCCGGATAGCCGGTGTCCATGGTGGAGATGTTAGAGTTGCAGCCGTCCATTTTCAACATGTCCACTCCCCAGGAGGCAAACGTGTCTGCGTCCGTTGTGATGTGGTCCATTGTGCCCGGGTAGCCCGCACACGTTTTCGTCCCGTAGTCCTCATAAATACCAAGTTTCACTCCCATGCCATGCAGTTGCTCTGCAAGCCATTTTATGCCATGGGGAAATCGCTCAGGATCAGCCACCAAGCGACCCTCAGCATCTCTCTCCTTGGCTGGCCAACAATCATCAATATTCACTCTGTCATAGCCAAACTTCGTCCAGCCGTCCTCACTGAGTCGCTTACCCATGTCCAGAAACAGCTTTTCACTGATACAGTCGTCCGGGTCATCTTTGCAGTTGAGGTCGCATCTGAAGCGTTCCCAAGCCAGCCATCCCATGGGAGGTGTGCGGGCCAAACCGTTGTTCAATGAAACCGCTAAACCAGTGAAGGTAGCGGCGAGCATGACCAAGAAGCAGAATCTGATAGTGCCCTGCATCTTGGATGATTTTAACACTCGCTGTCAGTGCTGGACAAGTAAAGATTAAGTAAACAGTTAGTTGTCCACTGTTCAATGATTCTTTCCTTGCTCATCCGAAAACTAACACTAACATTCGGTACTACAACAGTACAAGTACCGGTACTTGAAGTAACGTTAGTTGAAGTAGAGCTTGGCGCAGGTTTGCGACAGAAGTCACAGAACTCGTCCTGCATGCATGTGAACATGACAATGTCATGATCGTCACCATGGTCACTCGCTTGGGCTAGTTCCGAAAAAATCGAAGATCGACTGTCTGTGCGCGATCGGCCTGGTCCGGATCCTGCTTGTCGCTTTTATGCGCTGGTGCCGTGGTGGTCTCTTTGCAGACTTTGATGTATGATGGGCCTTGGCCTGGGCCCATGGGGTAGATTCTATGCCTGTTGTAGACCATGGTAGACCATGGTAGACACTGGACAGGCGAGTGTGGTCACTTGTCCGTGTGGTTCTCATCATGAACCTGTTACCATGTGAACTGACTGTACTGAACTGAAGACGGCAAGAGGAGCTTATGTAAGAAATTCCCGTTTGGATTTTGCGAAGTAAAACAAAGTTCAAAAAATGTCGGCTTTCATGGTTATATCCTGAAAAAAAAAGATTATGAAGATTATGAAGTACTCTTCTTGATCATGACAATCAGTTCACGATGTCATGTTTTACCCTGGTATCTCCATTACTAGTACAAGGTCTGTGTGACTGTAGAAAGGAACAACGCCAGGAATGCAAACTGAAGTAGAAGGGCCGCTACAACTGTTTTGTAATAAATACAGTGGAACGGTCCGCACTCCGACACACTAACAGTGACATCAGGAGTGCGCTAAGTCAGAACTGCATTTTGTACGAATATCTGAAAGTGGTTGAACTGGTATCTGCTTGGTAATGAATCTAATGATGACAAAGAAAGGCCGTGTCTTGGGTTGCGATGGCAGCAGGGTGGTTCAGAATGAACACACATACACAATGGGACACCGTACTGCAGCACAGTGCAGTGCTGAAACGTCAAGACGTTACAACTCCACGTAACTTTCCTCGCCATCATCCCCTATCCAAACCAATGAGGTCAGCCATGAACCACAGCAAGTCTCTATTTTTGATTTCACCTACTCTTACGAAAGAATATCTTCATTATGAAATTTAGAATTTTGACAAACACGTTTTTCTCATTTCTCTCTTCCAAAATACTGTGGCATTATACTTCGAATAGAATTAATAATCCTCGATACAAGAGAGATTGGAAGCTTTGTCACAGCTCTGAGTTTCACGTATTACTACGATCATCAGGCAACTGATGGCTCCAAAACGGGCGGCATGAACTAATTCTCGATAAAATAGAGACAATGCAGCGGGTATGGAGATACACTCGTACTGCACTGCTAAGAGCAAAAGTTGGGTGTACCGCAAGTCAGCTTGTAATTGTACTGAAGTACGTGCAGATTTAATATATTTTTTGCCAGTCCAAATGTTGTGAAAAATTAACAACCCCAGCAAAAAGAAGAAAAATATGATTGCAAACCCAGGGATGAGTAGGACACTTAGAGTGCATTGTCACCGGCCTTCACTGTCAACTTGAGCATGACCACACCACCCGATGGGTTGACGAACGTAGAGTAGAAGCCAGTGAACGTTCCCTTGTCCTGGTGCTCGTAGAGATCACGGACGGACACATGGGCCGTGGCCGGTAAACCCACCTGAAACGGGAAAAGCGTGAAACAATTCCTCATTATCACGAACAGAAATATGCTAGAAAAGACAGCTAGGTTTATTGCCGGCCTCTAGCAGTCAAGTAAGAGAGTCCTTGGTTTGGGTCCTGCTGGTGACAGTCAATTTTTTTCTTCAGACGTTTCCCGTTTTCAACTCCCTCGAACTTTTGAATTGTATTCATCTTGTTTGGATCGGCAGGAATATTTTAGGTCACGAGTCTTGGAAATGGCGCCGCTCAAATTTAAGTTTGTCTGTCATACCCTGCATTGTGAAGATGGAATGGCTATGAGAGTAACCACAGTATGATCAGAGCATCACCTAGCTGAATACCAATTTCTCTGCTATAGTACCCTGTAGCTGGGATCAAGTTATAAAGAGATTGATTTGTTCCGTGAACTACAACGCATCACCTTGTAACGCTTTCCTCTGTGTAATTTACGCCGGACATGCTTGTACGTACCTTATCAAACTCCACGGCGATGGTCCTATGCATTCCACCCGTGCTGCGATTCCACAGGATCACGGCCACAGATTTGTCCTGCAGTGGCTTGCACCAGACCTCAGTGCCGCCAGACTGGGACACGCGATAGCCCTGCACACCCAGCGGATCCTGATTGATAGCCAACACCTCCTCGTTCTGCAGGATGGTCTTAGCTTCGTCGGAGATGGCGCGCAGGTCGTTGGACATGAACAGCGGCGATGCCATTAGACACCAGAATGCAAACTGAGCCTTGCTCTGCTCAAAGCTCAGCGAAAAATCGCCGACAATCAGCATGTCCGGATCGTTCCAGTTTCCGGGGCCAGCGATCTTGCCGAACGCTTCATAGTTCTTCGGATCGCCATAGTAGTCGATGATAGTGTACACGCTCTGCCAGGAGTCCTGAATGTCATTGAAGTTCCGCCAGATGTTGCAATATTGCGCAACAAGCGTATAGTTGATAGGAGTTCCTGTGACCCGCTCGTAGTCTGGCCAGCTGCAAGAGTAGAGAATCGGCCGGCCGGTTTTGTTCAGCGCTATGCCAATTTCCGGATAAGCAGCATTCATTTTCGATACTTTTGCGTAGCAGCCGTCCATTTTGAGCATATCCACTTCCCACGAGGCAAACGTTTGGGCGTCCGTTGTGATGTGGCCAAGCGTCCCGGGGTATCCACCACATGTGTAATTACCGTAGTCCTCATAAATACCAAGCTTAACTCCCATCTTGGCCAGCTCCTCTGCAAGCCATTTAATACCGTGAGGAAATCTCTCAGGATCAGCCACCAAGCGACCCTCAGCATCTCTCTGTTTTGTTGGCCAACAATCATCAATATTCACTCTGTCATAGCCCAATTTCGTCCAGCCGTCCTCACTGAGTCGCTTACCCATGTCCAGAAACAGCTTTTCACTGATACAATTGTCCGGGTCATCTTTGCAATCCAGGTCGCATCTGAAGCGTTCCCAAGCCAGCCATCCCATGGGAGGTGTGCGGGCCAAACCGTTGTTCAATGAAACCGCTAAACCAGTGAAGGTAGCGGCGAGCATGACCACCACACAATACCTAAGCGTTGCCTGCATCTTGATCAATGTCGTCCAAGACAATTTCTAGTAACGAATTTGTAGTAGTCCTGGCCTAAAATGTTTCTTTGGACAGAACTAAAACTATTTTACTTTTAGCAGCTTCTAAGTACGAAGTAGTGGTTGCGACCTCGTGTGGGGAGCTTCTAAGTAGTTAGTTCTATTATAATTCTGCGCCAGACTGTACTTTTCTTCGGTCTAGACTGGACTAGACTGTACTGTACTGTCTGTAGTCGAGCACGTAGCTGTTACGATGTTACATGTACAAGCAAAAACCACGCCATCGCCCAAAAGGCATCACGTGCCACACACATCGTCGACAAAAACTACGATCATCTCAGACATCTGATCTTGCATCTACACTACACTGTGACCATGGTGACACAATCTTTTCATTGTTGGCACCGCGTGCCGTTCTTCAGCATGCTAGCATGCATCATGAGCATGCAGCCAGTTCGTGCTCTGCTTCATCTCCATAAAATAATTAAAATGCCCCAAAAACTAGTACAGTAGTAGTATGAGGGAATCTTTCAAATCCTGGGTTGTGGCGTTCGTGGATCACTGCCACTGTCCTGATTTGCAATGGCTGGTCTTGGACGGTCCCATCGCTGGCACAACATGACAATCATTAGCCGGTGCAATGTACTGTCACTTTTATTCATGTGCAAGTTTGTGGTCAGTGCAACTTACTTATATTATATACAACTCATATTCACACATGCGCATGCACAGTACACACACAAACACACACACACACACACACACACACACACACGCACATGTGCGCACGCACGCCACACACACACACGCACACACCGGCACACACCACGCACACACACCGGCACACACACACACACACACACACACACACGCACACACACCGGCACACACACACACACACACACACACACACACACACACACACACACACACACACACACACACACACACACACACACACACACATATGGAAATGAGTAGTGCATCATGGTTTAATGATAAATTGATAATCAGTATATGACAGTATAGTCGCTATGCACTACTCAATAATATTGAGTAGAATAATGTTATTATTCTGGGCAGGAGCACACATGCCCTTCTTCATAGGAGCACAGATGCTTTCTTACTGGTACATTATCAAGAATCCATAACCATGACTACCCTGCATTTCCAGTGGAGTATGCAACCTTGCTAGTGGCATCATCTTACCGACATTCTCTATCGGTAGCTATCACCGTACACACTGGACAATACAGTGAGTACATCAAGTGACCAAGACCTACAGACTACAGTATTGTGTAGGTACTAGGTGTGCATTGTGGCTACATGTATATGTAGTATGGTAACAGTACCACACGCCGTAGTACAAGGTATGCATGTGTCACCACCAGGGCAGGCTGAAACGAACACACATTCTCATCACCACCAACAGAATTGCACAATCAGAACATAACCACTAGTATACTATAGCCATGATCCAGCATGGCATACAGTCCCAATCTCAAAACATGCAGCACTATCGTTTAAAATTATTTGAATAGCATGTTAAAATAGCCAAAACCCTAGCTGAACCAAGTATCAAAAATAGAAAGGCAAGCACGGTGACTTGCCATGAACCGTGCTTGCCTTGCTTTAAAAAAAAATACTTCAGTATAATATGAATGCTCAATCTCATTGCTACAAGGTTTTGGCCTCATTTCTCTCTGTGCTGCGTTCCTGAGTTCACAAAAGACTACACAGCACAGGTCGTGTTTTCTCTGCAGATTGCATATGAGCTCCAAAAGCAGCAGCGATTCTGACTGGAGTATGCCTTATAAAATCATCGGGTTAAACAATGTCTCAACAGTATAAGAACAGCAGTGTTACACTGGCGGACAAGTTCCTTAGTTACTTAGAGCTAGCAATAATTGAAATTGTGAGTAGATCTGGGCTGGGAGCAAGTACCACATACCTGACACGTGCATGTACGTTGAGTCAGGATGCAGAAGCACAGAGAGTAGAATACTTGCCACATGATTGTTGCTGGCATCTAGGCTCGGTCTGCGAACTTTCTTTATTTCAACAGAAGAGGGCAGCAGTAGGCAACACTGGTGGTCACTGCAGTTCTCAACACAAGCTTTCCATCTCGTCAAGTAATTCCTGCAGAGATGTGCGCTTCTCCAGGATCTTCTCCTTCACTTCGACCGAGACACCATCGTCGGAAGTCAATTCACTCTCGATGCCACGCAGCTCTTGCTGCAGCCGTTTTTTGTTCTCCTCCACAAACTCATGCGGCTGTTGCAGTGCTTCCCAGTCGATGACAGTGGAACCACGTCTTGTTCTCTGATAGCGAGACAGGTCGAAAGGCTGCGACGCCACTCGACTGCCCAATTCAGGAGCAGCTGCAAGTGCAGTGTGTGGCAGCCGCGGCATGACACCTATCTTTCTGTGAACGCCTGGTGCACTGGCAGCCTGGTTTCTACCACTGTCAGCTTCAATGGCAGCAGGTTCAACTCTGCTACCGTTCTGCTCTTGGGAACTACCTGATCCGTTTGCGTCTCCTTCGAACACTTCATTCAAGCTACCCATCAGACTTACGTTGTCCATATCACTTTCATTGCTGCTAGAGCCTGGCATGGAAACAATCAGCGGATCATGATCTAAATCCTCGCTCAGCGAAGCCGAAGACGTGGACTCCAAGCGCCGCACTTCGGAGCTTGGCGAACTGACGGGACAACCGGCTGGGAAGAAATCACTGCATGACAGGGATCTGCGGCGCATTCTACGGGCAGGCAGCTGTGGTACGGCTAGCCTCTCCACTTTATCTGACTCCTTCTCTTTATTTTCTTTGATATCCTCTTTGGCACTGTCAATATCTTCTTCCTCGTCTTCTTCCTCTTCATTTACTTGACTGGAGAGTGCAAGCAAACCCGGCAGGTTGCTGTCTGTGACGTCATTGATAATGACACTCTCACGGCGGGTCATCCTGGTAGGGAATGCAATCTTCTTGAAGAGACCCTTCTTGCTAGGTTGTGATGGCGCTCGGCTCAGCGCGTGCTTCTTACTGGAAGCCATGAGTTCTGCTGGGTTCGCGCTGCTTACCGTGGAACTTCGCAATCGGAACTTCTTCCTCGTGCGGACCTTGCCCTGTGGCTTTTGTTGGCCAGAAGCTGTAGTTTGTGTGTTTTCAGAAATGTCCAATGGCGAGACGTTTGTTGACTGTGGCTGGTTGTCGGTGCCGCCATCAGGCTTGTCTTTACATATCGATCGTTCCTGTTGCTGAATGCGAGCAAACAGATGCTCATAGTATCTCTCCAGGTAGTTCTTGCAAATGTCGGAGCGAACATCACAGATAGGTGAGGTGCGGCGTTCTGAAACATGCGAGAGCAATGCAAAGAGAAACTGGTATAAGTATGAGCGCATTGAAACATGATAAGAGGAGTTTGGGAAATTTTCCTCTTCTGCGCTGATTGCTGAAGTATAACTTTTCAGATTGGGAATTAAATTTTTTTCTCCCCCTCACTTTCTCTCTGTCTCTGTCTCTGTCTCTCTCTCTCTCTCTCTCTCTCTCTCTCTCTCTCTCTCTCTCTCTCTCTCTCTCTCTCTCTCTCTCTCTCTCTCTCTCTCTCTCTCTCTCTCTCTCTCTCTCTCTTTCTCTCTCTCCTTTCTCTCTCTCCTTTCTCTCTCTCCCTTTTCTATCTCTCTCTCTCTCTCTTCTCTCTCTTTTCTCCCTCTCTCGCTCTCACTTGCGCAGTGATGGATCATTCTCTTGTGGGGATAGTGCTTTTGCCATTCATTTCTTACTATGCACAACTAACTGAGTTTGCAGTCTGAGCACTCTGGAAAGGCACACCCAGGCCTGGTTTAAATCAGTCCGGTGACTCTGGGATACTGGTATTTGTTCTCACTGATACCAGGTTCTGCCTCAATTCCCCCTGCTGTGCGGACCAGCCCGCAGAGAATGAAAAACTTTTAAAAGTTCATCATGAAACAGTACTGCCGCAGATTGAGTGGCATTGGAGCCATTACTAAAGTATTTTTCAAGTCCCCACTTTGATTCTTTTCAGTCAGCTACAAGAACAGGTTAGGACCACGCATCAAACATTTCAGGCAGTGAGCATAACCAATGTATGAGTAAAGGCGTCACCACAGTTCTAACTCAGCAATGACAGCTTACTTCTTCGTGACTGCAAGCGCACAGCTCTCTCCAGCAGGTTTGACTCTTCGCCAGCCAAAGCATCTACTGACGTTGCCGACGTGTCACGTGATAAACTAGGTGTAGTTGTTTCACTCGACGGCTTGCTCGGTGGCTCGCTTGGAGGTTGACTCCCGGGCGGTGAACGTGAGCCACTCAGAGCGTCGTGGATGACCATGGACGTGTTGGACAGCTTGCGTCCCATTGCCTTGGTTGGCGGTGAGCCAAAGTCTTGCAGGTTAATGTCAGCACTGCGTGGCCGGCGGGGCATCAGTGATAGTACATCGAAGGAATTGCGATCAATGCTTGCACCGCCGCCACTACCAGTACCGGGTGCTGCAAGCTCCTGGAGCTCAATGGCAGTCATGCTGCTACAGCGCTTGACATTGCGTTTCACCTTCGGACGTGGAGTGACCTTGCCCTTGTTTAGGGGTTGATCGCCCGTGCTGCGTCTTAGCTGATGGCTGTGCGTGCCAAACAAAGGACTAGACGAGCCTTTCCTCGGCGCATGTTCCACTCTGAAGCGGTACGCTGAGTCACGGCAAGCATCGGCAATTAAGCCTTTCGGGTCTAGCTTCACTAAAGGCAGCGTGCTGAGCAGACCATTGCGTCCAGCACCGGCCACACGCATTGACAGCTCTTCCGGCTGAAGCACGTCATCTTTGGGAATGGAGCGGTTCAAGTGATCAGCGACTCTCTTCATCACATCTCTGCACGCACAGCCAAGCACCACAGAGAACAGAAAGATGTAAACGTCTATCACTATCATCGAATACAAAGCCAGTGTTCAATACTGTTTATAAATTATACCGGCTTCAGTAATACTGAGGCGGAATCCTCCTGGACAAAGATATTCATTCCATGCTTGCTAAGCGATGGCTACTAGGGAAGCTCGGCGGCTAGCCAACCCACCACAATGTAATCAAGAAGGAAAGACAGAACCATATGGACGCTACCTGCTGCTTCATATCTATTTCCTCCCCATCCATCATTTTTGTACTCCCATCCATCACTTTTGTACTCCCTATCCCTCGCATCCGGTCACATTCATCCCCTCCCCCCCCCTTCCTATGTTTTTTTATCCTCATCATGGTATACTTTCCTTGTCCCCCTCACCCCTCCCCTCACCCACACCCGGGCCCTCACCCACACGCACACACTCCCAGGTCCACACAGCTACATGTACACGTACGTGGGCATCATGCAAGGACTACTAGTATGTATCTGTGTTGGTTACCTGCACGTTGCATTCTCAGGCAAAGAAAGCTGCAGTTCCATTAGCCGACAGCCAATCAGCTCTTCGCTATTCTCGGACTCTGGACCATCTAGAAAGCTGCTGCATGACACAAGCGCAGTAACAGGTATGGTTGGCGGCGTGGTTGCGGTCGAAGTTCCGTCACTCACGTCCGCAGGCTTGCCCTGCGACAAGGGCGGTGGCTCTGTGTTGCTCTGCGGCCAGCTTGGCGTGTCACGGATGTACAGCTCACTGCTGTCATTACACTTTGTCCACTGTTCAACAAGCTGCAGTGGGCAGTCGTTGTCGGAGAAGATTTGCTCTGCAGAAGGGTGGAGCACAAGTGTGAAAGAAGAAGACCAGAGGGAATTGTCAATATTCTTTGTACCCAGTGGCGTACCGGGGGGGGGGGGGGGGGTGCTTTGGGTGCTCAAGCACCCCCCCCCCCTCAAATTTTTCGACATAGGCCAACGTGATGTACCCATGCCACTAAAAGTACCATAACTTTGCGACCGATTTTCCGATTTACGCAAATGACGGCCCATTGGAAAGGCCTTGAGCAACGCTATTCATGGAGATGTGATTGAATTTGATATTCAGAGAACTATATTGTGCTTAAACTCTGAAAGAAGAAATAAAAATGTTCATAAACCAGACTTTTGAATGCGATTTTTGGTGGCACAACTATCAGATTTTGTTAGAAGCTTGGAGCACTCCCCTTATTCCATTCCGGATCCTGCGTACGCCCCTGGTACCGATAGCTGAGTTGTCATGTAAGTACATGTCCTGGACACAGCGTTATCCCATAGCATATCACTGATATCTACTAACCACTGGTACCACGCTGCACAACACATGTCATGGGGAAAGCCCACGGAGAGCAAAGGGTGCTTCACTGTAGAGTTGCAGAAAGCAGGCCGGCTTGTACTGTGGTTGCCGGTCCACTTTTAGTGAAAAGTGCCCAGAACGGAGCCGCAATGATTTGCAGCCAAGGTTTCCAAAATATTCCAAGGATACCCCCCCCCCCCCCACACACACACACACTCTTCAGCCAGACCACCCAATTCCACACACACACCATGTAGGAGCCCAGTGAGAATTGCAACATACGACAACACATCACAGAACACACAGACGTACAGAACACACAGACGTACAGAACACACAGACGTACAGAACACACAGACGTCCTACACTGCAGCCATCGTATTTACCTAATCCGTCCACTGCAGCCAGCAGTGTGAATTGTCTTGCGTGAAGGCTAACCGAGCATCCCATCTTGTCCAAAGCTGCTGCGATGATGTTCTTGCCTGTACAAGTCTGCGGCACAGAAATATAGTCACAGTGACAGAAGACTCAGAAGTACACTAATGGAAGTGAGAACAATAGGAAAGTGTGTAATGGTGTGTTTGGCCTGCCAGAGACGTGGCCACAATGTACCAATGCAGTTATGTACACAGGTCTTGGCTGCACAGGTTCTTACCTCTGTTGGTCAACTTACCCTGTGTCTCAATAATACTGAGTACAAGATAATGGTACATGACTAGAATGTGTCAGCGAATGCTTGAGAGCGAGCTTATTAAAGACTAGTTGGACTCCGGGAGGGCCCTGTTTGACTGGCTAGATCATAATGTTCACGTGTCCATGTACTACCAGGGGCGTAGGCAGGGGGGGGGGGGGTGCTTTGGGCGCCAAAGCACCCCCCCCCCTCCAATATTTCGACCATGGGTCTGGCTTGGCATGCATTGTATGATCAAACAACCGCGAGTCGCGCGACTGCCCTCAGCTCAGCCCAGACTGGGTGCATGCTACGTAGATCTGCGAGTACTGCATTGTACTACACGTGCTTGCACTTTTCCGTTGCAGTCAGTGTGCAAGTATCCATGCAGCCGCGTAGCGCGTGGTCCGGCCCTGTGCTACCTACACAGCTAGCGCTATCGCTAACTGTAGCTGACCAAGCGCTACGCGGCTGTAACTGTCAGAACCAAGGCGAAAAGGTTTCATCACTATTACCAAGAGTCCATAACCCAAGAGTATGCAACTGTGATTATGGGTGCATGCGCGGCGCGCTGCCTTCATTACGTAACTTGCCTTCATCACGCTCTGAAAGCATGCATTCAAACTCTCAATTTCTTGCACGAGCCCATCCGTTTTTGCTCGATTCGTTCCAGTACCTACGCAATCTCTGAATTCTGGCGCGTGAACTCCAGTTCCGTACGAAAGTTCATTTCAAACTAGAGGGAAAGTGCGGTGTTTGATTTTCCGCAGTGCGCGGACTGCAGCTGAATGATGTAATGAAGGCAGCGCGCCGCGCGGTTGGTCCATAGAAAAGAGATCACAGTTGCATACTCTTGGGTTATGGACTCTTGCTATTACTATTACCAAGAGTACATAACCAAGAGTGTGCAACTGCCTGCACAACCTCTATGCTGTGCTGCGACGGCAGAACTTCACATCACGTGACATGGTTCAAAAGGTTATGCTGGCAAACAGTGCAAAGTGACCACAAGAGAGTTGTACCCAAAGCTGGGCTGCGTACAACCCAGTATCTATCATGCACTAGAGTGCACGGGTTCATCACGTGATGTGAAGTTCTGCCGTCGCAGACCCCATAGCTGGAGTTGCACACTCTTGGGTTATGTACTCTTGCTATTACTGTACATCAATCATCATGGTACATGACAGATAGATGTATGGTTCACTGGTTTCGGTGCCTTGTCTCTGCTGTTTTCCGGGCGGCAACTGCGCTTACAAACTCATACCAGATTACAGCCAGCGCGGAGCGCTTTGTTTGGTTTGAGTCCTGTTGCATATCAGAGTCCCGGCTTTGTCCTCTTGCTTTTGGTTGAAAAACTTGGAAGTTTCCAAATTGTTGAAAGGTTAGTCATATTATTTTGATCGACGACGATGTCCTTGCTCCAGTATTTCAGCAAAGCGAAGCGGAAAAAGGTAGACGTGGTAGAGAGTTCTGACTCTGAAACTGTTGGACCTGGAGACTCCGAGTCCGAGTCGAGTGCCCAAATTCCTTCTCCCAGTATTCCGTGTCTGCAGCTCAGTCACCAGTCACCTGCATACTATCAATTTTGCTTGCTCTAAATACATCATTAGTATCGGATATCTACTCCCAAACTATCACTTTAATAATAGCATAGTATACAGTACACTAGCTGTCCCCAGAAGAAGCCCAAATTTTTATTGAATGTTTTCGCTCTATTCACATCATGACGATACATAGAAAACAGTTGACAATGCAATGCAAATGTGTAATTATATAGATTGTTGGAATGGGAAGCTGGAGAATGGGAAGCTGGAGACATTCATAAATATGATAATACATAAATTCAAGGTGAACACCGCACTAGCATGCATATACAATATGCATATATACAGGTGAATGAACGCAGGTCATTTTGACTGTGGAGTCGGTGTGGATTGCACTACACCTGTCAAAATGTCAAGCACTGTCTAGAAAAAATCATGATAGGAAACGTCTTGGAGAGCGCATCGGAAGGGCTCTCCGATCGATGTTACTGCTCGGAGGAGAAACGAAGACTGAGCGGCTCTGTCACCCCAGTCATACAGACGAATCGACGATGGCATCAAGGAATCCAGAAACAATGCAGCACAGCAAGATCCTGATGCTGAAGGATCGTGTTCAAGCAATCGAGAAGTCACAACAAGAACAGTCGGTACGATTGATCGCATGAACATATTTGAAGCCCAGCGCAAAACGAAACTTCCACAGGGAACGTTTGACTCCTGGCTTCAGAAGTAGCAGCTGAATTTGATGTCTACAAAAAAATTATCTTCTCTCTCTCTCTCTCTCTCTCTCTCTCTCTGTCGCTCTCCATCTCCCCATCTTTCTCTCCAAGTGTTGACCTTAATATTTAAATGTGGATGGTATTGCGCAAGTCCTGGGGAATTGTATTAGCTGCATTTTGACATACATATCATATAATGGGATCCATATATGGTCACGCAGAGCAAACCTCACGCGGTGGTGGCAAACAGTAAGTGCGTATATCCATGCATTATGCATTGTGCACACGTTACATGCGCCGAACTACTGGTGCACAAGCAACACCGGCCTGCAACATGGGAAAAGCATACTGACCAATCCATCACAACACATGCGTACCCTACCACTTACTTACTTACTTACTTACTAGCCACCAACTGGTGATTGGACAGCCAAAACAACTGCTGCTTTGACTGTCCATTCACTAGCACAACTATGTTATCTGTTATTCCATGTACAGGAATAAGCAGAGCGCTAGTATTGATCCTATACTGCTTAGCTTACTCTGTCCAATGCCAGCAGAATGTCGTGCTCCGTGCCATTGTGACTGACATGCACCATGACAGGCCGCACGCCCGTACCCAGGTTGACCATGGACAGGGAGCGACGTCGCTGCACCGCCGTGCTGACGTGAGAGTGAAGGAACAGAGACGGCGAGCCGCCCAGTGAGCTGCCATGGCGACCGCTGGTGCACGGTGTCAGTGTGATGTGCCGGTAACCTTGGCGCCAGCCCCGGTACGGGATAATGGCCTTCGCCGTACGAGCTGAAAGCACACAGAAAGGAGAGAACGCTTAGCGCTAAGTTTCATGGCAGCTTGCATCCCACTGACTGTGCTGTTATTCTTCCGTGTACTAGTCACTGAGGGAGTATTTCTTAAACAAGTTTGATACTAGCACCCTCTAACATGACTACAGTCATATGCCACTCTTGCTTAACACAAGTACACAGGTGACTGTGACCTGCTTTTAGTGTCCATTCAAGGGATCAGGCAACCGTGCTGTCCATTCAAGGGATCAGGCAACCGTGCTGTCCATTCAAGGGATCAGGCAACCGTGCTGTCCATTCAAGGGATCAGGCAACCGTGCTGTCCATTCAAGGGATCAGGCAACCGTGCTGTCCATTCAAGGGATCAGGCAACCGTGCTGTCCATTCAAGGGATCAGGCAACCGTGCTGTCCATTCAAGGGATCAGGCAATCGTGCTCTTTGAACATAGGCAGTCTCCAGAATCACCATGGTGGCATTCGCACATTCAAACGATTCCGTTCTAGAGAACAGCAGCCGCACCGTGCTGACCAAGTGGTCACTGAGAGCAGGTGCTCACTGCACCAGGGTTCACCTGTACTCCTCGGCATGACATAGACACATAGATACAGCCACTGGTCAATGGCTTTTCCTTTGGATACGTGTGTACACGTACATCCGGAATTCTTATTCTCACTATTCGTCTCGTTCACCAAATGCACTAAGCCGGTTTCCACTCACTGGGACTTTGCAGTTCATCGTGGATGGATATATGAATGGCTGCAAGTTCGGGGGCGCTGATCATCACTTCTACGCTTCCTTCGCGTGCTGTCCAGGTGGAGAAGGACTCTGCTTGTCGAGCCTGGCCACTGTAGACCTTCTTGCAGTCCTCAGTGATGCCATACACCTGCAAAAGGCAAAGGAGAAAAGGGTAGCAATAGAAGCAAGATCAGTACAGATTCATGTTGGTACTGATTTCCATCCACTTTCTGCTTGGTGCGAATCACATTGCCTCTCCCCTCCTCCACCCCATCTACCGACTTTTCTGATTGTGTTGCTGTATGTTCAAAACAACATCCACGGCGCTGCATCCCGGCTTCCTCCAAGCCTCAGTAAGAAGCATGGGATAAGCAATATCCAAACAAACATCTAACTTGATGTCCCAGTGGACAGCTGGGTATGAGCAAGCTGATGTAGAGCAGAGTGTACTGCTGCTGCTGTATGATATCCTCCAACAGTTATGCCGGGTATGCTACTCAAGTAGTTATGGACACACCTCAACTTCGACGATAGGATTGGCACTTGTGGGTAGAAGCATCTGTGCTGATAGAACCTGCAAATAGGCACCAAATGTAGATTCGACAGAATATTCACAACCAGTACATTACTACATGCGTTAAGTCCTGTAAACCTCACCAAAGCCTAGCAGTTGGTCAGCTAGTCGTGGAGTTGTGCACTCCGGAGTCCGTATTTCCAACCCATTCAGTGAGTTTATGGTCAACTCGGTCTATTCTTTTGTGAGTGGAGCAACACGCTGCCACACTTAGGCGAGACCAAAAAAATACAGATTCCCGGGCCCTCCCGCACCAAAATCGAGCCAAAGGCAATTTTTTTAACAGTTCGTGTTATTAAGGCGATACATAGTATAAGCGAAGCAGACATTACGAAATGATGAATGAGAATACATGTATCAAAATTGATGTTCCTAATCGATTTTCTTGAGACTATCATCAGGGAAAAATCGTCTCACAATAGAAGATGCGGAGAAACAAACTACTTATAGGTCTATAGGATAGTGGGAAGTATACAAGGTGAGGTGTGAAAAAAAACTAACGTGGGAGAGAAGACGAAAGAAAGAAGAAGATGTGAGAGTGTTCCAACGGTGTGAGCTACTACAAAAGGTGAGTGAAATGAAGGCGTGGAAGCAGGTGAATGTGATAGAGTGAGGAACTGTGAGGTGTAGATGACGATTCATGCTTCACTGTTTTGTGCCGTGGCCGTAGGTTTCGTGAACTTTTAAAAGGTATTAGAAGCTGTTCTCATCCGTAAACACAATCCTAATCTATGCATTCAGAAAGAAAATGTCACAAAACTGAGACTCTTCACCTAGCAGTCACACACATATTCATTCGCATACACCTACACCTCACAGTTCCTCACTCTATCACATTCACCTGCTTCCACGCCTTCATTTCACTCACCTTTTGTAGTAGCTCACACCGTCGGAACACTCTCGCATCTTTTCTTCTTCTTTCTTTCGTCTTCTCTCCCACGTTAGTTTTTTTACACCTCCCCTCATATACTTCCCACTATCCTATAGACCTATAAGTAGTTCGTTTCTCCGCATAGCTTCTATTGTGAGATGATTTTTCCCAGATGATAGTCTCAAGAAAATCGATTAGGAACATCAATTTTGACACATGTATTCTCATTCATCATTTCGTAATGTCCGCTTCGCTTATACTATTTATCGCCTTAATAATGTTATTGTCTCCTCGTCGCCAGTTCGTGTTATGTACAGTACTGATCGTGCGAGTAGATCTGTGACATGGTGTCACACAAACCTGGGCTTGTACGGCTCCCTGGTGTACGACTCAGGGCTGTCGTTGGCCGAAATACAAAAGAAATAGTACGGGTACCGGTAAACCACGTACCATGTACCTGTCGTCTGTAAAAAACTTATAAAATAAATACCGGAAAATACTGAAAAAAAAGTTCAGCATGCCATGCATACACACATCGGAAAAAATAAAAAAATAAAAATTCGCCCGCCCGCACCAATTTCAGATGGGTCCTGCCCGGGAATCTCGATTTTATTTTGGTCTCGCCTTACTGTACTAGCTACGGCGGGGGCAACTAAAATCCAACCCCTGATTTTTCGTGCTCGAATGCAGCACCGATTCTAGCTGTCTCTATTCGGTAGTGTAGGAGTACAAGCGCGCGCTTGGTTTTCGGAATGTGAGTGCACCGAGCAGGGGTCGGATTTTAGCTGCCATCACTGTGTGTGTGCGTGCGTGCGCGTACGTGTGTGTGTGTGTGTGTGTGTGTGTGTGTGTGTATGTGTAGAGCAACACACTGCTATACTTACTGTGATGGCTATGCGTATGGGACTCTCCGTCAGCGAAGGCGGCGGTAAGAAAGGTGTGGACGGCGGCCGCAGCGCCTGCATCACAACATCGACAACGACAGGGTACAGGTATACAGCACATAGTCAGTAACCATGGTAAACATGTCTGACATTTATGTACAGAAGTGTGATTTGAAAAGAGATATGACACCAGCAAAAACATGGGTTTCGGGCTAAAGGTATTACTATTTTACCTAATCTGGATCACATGCCACCTACAAACAAAACAAAAAGAGAACTTGGCCACACTGTTTGTGTGATGTGATAGCATTGCAAGGGGCCAGGAATTAAAAACGCCTCGCGGATATTTTTTTTAATTATTTGAAAACGACAGAGTGTGTTACCACGATGCCGTATACGGGGATTTCTGCGTGGTTGTCTGATCTAAAACCCATGATATTAAAAATGGCTTTTCGATACCTGACTTGTCAGAATCGTTCAGGGAGTCATAAAAGTTGCATGCATGGTGGCGTGGGCCTTCTCTTTTCTCGGACTAGACACACAAGCCCTTCTCCCTCCTCGCTACTTGCAGTATTCGTCACATACTGCGCTGGATCCAGTTCTAGCCAAAAACATACCGCTAATACAGGGCATTGTTTGCCAATGATGCAGCGGGTGTCGTGAACAAGATATACATGCACATGTAGTTTTAGCAAGCGTCCATGTGTGACACATACATGCTAACAAGTAAAGAAAATGGTCTAAATATTACACAATCATGGTTGAAAAACTTTGATGTCCGAAATTGAAGGTGGGCTGCTGCCTAAACTTGGCCACCTCAGTCCCAATTTTGTTACGCGAATGCGCACAAAATGCAAAAAAAGATCTGTCAGAAGTGGGATTCGAACCCACGCCCACATACGTGGACCAGAAGGCTCCAATCTGCATTGACTGCAGAAGGTACAAGACCTTGAGTCTGGCGCCTTAGACCGCTCGGCCATCCTGACATCTCTGACATTTGAAACTCACACCCAGTTGAAAGTACAAACTGTTTCAAGTGTCAAGCACATAGAATCCAGGATTGTGCCATGCCATGATTATTTTGACGAATCAGAGAAACATGGGAATGCTTGTGCGGGAGATCGCAGGTTTCGAGTCCATGAGTACAGAGTGTAGTGCGGGCTGGTCACGTAAAGAAAGCAGTGTGTGTCGTGTACTGGCCCCTAATCACTGGTGCATACTGTTAGCTGTGGACTCTTGGTTTAATGTATCGTGCACACTTAGGGTGCATCCTCATTTTCTGCTGGTTCTTCGAGAAACGTCACTCAGTGGGAGATGAAGAAAAAAAGGAAGAATGAAAGAACGGATCTCACTGATCTCTTGAGTACAGTGTACCAAACTGGCTGTAACCATGGTAACATTGAGGGGCGGCATCATTGCAGCGTACATGTATTTTGGTCGCACTGGCAAACACGTGCATTTTATGGTAGGCCGCATGCGTAAAATCCGCGACGAGGGGACATCCAACTTTCAACCACCTCCGGAGTTTGGAGAGAGCTTTGGAGAACATCCTAAAAATTCGAGAGGGTACTCAAACTATTCACCGGTGCCAGAAAGATGATTTGCAATGTAGGAATAGGAATGGCTAGACAAGGGATGGTCTAGCGTACTTGTGAACTTTCGTTTGAAATCATAGTAACTCAGTGTGTTGAGGACTCGCCAAAATGAAAGGAAGCTTTCAACGAAAGGTCGAAGTTTGACTTCTGGCAAAAATTTCTGCGGATGAAAAATATGTACAATTGGTGGCTGTCTATATGGCCACTCATGTGTTCTGCCGATTTAACTTGACACTTGACTGACTCACAACTTCCACCCAGACAGAGTCCACTGTGATGAAGCCGGTATTGCCAGTATTGCTACTACCTCCCACTGTACTACTCGCCCGGGTCCCATGAAGAAGGTATGATGAATAGTGCTTCTATGAGTAGGCCGGTATTGTGACTCGCAACTTAGGATTGTCTTTTGTTGTTTTTTGTAGTTTTACTCAATTGTAGTCGCGTTCCACAAAAAGAATCGACAGAAGCAGCTGACTTTCCTGGTGACAGATACTGGTGGTAGTAGATATTTTGCTACTCCCGGGTTATTTACAGTACCACCAAGCAAATGCAAAAAAAAGATGTGTCAGAAGTGGGATTCGAACCCACGCCCACATACGTGGACCAGAAGGCTCCAATCTGCATTGACTGCAGAAGGTACAAGACCTTGAGTCTGGCGCCTTAGACCGCTCGGCCATCCTGACATCTCCACTACTTGACGAAGAGCATAGGAGTTGAAACGCACAATGGACTCCAAACTGGTATGACATCAGAATGAGATCCAGTGTGTGATGATACAAGGAGGGCATACGTGCATGAGTCACGATAACAGATTACTTATCAGTTTACTTCTGAAGTAAAGCTCGTAATTCCTTATCTGCGCAGAGTGCTCAATGCCTATGATGGCTGAGCGCTTTCCAGAAGAATAAGGATGACTATTTGACCAGTCATAAACTTGTCCTTATTTTGGTGTACTTCTGAAGTATTTGTATAATTATTTCACCTTCCGGTGCATTGCTAGACATGTGATCAATGCCAATATAGAGGATAAGTAATGCACTGGCTTTGTGTCTTTCTAAGCTCGCTCTGTACGGAACAATCCGATTATCCTTGAAACATACCGCGAAGTATGATTCACAGTGCTGGTCATGCTTACTTCAGGCCCACCGCACCAACTTTGGAGGTGATGCAGCCATGGAAGGGGGGGGGGGGGGGTCCGGAGCCCTCCCCTGGGAAAAAATTCAAAAATTGAAGCCAATTGCAAGCATTTCCGTGCACGTGGTGCCATTTCAGTATTACTGCAATGAAAGACTTTCCAAAAATGCAAAAATGCAAAAAAGATCTGTCAGAAGTGGGATTCGAACCCACGCCCACATACGTGGACCAGAAGGCTCCAATCTGCATTGACTGCAGAAGGTACAGGACCTTGAGTCTGGCGCCTTAGACCGCTCGGCCATCCTGACATCTCTGACCATTGATCAAATGCCGGGACTTTCCACACCCAACGGATTCGCACATGCCATGCCATCAGAGAGGGACGATACGAGGTGTGCTAGTGGCCATACCAGACGGTGCACTGGCTTATTTATTTACGGACTAGTCAACTGAAAATCCATAAATTCCTACTGATTGGCGAGGGAACCCGATAATCGAACATACATACTCTATGTATGCACGACATATGCTGTAAATCGGTAACCAACGATTTTCGTCCGGACGGCGAGGGATCCGGATAAAAGAGGACCGGATAAGCGAGGTCTGACTGAAATAGATGCAGTAGATCCTCTGTCAGTAGATTATTCTATACATAGGACACGTTCATATCCATATTATCCAGGACACATTAAAGTTGAATCGCAAGTGGTCCTAAACAACTGTTCCTAAGCAAGTGAGTCACCAATCCCGTTGCTCATGTCACCCCTGTGTTCCAAGGCTATCAATGGCACGGACGACCCATTGTATTGGTTTTCAGTGAGAGAAATAGTCACCGCATATCTCAGGTTAGTGACAGCACTACCATCAAGCACAACACAGCTGTGCAAAAAAGCATTGAGTCTGAAATGCACAGGTTCTAGGTTCCGATGATCCTGTTTGTTTACAATTAGTGTCATGCGCAAAGCAAATCTCTAGCCTCTCCACTGTACCTGCGGTTTGAGAATGTAGCCGGAGTTTCTATGCCACATGAAGTGGGACAAGTAACTGCGCAGGTGCTGGTCTGGAATTCAGTAAGTGAACCGCATATCCAGTCACCACACAAGCATTGGCACACACACACACACACACACACACATCAGCACACACGTATGCACACACACACACACATGCGTGTGCGCACCCCCCCCCCCCCCCCACACACACACAACCACACACACGCACGCACACGCACGCACGCACCCACGCACACGCACGCACACACCCACGCACGCACGCACGCACGCGCGCACACACACACACACACACACACACACACACACACACACAAGATTACAGACTGCTATGCGGCCTAGGCTGTGACGACAAACAAATAAGAATCTGCCACTTCAACTTCGACACCATATGCTAATCTAATGAAAGCAGTGCTTGATGTTTCAACCAGGAGGGGGTCACAGTAAAATAGTACAGAATTCTAGAATTCGGGTATCAAATGCTGCCGTCTGATGATCGCTGAAATGCGTGAAACGTAAAGTTACAGCTACACAACCTTTCCGCGGCCTCTGTTGTGTGCCTCTGTTGTGTGCCTCTGTTGTGTGCCTCTGTTGTGTGCCTCTGTTGTGTGCCTCTGTTGTGTGCCTCTGTTGTGTGCCTCTGTTGTGTGCCTCTGTTGTGTGCCTCTGTTGTGTGCCTCTGTTGTGTGCCTCTGTTGTGTGCCTCTGTTGTATGTGAGAATTAGTGTAGTCTGTTGTGTGTGAGAATTAGTGTAGTGTATTTAATGATGTACACTAGTGGATATACAGTGAAACCTGTCAAGGCAGCGACCACTCGGATAAGGCGACCACTCGGATAAGGCGACCACCTGTCCTACAAGACCACTGGAACCAGAATCAAGGGATGCTCTTTCCAGTCAAACGACCCTGGATAAGGAGACCACCTGGTAACAAAGACCAAAATTTCAAAGGTCCCTTGAGCGGTCGTCTTAGACAGGTTTCACTGTACCGTCATGCTGATGTCACACAATGCACAGATCATCATTTAAAAGGCATTTCATTATGGACACCATGTTTGTATTGATCCAAGCATCACCTTGTTCTTACAAACAACCAGCATGCATGTACTATATAGTACCTGGAGTCTGGTAATTCAGTGCCACCATATGGCATCCACATCTCCAGTACAAACAGTACGGAAAGTTGGTCGAGTCAAAGCGCTTGTAGAACGGGTAGATGCGGCTTAGCTGGCTATGGTTGAAGCTGTAGCATTCATGCACACAAAAGTCATGAGTAAAAGAAATTATAAACATGGAGGCCTCCTTCTCCTGGAGGACAGGATGTGACGGGTTGAGTCCACAATAATGTGTGAGCATGAAAGCCAACCTATTCGCCACCTTTCTGTTTTCTATGTATGATGCGTGATGTCCATATACGAGTCTATGTGTGTGTGTTTGGGGATCACAGTTCGCGTGTGTGCATGTCACGGTGCGTCGTGTGTGTGTGTGTTGTGTGTGCGTGCATACGGTTGTGCTATTGTTGTGCCTCTCCCCAAAAAGGGCAATTGGAGGGATATAGCTCTACCTTGCTACATTGCGCACTGTTGCAAGACAAGGGGCAACAACGTAGTTTTGTGTCATGTCCACTTGGGCCTTAGCCTAGGCTAGCACAATGTCACAAACACAAAACACACACACATGCACACACACACACACACACGCACACACACACACACACACACACACACACACACACATAAACACGCAGGCACACATACACTCCATAAACACTCGTACTTGGTGAGCACTTTCGCCGTGTAGCCCTTGATCATATGCTTCTTGGCAGTGGACTCGGAGACAGAGATCATCTGGGTGCAAGGACCCTGTGCAGCCTGTTAGAGTTGTCCGCAGAGCACAGAGTATGCAGGAACATTAGACGGAGGGTGGTAGCCATTGCCATGCAGCGCAGAGTATGCAGGAACATTAGACGGAGGGTGGTAGCCATTGCCATGCAGCGCAGAGTATGCAGGAACATTAGACGGAGGGTGGTAGCCATTGCCATGCAGCGCAGAGTATGCAGGAACATTAGACGGAGGGTGGTAGCCATTGCCATGCAGCACAGAGTGTGCAGGAACATTAGACGGAGGGTGGTAGCCATTGCCATGCAGCACAGAGTATGCAGGAACATTAGACGGAGGGTGGTAGCCATTGCCATGCAGCACAGAGTGTGCAGGAACATTAGACGGAGGGTGGTAGCCATTGCCATGCAGCGCAGAGTATGCAGGAACATTAGACGGAGGGTGGTAGCCATTGCCATGCAGCGCAGAGTATGCAGGAACATTAGACGGAGGGTGGTAGCCATTGCCATGCAGCACAGAGTGTGCAGGAACATTAGACGGAGGGTGGTAGCCATTGCCATGCAGCACAGAGTATGCAGGAACATTAGACGGAGGGTGGTAGCCATTGCCATGCAGCACAGAGTATGCAGGAACATTAGACGGAGGGTGGTAGCCATTGCCATGCAGCACAGAGTATGCAGGAACATTAGACGGAGGGTGGTAGCCATTGCCATGCAGCACAGAGTGTGCAGGAACATTAGACGGAGGGTGGTAGCCATTGCCATGCAGCACAGAGTGTGCAGGAACATTAGACGGAGGGTGGTAGCCATTGCCATGCAGCACAGAGTGTGCAGGAACATTAGACGGAGGGTGGTAGCCATTGCCATGCAGCACAGAGTGTGCAGGAACATTAGACGGAGGGTGGTAGCCATTGCCATGCAGCACAGAGTATGCAGGAACATTAGACGGAGGGTGGTAGCCATTGCCATGCAGCACAGAGTATGCAGGAACATTAGACGGAGGGTGGTAGCCATTGCCATGCAGCACAGAGTATGCAGGAACATTAGACGGAGGGTGGTAGCCATTGCCATGCAGCACAGAGTATGCAGGAACATTAGACGGAGGGTGGTAGCCATTGCCATGCAGCACAGAGTGTGCAGGAACATTAGACGGAGGGTGGCAGCCATTGCCATGCATGTACGTTACTAGTAGTTATTGTCATGCACGTAGTCATTTCCAAGAAGTTCAGTAGCTTACGATTCGGTGTTGAGAAACACAACTAGCTTAGAGAAGTTTCGCTCGTGCCAGGCCACCACCATACCTGATTATACCAGGGTGGCTGCAGATGCAGCGCCTAATGGCACGGGTGAGGTGATAAGTCTCACGACTCCCCACGGCCAATGCCCAACAAAGGAGCGAACCTCGTTAGCTGCATCTATGTTACCGGCCTCACTCTGAGTAGTGAGTACCCAGTTGACCGTGGGAGCTCAGCCAGTGACTAGAGATATTGCTACCATCTAGTTCTTTTTGTTTTTTCGTATCAGCCTTTGTGAATTCAGCATCATTGTCGGCTTAGAACAGCTACTACTCTAGAGCTAACGGGGACCGGGGGTTGAATGGAAGATGTCGCTAAGATCACCACAGATAAAACATGCATAGGTCAGCTACCACTCCAGTAACAACTGGACGGCTTGCCAATTTGTTTGTATTTTCAGCTCAGTGCCCACTGACTTACATCAAAGCTAGTGAACTTGATGGACTTGCAGAATATCAGACAGGAGAGTTCGGGTGCAATGGCTGCCTTGGAGCCACCGTCCTGCTGCGTACAGTCAAACTGTGCTTGCGGCGGCTGTTGCAGCTGGTAGCCCTGCTGGTCCGAAGTGCTCGTTCTGTTCTGGTCCAGCAGGTGAGGTAGCATCTTGGGGTCGACGGCTTGTGGTAGAGAATGGCTGCGCATGTTGAGCTGCGGTGGAACAAGGCCTGGTGAGTCGGGGCTCATCACCAGTGATGGAAGAGCACCGCTGTTCGTGCTAACCAACAAGCTGCTTGAACCACCGCCCGAATGAGTGGCGGGCTGTGCGCTGTGCGAGCGTAGTGCCCGAGGAATACGCGGGCTGTCTGCCTCGTTGATGTCCCTACCAATTGTGGTGGCGAGAATGGGTGGCGTTGCCGGCATGATTTGATCTGCATCCAGGGTAGCATCTTCACCATTGATCTGCCACTGTGGCAATGTCGTGGAAAGGTGGATGGTGTGAAGCTCCGACTCTGAACTCCCAACAGTCTGCACATCAACACAACCAACACATCATCCGGACAACAAAAGCTCGGGCAAAGATCCTACTTTGAAAAAGTCAACTCTTATGATATCTTCAAGTAACCAGCATAACAAACCCTTGTACAGCAGACATTCAGTGTAGATCTACTACATCTCCCCTCGTGGTGCTCAGTATCCACATCGATCAACATCCACAACAGTCGCATGCGGCCTGAATCCGAGCGAGATGATTTCCTTCCACACAGTCCTCACAAGTCGCGGCGCACTAATGGCTTGATCAAAAACCTGAATACACCGTTAAGCGAAAACAGACTGAGAAATACGGCATTGCCCCTGTAAGCACGCAGTTACCATGATGTATAGCTTGCATCACCGTGGCAATCACAACGTACCAGTGGAAAGTCATCGCAGTGTCGCCTTGGCGTGGTGCTGGGTGATGGAGTGCGCGGCATTGTTCCGTGCTGAAGACGAGATAGCGCCAACGGGCTGTTCTGCGTGGCTCTTCGTTGCAGCAGGGAAGAATCGGCCGGTGACATGCGCCCATGCTTCAAGAGAATTCTGTATTTCAAATCCTGGATGTATATGAAAGGGGACAGAACCAAATTTGGCATTGGTCAAAAGGCACCAAATACTTACAAGACATCCTCGTCGTATTGTAAGTTGAACGTGGGGTATGCTGCTACGTCTGACATTCGATTTGCATAATAGCACAATCAATGGAGTGTTTCTAATTTTCTATTTCAACTTTGATGTCCGGCCAAGCAATGGATGCTGTACATTTTTCCAGGCGTTGACGGAAGGGGAGAGGCTTCACATCAAGACAAGGAAAATGTTGACAAGACTTGTCCAGGCAAACCTAGAGGAAGAGACTTTAGGTATGACAGCTAGATCAGTGGCTGTTTGGTCAGTATCGATTTCATGCTTGCACATGATAACGACACAGTCACAGTATGCATGTACTCAGTGTAAGAGGAATATGGCCATCCACTGTACATTGTGCGGGCACTAAACGACATCTTAAAAACGCAGTACTGGTATGCTGATGCTTTGAGCCAATAGGGCTTGAAAGTGCTACGTCACAGCATAGCAACAATTTCAAAAATTCAAAAACTGGATCCACTTGGATCCAGTTTTTGTATGGATCCAAGCACATTTAAAGCCGTCTTACTCACAGCAAGGTGATGTAGCCAGTGAAACTGACTGATTTGGCTACTGGGGGCGGGGTTACAACTGGTGGCGAAGTAAAAGTCACCCCTGCATACGACATGAGTGGGTTGCTATGCACCCACATACTGAGGCAATAGCAAAGTCACACCTTAGTGGATCCAAAATAGAAATCTGATGTCAACTTACTACTCCCTGGCCGTTTTTGACGTCATCACTTTCAAGCCCTATTCAAGAATGCTTTGTTGCTCATTAGACTTCTGTGTGGTTGATCGGAATGACCAGCGACTTGGAGCTATGCTGATGATGAGACCTAACATGGTCAAAAGCTAGCTGTCCGGAGATTGCATACACATGCATTTATTAAACTTTCAAATGTGTTGCTATGGCGACTACTTACCTCCGGTGATGGCAGCTGTGTGAGGTCGCCGCCTTCAAACTCCTTCTCCGTGAGAAGAGCGCTGCCTAGATACTTGACCATCATGTCTGCCATCATTTTCTGTGCGCAAAGGGAAAACACAGCCGACAACTCGATCTGCGGCTCAACGCTGAAACGGAAAGACAAGTGGATCAAGTTTCCAAAGGAAGAGCAGGGGTACGGTCAGTGCACCTCTTGCATAACTGCAGGACCCATACTGTTACAATGACCAGTCAATGCTCAGTCTGCCCATTCACCGGGCTTCTATACATCTGAGCTAGAGATGTCGGCGCTTATTAAACCCAAAGCAGAGAATCTGATGGTGAGCGGACTTCACTCAGGAACACTTCACGTCTTGCAGTAAGGAATTCTAGCAGGGTGCAGAATAATGTAGCTGCCTGACTGTATCATCATCACGGAGCAGAGCCGTGTGCATAAGCAACTAAGTTAGGCGGCCCTGGAAGCGGGTGCAGCACCCTCAGCTAGCAGCCCTGCAAGGAGCACTAGGTCAAGTTGAACGAATCATACGCAGACTCAGTGTTGTACAGCTGACTACTAACCTGCTGCCCATGAGAGCAATGGTTCTCAATGGAGATTATCAGCGGGTACGGTGAAGCAACGAATGCGTGTTGACTGACAGCAATGATCACGTCCTGGTGAGAGGAAGGTGACACAAATACGGAATGACGACAGCAAACTTCACTGTTAACTACCCTGTGATCTCGGGGGGGGGGGAGGAGGAGGAGGAGGAGGAGGAGGAGGAGGAGGAGGAGGAGGGGTGGAGGAGGAGTTTGGTCCATGGAGCCATACCGTAAAACCTCTCTTATCCCGTCGCCTTGGGATCAAGTGGGGGCCATATCTCAGATTCACCCCAGGCGTGTAACGCCGTATCGCAAAACTCGCAAACAAAGCAGCTAGAGTTGGCCGTACCATGTCCGCAAAACGCCCAAAACAGGATATAAGATATCGCAAAGTCTGCGTGCAACGTTCATCTGTCGATGCGTGGACTGGACTTGTACACGTACCGGGTAGGTCCTTCATACATGTTGTGTACATGGTCTACAGTATGTCATTGTCAGTCTTGAACATGATTGTACATGCTAGCCATTGTCGACGCATTTGAAAACCCTAAAACAGCAGGGTGACCGGAGTGAGGGGAGCTGAGTGTGACCATGAAGCCGGGAGTAGTAAACACCGGTGTGTTAGCCCTGGTGTGAAGTGACTACACTGTGCTATGTTTGTTCCAACGTGCTGCTCCCTACCATTCGAGGAGAAGAAGCATGTTTGTTTGCAAGTCCAAATGTCGGAGCCTCCAGCAAAACGTTTGTAAGAAGCAGCCGATGGCACATGTACATGTAGTTCAAGATCAAAGGAGAATTATGTATACATGTAGTCTGCTGTACGAGACTCGTTTCGGAGTGCTGTTTACCGCAAAACTTCATAATAAAAGGACCTATCTGAGCCAGTATCATTGGCTGCAAAAATGAAAATAAGGTGAATTATTTTATACACTATGTGGCCTAACATGACCTTCCAAAGCAGACTGAACGGGGTTATGCTACGCCCCTACACCCCATAACTTAGAAGAACACCACACACAATACTGACTGAGAATTACACACAATACTGACTGAGAACTAGAAAACACTGAGTCTGTAGTGGAATAGGGCCGCTAAATTCCGTATCCATGACACTATGAGTAACATCAAAATTTGGCATCACCGGTATTCCATTGCAAACTTGTGTCATTTGGCTCTGCCCTCATGGTATCGGGCACTTTTGCAAGTAATTAGCAACTTAAACGGAAGGGATTTTCTAGATTGACTGCCGATACGTGCCTGCAAGGTGTCCGCTTAAGTTAATGGAGGCTTCAAGATAACATATGACAGGGCCAGACAAGAGAGGTTGTGCTGGATTAAACCCTCAAGTCAGTAAGCTCTTCGGTACTGCTACACGTTTCGGCGGAGCCTCTTGGACCGTCGGATTCTCTGCAATGTATGCATGGCAACTGGTGTAGCCCATGGTCACACTGGGTACACGCTTATCATATCTACTTCGAGGGTTACCTCGAATAGAATCTTTGTAACCAGCGTCCTGCCATGTTTGACAACTGGCTGACGGTCTCCGTCCCAGCAGTCTATCTCAATACACCGACAGCCGGTGTGAAGAACCTACATGCACACACGCATTCACGTACGGGCATGAACACATACAAGTGTGTGTGTGCGCGCGTGCACACACACACAAACACACACAAACACACACACACACACAAATATATATGAATAAACCAATAGTACATACATACAAACACACACCTATACATCATACACACGTGAGTGAGTGAGTGTGTGTGTGAGAGAGAGAGAGAGAGAGAGAGAGAGAGAGAGAGAGAGAGAGAGAGTGAGAGAGAGAGAGAGAGAGAGAGAGAGAGAGAGAGAGAGAGAGAGCACACATGCATGCAAACACCCATTCAAGCATGTCAGTCTGACTCCTTCGGCTGTGAAGTACATTGTATTAGTATTTGCATGACACTGTCGGAAATCTTGGAGGTGAAATACATGTACTTGGCACATTGGAGTAACCATGGATTGCCGGGATGGGATTGATTCCTACTCAAAGCTTGAGTACCAATCTATCCCCACCTCGTCTTCAACTCTTCCTTCGCTCTTAGCGTGGGAAAGGACAATGATGGGGGAAAAACAGCCTACAGGACTGTACACATACAGTGGTAGCAAGTGAAATCCAACCCTAACTGCTATACATATAACAGAGCCCTGTTCATTTCACAGTCCCGATTGATCATAGTGCTTGACCTGCATAGCCCCAGAGCTGTTATATTCATGATGGGGTTGGATTTCACTAGCCAGCACTGTGGTTCTAGCTGATCAGTATGTTGGTGTAGAGTAGAGTAGAGTAGAGTAGAGTAGAGTAGAGTAGAGTAGAGTGCAGTACAGTAGAGTAGTGTAGAGTAGTGTACAGTAGAGTAGTGTACAGTAGAGTGCAGTACAGTAGAGTAGTGTACAGTAGAGTAGTGTGCAGCACAGTACCTGTATGTACATGTCCACGGTGGACCATCCCAACAGCTGATGTCCAGTTAGGTAGGTGTTGTGCGATGTGGCAATGAAGTAATGAGACAACGGTTGGCTGAGGTCATTCTCCTCCTCGTCACTTCCTGGACCAACAACTGGCATTTGTCCTTCGGTCATCAGGTATCGCATGAAGAGAGTCTTGCTGATCCACGCTGGCGGCTGGTCCGAGCTGAAGTCATGGCCAGACTCGTCGTAGCCCATCTTGGAAAATGCCACAACGACCTCTAGGCAATCGGCACGCGATAAGACCTCCTCGCTCTGACCCTGCACAAGGTCACAGAACATGTCCAGGGACATGCGTGCCTTCATTGCCCGCACCTCGCCGTCGTCGTTGACAACCATGACGTCATCACTGGTGATTCCCACATCCGGTGCATCGGAGCTCGGCGTTACTGCTTGAGTGCCAATGCTGCGTTTGCGAAGACGCCGACCCAAAAGAGTTCCACTGCCACTTCTCTTGCCCTCCTTTCTTCTCTTTGATCCCTTGTTAGCATCTGGAGAGCCTCCGGAGCTTCGTTCCTCTTGCTGCGAGGAGGCCATTGTAAAGTAGTCGCGATTCATGGAGCCAGATAAGCTGCTGCTACTGCTTGAGGATAGTGATGATGACGTGCTGCTCTTGGACACGTTGCCCAGTCCATCCACAGTGCTACATCTGCACCAGACGCTGGCTTTGCTGCACTGCTGGCACAGTATACCACTGCGCGTAGCGTAGTCCAAATACACCTGCGCGTGGCAAAGCGGCAGCAGCAGCAACAGCAGCAGCACATGCAGGTGCCACATACATGCAAGTGCAGTATCGGGCCATACAGGCAAACACGATCAGATCACTACTCAATAGAGTAGCATTGTAGCATGTATGTCTGATTCTTCTGTGAATTGTTGTATCACTCAAAACCCATGCATCATTCTTGCCACGCACGGCAAGGCAACACCAACGGGTAGCTAATCATTGACTTCACACACACACACACACACACACACACACACACACACACACACACACCTCAGACCTCAGACATGCCCATCGCGGAAGCGATGATAGCGAACAGCTATGTTAGACATAGCAACTTGTGCTGAGATTACACCATTCAACAGCTTGCTAGGCTGATGAATTGACCGTCAGTAATTTTTAGCGTGGTATCCACCACACAGCTGGTTGAAGTGGCTTTTTCTGGCCAGTGAATCCCTATTTTTAATTTTTATTTTCACATCCACCCACACACACATACATACACACACACATACACACCCTCACACGTATTCCACGAGTAGGCAACAATCCAGGGGTCACTGACCTGCCGCACGTCCTCACGCCGATGCAATGTATAGCCAATGTACAGCTCCACAAACAGTTTGAACGATATACTCTGTGACAATGCTGACAGATTGGATGCCATCAGAATGTCAACATTCTCCGCAAATATGGCATCTAAAACCTGCAGGCACAAGAACACAAAGACAAAAAACAAGATGAAAAAGGAGGACAAAATGTTAGGAGTTGCTAACTGTCCACCAACGTAACCAGATCTTATACAGTCAGCGAGTGCGACAAAATGGCACAAAACTCACAATTTTTCACCATAATTTAATTTGCTCACCATCCGAGTTACTAGTAAACAAAAGACAATAGTTGTCTATATCATGACAAGTGCATGTACATGTGCATTGCTGGACAGTGGTATCAGTGTATGACCCAAATAAAACACACATTTTGGAACATGGCTCCATGATGTGTGTGTGTGTGTGTGTGTGGAGGGGGGGGGGGGGTGTTTGTGGGTGCATGCGTGCGTGTATGACCTCTTCTACATGCATTACCTTCTCTGCTTTCCAAGCTCTCAGACCAGAGAAGCAGCTGACAGCAAGCAGTGGTGACAGCAGTCGATGGCGGCGCAGAAGCTCAGTATAGAGACACCTCAGCTGGTAATTTAAAATCCAGTTATCTCCGAGAGATTCGGTAGCGTTGAGTCGCGACAGCTTGTTGGGCTTCTTGCCAACGGCATCTGGAGCTGCCCCGGCAGCCTCGTCCTGTTCTGTCAGGGATGACAACGGGAACATTCCTACTGGCGGTGGTGACGATGGCAATGAGGACCACCGTGTCCTTGATACGGCTGTGCTGGGCGGTGCAGCAGATTTCTCGTCCAACAGCATAGGAGATACGGGTAGTTGTAAAGAGTGAGCCTTGATGTGATGGCCTCCCAGCGCCTCGACTTCGTCAGGTTTCTTCACAGCCGAGTCTTGAGCACCCGCAGGCCGCATGCAGCGCGGTCGAACGGACACAGGCAGCGCTTCGAGAAGACAGCGCAAGCCCGTGTGCCATGCTTGAATCACCGAGGCGGGTGCGTTCAGACATGCTAGGTTAAGTGTCGACCATGGCCAGCTGCCATAGTAGATGGACAAGCACTTCTCCTCGGTGGGCTGAACGACACCAGACAGAACGATACGGCATAGAACCAGTGAGATGGCCTGTACATCCCACAGGCTCTGCACAGTAATACAGAGCATGGCAGCCTACTTGAAGTTACTAGAAGCAAGCAAACAATGTTATACTAGCACATTGTGTCATGTGATAAATACTAGGAATCGGTGTGTTTGTAAAATCTGAGAAAAGACCATACATGTACATAGCCTGCAATAGAGCACACTAGTACCGTAAAGTACCGCCAGAGCGCCTCACCATCTCGTCCTTTCGTGGTCGTATTGTGGTGGTGGTGTCCTGTCTGTACTAGCTGTTGGTCATACGACACGAACCTTGTACACACATTGCACGCTGTGCAGTCAATCCGTACTCGGTTTACCTTCGAGCGGACACGAGCTCCACACAAAACCTACTACGTGTGACCTTGGTACGCTAATGTTCTCCAACTGTACACACTTTGGTGCACTCTGCCATACGATTTTCCTTTCCCTGGCTGTAAAATCAAGGTGGGGCGCTCTCGCGGTACTTTACGGTACAGTCAACTTCATGAATAGCAACACTCCATGCATAATAGTATGCGAATACTGGCATCATCGCATGCCATATGCTACACACACTTGAGAGGAATCAAAAGCGTTTCTGCTGTAACTCTGAGTTTCATGGTTTTAACCGATCATCAGACAGCAATATGCTATACATGTACTTGAAGTACAGTAGCAACAAGCCAGTGGTTGTGATGCCGCACTTTTACCACTTCATACAAAGCATCTGAAATGATGATGTAATTAATTTCATATCCTGTTTACCCTGTGGGACTGTGAAGATGTGTATTCCATGGTGAGCTGTCGGAAGGTGAGGGCCAGCAACAACTTCCTTCCCCATGGCTAGAACAGACATGTTATAACCCATTGCCATGGTGTCTCAAACTCGAAACATTGCATAGGTGCCCCAGGAATCTCCAGGCAAGGATTCCTGCGCACAAGTTCCCTGCCACTGTATTGCAACACCTCCCTGTCTCCGGACCAGAGGCAAATGCGTCTCAAACATAGTACTTCCAATCCAAGTACATGATATGGAGTGCTAGTGGCATTGTAAAAGTAACCGATGACATTCCATACAGGATCAGGGCCTACTACGGATAAACGTTATCTACCTTTATGAAGAAATGCTTCTGGATGCTCTTGGGCTCCTTGGGCAGCTGCCCACGCAACACCATCTAGCAGAGAATCACAAGGAATATATATTTCACTAGATAAATAATTTCCTTGTAACTACATAAAATAAGTGAAATAAGTGATACAGTCAGACATGGCTTAACCGCACGCATCCGTTCTTCCAAAACATATCCGGATAGGCGAGGGAACCGGATAATCGAACACACATACTGTACATATCCATGACATAATTATGCTGTAAATCGGTAACCAACAACTTTCTTCCGGATGGCAAGGGATCCGGATGGCGAGAGGATCGGATAAGCGAGGTCTGACTGTACACAGTGACACTATCACTAGTTAGCGGCTTTGCCCGTACAACAGGCTTGTCACTGACTAGTTAGCGGCTTTGCCCGTACAACAGGCTTGTCACTGACTAGTTAGCGGCTTTGCCCGTACAACAGGCTTGTCACTGACTAGTTAGCGGCTTTGCCCGTACAACAGGCTTGTCACTGACTAGTTAGCGGCTTTGCCCGTACAACAGGCTTGTCACTGACTAGTTAGCGGCTTTGCCCGTACAACAGGCTTGTCACTGACTAGTTAGCGGTTGAATCCTGGCCAATACACTGTAAAGAGCATTGCAACTAAGCCTACATCAGTGTTTGTCAACTCTACAGAGATGCGTAGCGTGTGTTCGAGAGTATTCCAGGAAAGCTATAGTTGAATTGGAAACACAGTTTCAGTTGCAGCTGTATGCCCGGATATTTAGACCACCAAATTGAATACGCAAAGCCACGAAATCCCGCAAAATGGCACTGGTCAGTACACGAAGGACCGGAGAATGGCACTGGTCAGTACACGAAGGACCGGAGAATGGCACTGGTCAGTACACGAAGGACCGGAGAATGGCACTGGTCAGTACACGAAGGACCGGAGAATGGCACTGGTCAGTACACGAAGGACCGGAGAATGCATGGTAAGGGCATGCTCACACTGTGACACGAGAATCGCGTTAAAGGGGAAGTTAAGGCAAAAGTTAAAATTTCACCAGTTGTAGTCTTCGGGGTGCTGAGTCGAATGGTCGTGGTCCGAGGAAGCTGAGACGCTCCCTTCCTACTTGAATCCCAATCGAACTCGCGCACTTCCACCGAAACTGGGTGACTGCGCCCTACTAGATGGGGATATGTATGCAAAATGTCACTAAAAGCGCCATTTCGTTCTTATAAAAGCATGGATGACCGCGATTGGCCCATATGTTGTAGTCTTTTGGACGCTGAGTCGACTGGTTTTGGTCCGAAAAGGCTGCGATGCAGCGTTCCTCCTTTATTCCCAATCGAACATGGTTGAACAAGCGGTCACGTGCTCCTGCGTACGCCAGTCACCTGGTCACCGTGCGTGCAGGGTACAACTTACTAGCCTGTTTGACCTTTTTTGGGTGCAGTCCTGTCACTCGAGTTGAACTCGAGTTGAACCTTGGTGTGAAAGTTGTCGCCTGCTGGCGTGGTGACCAGGTGATTTGGGCACCCAGGAGCACGTGACCGCTTGTTCAACCATGTTCGATTGGGAATAAAGGAGGAACGCTGCATTGCAGCCTTTTCGGACCAAAACCAGTCGACTCAGCGTCCAAAGGACTACAACATATGGGTCAATCGCGGTCATCCGTGCTTTTATAAGAACGAAATGACGCTTTTAGTGACATTTTGCATACAAATCCCCATCTAGTAGGGCGCAGTCACCCAGTTTCGGTGGAGGTGCGCAAGTTCGATTGGGATTCAAGTAGGAAGGGAGCGTCTCAGCTTTCTCGGACCAAGACCATTCGACTCAGCACCCCGGAGACTACAACTGGTGAAATTTTAATTTTTGCCTTAACTTCCCCTTTAACAACGCCAAAGAGAAGTGTTGCGTTTTCAACTTCCTTCACTTTCAGAAAAAAATGTCGGCATTTCAAGTTCAAATTGAGTGAGTTTTCACAGGCAATGAGCACTCTTATTTTGTGCAAGGCCGGGACAAAACCTCAATCGTCCAACACGGGCAATAGCTGATTTGTTCTTCTTCACGAGGACCAGTCTCATCCTCGTCAGGGTGCCTGAGTATTTTCCTCACTGTGGTCAAGAACCTTGAATTCACGGGGCCCGGTTGCATTCGAAATAATACTATTGTGTTTTGCGTCCATACGACTCAATGTCCTTATACATGCCCCCCCCCCCCTCTTGGGGTCGCCACAGTCAGAGTTTAAAATGCAACCGCGACGTTTTGGTCACATGCATGCTGTTACTGCATGGACGTGTGTTTTGGTTGCAGTGTGAGCGCTCCCCTACACTACAGAGCGATACATGCATTACTGAATTAGGCATCACATTACATGCACAGCAGTGTTCCAAGCACCAAGGCCAAACTCACTTGCCACGAATTCACATATAAAGTGTGTGCACAGAAATCTAATGAAGATCCCCCCCCCCCCCGTGTCGCACCACTGACATTGCTTTGAGGTTTATACAATAATTCTGCATGTGTGTGTGTGTGTGTGTGTGTGTGTGTGTGTGTGTGTGTGTGCGCGTGTGTGTGTGTGTGTGTGCGTGTGTGTGTGTGTGTGTGTGTGCGCGCGTGCCGGTGTGTGTGTGTGTGTGTGTGTGTTTGTGCGTGTGTTGCTGCTGCTTACCTTGAGCTGTGCGACGTCCAGTTGATTCTTGCTGCCCACTGCATCCCAGTAGAGCCGGTGATTTGCACGGTCCAGCCGAACGAATACCTCCTGGCACTTAGCACCATCGTCGGTCCACATCACCAGCACCGTGCCGCGGTACAGCTCTGAAGAAATATTTTCTCCCGGCGCTACGAGCTGACCGAGCGGGCACGCTTGAAGCTCGTTCATGCCGACCGCCACACCTCCTCGCCTACCCCCGCTGGGTCCATCGTGTAACGAGGGCATAGTGTGCGATGTCGGCTGGCAGCGGCACTGACCCCAGCGGACACGACCACCAACCTCTCCGAACTCTTCCACAGGACTCCTTGCCACACAGCAGGCTTCATTCACATCTGTAAAATCTTGTGATGTTCACAAACATTCTCGTGTCCGCGTTGATGTCGCATTGTTGACTCCACCGCGATGTGTTTCGTGTTACAAAGTTGACATCACACACTCTCATAGCTAAGTGACGCCTCTTATCCCGTTGTTCGAAAGCTCAAGCACGACCGAGCGTAACACGGAGTCGTGCCAATACCATGAAGACGGACACCAGGAATACTTCCCTGTTCTTCCTATATATTCACGATTGATTGCGACGGATACTACAAACAGACTTCATTGCTCCGGCTGAGTGTCTCGGTATCGGGTCGGCTCGTGCATGGATATGGACACATGCCTGTTTTGAATGACTCTGCGCCTAGGCGCCTGGGAGTGGGAGCAGAAGATTCAAGTACATCTGCATCATATGCATGATCATACTACACGTAGGTCTACATGACGTACATAACAATCATGATGTCGGTGATAACGATCAGTCACATACTGTAGTATGGACATGCTGGGTGATAATAATGAGGAAGATCTGCCGGTAGCGAAGTGAACCACTGGCCTGGACTGCCTGGACTACACTGGTGGATCTTGGTGGACCGACGATGTCCGGTACGTGCGGATCTCAGGGCCGTATCTCGTGAGGCTGTCAACCACAATACACATCGTCGCTGCACAATACGATGGTGCAGCGTCACTTTTGCTCAAGCGAACATAACAGTGCTG